ACGATAACATCCTCATTGGAAGAATATACTGAAAGTAGATTTTTCATTGCTGGGTTCGTGGAATCCCAATTTGTGTTAGATCACCGAATTTCGTGAACCTAAGCAAGCTTTCAGTGTGCACAACGAATCTGTTTTTATACATCAATGTAATTCAAAGAAAATGATCACTAATTGTCGGGCTTGGAGAGACAAACATTTGGTGTGGGATTTGTGATGGTTTATATATTCCTTTTGTTTTCCTGATTGCCTGTCTCAATCCAGTATTCACAGTCGTTCGCCTACACAGGTACTAACCACACCAGCTGTTGCTCTACGCAGGTGACTGGTTATAAATCGGCGTTTTCAGCTGGATATGATTGCCTCACCAGTTAAGGGTGGACCGGCCCAAGAAGTTAGCCCCCGTTGAACTACACGGCTGCACAGTGGCTATCAAGGGTATTTCTGGCTGAGATCAACAGTCTGATGAGCTTACAATATTCATCTGAAGTAAGCAACTGTCTTCTCAAAAACAGTTGCTACAATTTTGTATTTGCCTTCATATGTCGTTAGTGCTTTCATTTTCGGGGTGTTTATCCACGTAAAAAATATGTATTAATGAATGCTTAAAGGGTGTGTGCTTTCGAGTACCAATACATTAGTATTTATACTTCATGTGACGCTGGTTTCTCAGAATAAACCAAGGAGATATAACTTCAGCATCGCTTTCACCTTCGATCGGTTTATGCTGGAGAAACCAGTTGGTTACACTTCCTGAACGGCCCGTGTCCGCTTTCCTGCCGGCTTTGACTAGAAATAACGCTCGTGACTGTTGTGTGACCTTCTGTCCTGTTAGATCCATCCTTGACCATAATACCAACTTACTTAGTAGCCTTGCTCACTTAAGATGGATGCCAGGTCGCTCCTAATACCGTCTCAACTAGTGAAGGGAGAATACAGTACATACAGCTGCTCGAGGAGGCATTTATCACTGAAAATGTAGAGAGAACACAAGGATAGATAATCACACCATATCACAGCAACCACGTTCCTGCTATTTGAAAGTTCACATGTCTATTATGTGATTCACCCAGCACGAATAATCGAACTTAAAAGTACGGAAAACTGGATGACTCTCAGCTGATATCCCATAGACCTAAGTTATTCATATCAGAAGGGCATGACGCAGCCGATTTCAAAGGTTATTTGAAACTTATAGGCTGCTGCCGAACGGTGGTCTCAGGCTGTTCAGTAAATATTTATCTACAGGATTCTGATAGTAGTGGCAGTTATCTCGAACTTAAAGCTTTATTTACGGAAAACTGCTAATGTCTTCTAACTTAATGAAACAAATTACTTTAAAAGCAAGCGGAGTAGATCTAGGTTAATTAATCTGTCATTCAGTTTATTCTAGGAAGCCGCATAGTTAGCCACTGCAACTTAGGCTGACCATGAAATACAGTCCTACTGAAAAGTCTAAGCCAAATAGCTCGGTAGTAGTGAAATGGGAGGCGGTTGACAAATTAATTTTTCCAAGGAGTTGGAAATATTGTGCGAAGACAAAATTATTACTCAGTAAAAAGCTAATTCTAAGTTTTAGAAAATTTACTGAAAATCTCTGTGGGTAGATACGACCACATCAAAAGCCAACTTAGTGGTCAGGCCACAGTCCTCTTGGTAAGGAAGAATATCTCAATTAGGCTTGCTGAAAGGTTTATTTAAATGGAAATGTTACGAAAGACCAACAAAAATCCCCACCTAAGTATTACAAGGTGATGAAATGCAAACAGTTCTTTGTTTGAAAGGCATGGCATTTGGCTTGCCTGACCATTCATAAGTTGCAGTAATAAGTCTAGTGAAGATGGAATGTTGGGCGTGAGGCTAGCAACCCTATCCCGTAAAAAATAAATACAACTGCTATCGAAACTTCAGGCCTATAGCTTGAAGCCCTATACTCCACTGGGAAAGTAAAGTAATAAAAAATTTCAAAAAATACAAGCAGGGGATATTTTATTTTTATGAGGCTGTCAGTTTATCTCTAAGGTGATTAAGCATCTGTCCCAAGAAACACCTGAAATATATGAGGGCACAAAGATATCATTTAAGAGAAATGTAAATTGTAGTTGTCATGCATCGAAACCTATATATCAGTAATCACAGGTCAAAGGACGTAGAAAACAAGAAGATAGCGGTTTTGGCTGATGTACATTTCATTAAAAGGCGGGTGAGCTAGTGAAGCGAATGATGGCATTCATAATTCAGTACAACTCAGTAAGGTGTAGAAACATTACAAGGAATAAAAGCGGTGTAGTCTCTGTTTGCCTATTGTTCGTTTTCATCATTCTGCATTTCTTTATCAGTAACCCGCTCAATATGGTGAAATTAAGTGGTTTTCTTTCTCTGAGTTCTGCACTGTATAGTGACTCCCCACATCCATTATGTGTAGCCCAATATCTCAGACACACTTCTTAGCGTGATGAACACTGCCCTTCATATTGTCCGCCTCAAGCCTAATGGTTCATACACTTATCGAAATAGGGCAATGAGAAATGGATTAAACAGACACGGCAAAACGTAGTCAACAGTCTCATCTTACGCGAAACACGTATAATTGGCCACACTGCCATGGACGTGTTCATCAGAGATAAACTGACAGCCTCATAAAAATAAAATATCCCCTGCTTGTATTTTTTGAAATTTTTTATTACTTTACTTTCCCAGTGGAGTATGGGGCTTCAAGCTATAGGCCTGAAGTTTCGATAGCAGTTGTATTTATTTTTTACGGGATAGGGTTGCTAGCCTCACGCCCAACATTCCATCTTCACTAGACTTATTACTGCAACTTATGAATGGTCAGGCAAGCCAAATGCCATGCCTTTCAAACAAAGAACTGTTTGCATTTCATCACCTTGTAATACTTAGGTGGGGATTTTTGTTGGTCTTTCGTAACATTTCCATTTAAATAAACCTTTCAGCAAGCCTAATTGAGATATTCTTCCTTACCAAGAGGACTGTGGCCTGACCACTAAGTTGGCTTTTGATGTGGTCGTATCTACCCACAGAGATTTTCAGTAAATTTTCTAAAACTTAGAATTAGCTTTTTACTGAGTAATAATTTTGTCTTCGCACAATATTTCCAACTCCTTGGAAAAATTAATTTGTCAACCGCCTCCCATTTCACTACTACCGAGCTATTTGGCTTAGACTTTTCAGTAGGACTGTATTTCATGGTCAGCCTAAGTTGCAGTGGCTAACTATGCGGCTTCCTAGAATAAACTGAATGACAGATTAATTAACCTAGATCTACTCCGCTTGCTTTTAAAGTAATTTGTTTCATTAAGTTAGAAGACATTAGCAGTTTTCCGTAAATAAAGCTTTAAGTTCGAGATAACTGCCACTACTATCAGAATCCTGTAGATAAATATTTACTGAACAGCCTGAGACCACCGTTCGGCAGCAGCCTATAAGTTTCAAATAACCTTTGAAATCGGCTGCGTCATGCCCTTCTGATATGAATAACTTAGGTCTATGGGATATCAGCTGAGAGTCATCCAGTTTTTACACAGGCAGTTGAAGTTAAAAAAAATACTAAATAAATGTATGCATATAATAAAGATGGGATGTGCGTTGGATGCATGGTGACTAATAAGTTAGGTAACAATTCACTGAGTTGAACTCAAATCATAGAAACAAGAGACAAAAAAATACAGATTATAAAAGGAGGGTGGGGTTAAAGACATAGATTACACAATCAGATGAGAGATGCAAAGTGACTAATAAGTTAGGTAAGCATGTACTGAGTTGAACTGAAATCATAGAAACAAGAGACGAGAAGAATTACAGAATATAAAAGAGAGTGAGGTTAAAGACAAAGATTACGCAGTCAGATGAGAGAAAAAAAGAAAAAGATATCCAGTTACCAAGGCGAGGAAAGACTAATAACTGATTCTTTCTGAACACATAGATCTGGTTTCAAGCGTTTGATAGAAATTGCTTCGGCAAACTTGAGGAGAATGGAGCTCCTTTGTCTATTGATAATTTTGAAGGATTTCTCGATTTCCACCTCATGACCCGTGTCAAGATGTCGGGTAATAGCGCTGCTATAAGAGTTTGTTCCCTTGAGACGTAGGCTTTTCGGCACACGTTCAGAAAATCGAACGTGTGCCCTTCTTTTTGTTCTCCCAATGTAACTGCTCCCGCAGATACACGTAAATTTGTATACACAGTTGGAGTTAACATGAGAAGGGTATCTATCGACTTTTGACCATGTTACCATGTACCATGTACCATGTTATTCTGCACAAATCAATGTTGTTCTCGCTTTATTCAAGTTTATCAAGGGGAATAAATGCATGAAGAATATAATTGGCTGATCATCACTGGACTGTGTTCAGATTCTGTGATGATGGCGATGGAACCGCATGACATGATTACAGCCGTAAATTGATTCAGTACAGGATATAATGGATGAGTATCTTCGAATATTTGCCGCTGTTTATGATCACCGCAGTTTATGAATTTACTATGTTTGCCTTAATTATGTTTTACTTTTTGGGTCACTGGCCATGTGAGTATTGCGAACAATCTCTAGTTTTTCCATATAGGATTTTCACAGCTACTAGTGGAAGTAGGAAGAAAGTATTCTAGGAATTAAAACTGCCATTAATAATATAAAAGCCAGGTTTGACGAATTTATACTCTGCTTATTCCCATAAAACTGAAAAATAACCTGTAAATCTCTGCCCCAGTGAATCCATACAATAGCTTCACTCATTAAGTTTATGTACTGATGCGCTCGAGATAACAAGCGAGGTCTGCAAAAATGGTGTTCATAATAATATAAATAAGAAGAGAAGGCAAATAACACACTTTATAGGACAAAAATGTCGTGTAAATAAAATCACAAAAAATATTTGTTTAAATTTGCACTTTGTTTCTCAAATAAGCGTACCGCGCTCTGGCCTGTTCGCTAGACCCTATCTGTGACCTTGAGATTCCCTTAATTGCCTCTGGTAGAGGCCGAAATGGATTCGTCCTCAGCTGGCACGAGTGGCCTTGTGACCGCTGGGGCAGCCAGCTCGTTGGCTGGCGCTAAAAAGCGGACAAAGGTGGTGTTTCTCAATCCAGTTGAGATTACAAATTGGGACCAAATTAAAGAAAATTCGAAGCAAAATGTAATTGGTGAAAACGATTTAATTAATTATGAGAAAATGCTCAAAGATGATGATGCTGCCTTGATAGCCAACAGCGGTTGTAAGTTAATGGCAGTGTATTCGGTATTATTTATCAATTATAATTTACTTTCAATAGTTATGTATACCGATAATTGATTTCAAATGGTGATTTTGATGGTTAGCATTTTTTCCTTGAAAGTTTCTTGGTGGTGTTGTTGAGTCTTGTCGTTAATATATATTTACATTTGTATTAAGTAGTCAAAATAATCATTAAACTATGTACTTTATTTCAGCCAATGATCAAAAGCGTCAGGGTAAAAAACGTGGACGTCCCAAAGGCAGCAGGAATGGTGCTCGTAAGCGTCCAGTGGATCCAAGTCAACCATGGCTTGAATCAAGTGATTCAGATGAACCTCATTTGGGTCTTGAGGATGAGTTAGATGACGATGAATATTTCAGAAGGTTAGAGGAAGAAAAGATGCGTGAAGATGCTGAGGAAGAGTCTAGAAAGCGAAGGGTATGCTTAACATTTTCGTCTATGATTACTATCCGCAGTTTTTATTGCTCTTAAACGTATGTAAAAAATCATATTTGTACTAATCTCAGGGGAAAACTTTGTAAATTACTTATGCCAATTTCGAGGTTGACATAGATAGTTTTCACACATGTCTCCGTTTCGCCTGGCACCAAATTTTTTTGTAACTATTCGGTCAAATCTTAATCGCAGCTTGTATAAGTAATTAAATTTAGTAAACTTCATGCGGTAATGCTAATGTGAGACGTTTTACACTTTCCACTAATACTTCTGGGGATATGAAGATAACATCGGATGGTTTCGTAGCACACCAGTAGCTTAAGAACTGTTTTCACCAACACGTAGTTTTACATGAAAGCTTCAATCAATAAGTCTTAGTATTCAGTATGAAAAGTGCGACCGTAGGAAGTTTTGTGTAATCATTCAACTAAAATCGTGCACATTTAGCGGATACTAGCGACGATTATAATTTAAAAAGATGTGGCGCACTATTAACTAAATTATAACTGAGTTTTTTTCCAGTATTTACGGCGTATATGATTACAGGAGTGTCTGTCCACTTCGTTTACTGAGAACAAAAACGATTTAGGATGAAGCCACAGACTTAAGTTTTGTGAAGCACTTCTGATCTGTTCACGTTATGTTGGATTAAGCCATTTTAACCTCTCATTGTCTCTGATGCACAGACATACAGTGTGTTGATTTGGGCCACATCTTGCTGTTTATTGCTAAATGGATGGAATGATATAAATTTTCGTTAAACAGACTGTCAGAAGCTTTAACATTCCACTAAATTGGTTTGATGGCGTTCGATTATTTCACCCTCAGTTTTTCACTTTCAGTTCCTGTGGTGTGTTTCAAGGGTCCTCTGGTGATTTGAACATTTATTAAGCTTAAGCAAAATTATGTCGAAAATCTTTGTGATTATTGTTGGGTAAATCAATGCTGCCATAATTTTCATCAGACAGGTTTCTCAGGAAAACAAAACAAAACAGTGACGTTAAAAACTTAAAACGATTTGGTAGAAGACAGTTGTGTTTCCGGTAGGGTTTCAGAGTTTATCCCATAATTGTGCTACTTTAATTCTAATATTCCTTTTCATAGCTGTCAAGTTGTTTCGCATTATAAAATTTGAAATAGGGTAATATGTTTGATAATCGATGAAAAGAGATAGTGACTAGACATGTGCTGATTTTACTTCATGGATATTGGTTAATTTTTGAGAGAGAAGAGAATAATGGCAAATGTACTCATGAAGAAATGGAAATTTATTTAGCGATTATATACCTAAGTTATCAGTTTTTAAAAGTTATAATTCTTCTTTAGTTCACCTTTTATGTATTAACAAGTTTCTTTATATTCACTGTCCTTTTCAAAATGTTGACTCTGAATGTTTACTGTACATAGAACTTATGACTTTTCTTTATCTGGCTTATTGATTTATTGCTTGAAAAACTCGAAACTTTGTCGGGCCTGTTGTTCGATTTAAGTGCCCCTAAATCACCAAGTTTTCAAATGCTTTAACATGTGAATAAAAGAGATAACAAACTCCAGCGTATTTATCCATGTTTTCTCTTTTCTGAAATTACTATCATCCGAATTTTATGTTTTCGAAGACTGAGTAGCATATGCCTGTCTGTCTCTCTGTTTTCGACATAGAACTTTGCACCGATATGCAGCACTTCGAGTTGCCACACGCCCTCCTTGTAGCACACAAATGAAGAGAAGAAAGCAGAAGAAATGCAAAATAGGTAGAGAAAACAGAAATATAAGGCCAAAAGAATTGTAATATCGAAGAACAATATAGTTTAATTGAGTATTATAAGTCACAAGGAGTGGATGCATCTGCACCAGCCATTGAGAACAATTTGGAGCTAGCCATATCACCGATTGTTTTCAGCCTGCATTGGTTTTTACCGTCCTGAGGACCCCAACCAGTTATAAGTCTACACCTTCCTACGTGGCTGGCGTAAACTAACTGTTGTGGACTTCATTGACTGATGAAGCCATATTTTGGTTTAACCGCCGCTAGCTCTTTCCCAGCCTGACTCAATGTCAGATAACATTGCCTGTTATCGAGGAAGGCGATGACTAGGGATGCATGTGTAACACATGTCCTAACAATCTCAGTCGATGTAGCTTCACAGCCTCGTCGATTAGCATATGACTGGACATACAGCAGAACTACATTGTTGTATATTCCTACCTAACGGTATATTAGCGTAGGTATGTCTCATTCAATATACGTTTTGTCAAAGTGGGCAGTGAAAAATGATTCCACTTTATTTACATTTTCTAGTAATCTTTAACCATAATTTGTGTTTACTTTTCAGGAAATGGAAGCACGGGCTGCCGCACGTGCTAATGCTCAAGGCAGAAGAGGCAGCACTAAGAATGATGCCTTCATCATGCATCAATACCAAACCTCTGCTTTAAACAGTTCAAATATTAACCAAAGGGAATCGAGTACTCGAAACAAAAGACGAGGAGGTTATGCAGCTTTAGCTGGACTCGTTGATCCTAGTGATAGTAGTGAAGATATCAGTGAACTAGATGATAAGTCTACTCGAAGTGGTTATCAGAAATCATTAGATGATATTCATGAACAGAATGAAGACGAGTTAGGGGAACTAGCGTCATCACCTTTTCGCCAGTCTGTTTTAGATATGCTCCCACCACCACCTTCTCCGGGTATCTCATCAAATTCTGAAGAGGTGAATTCAGTTGTCAAGTCTGAACCTTCAGACAATGTCAGTAGTGTTGTTGATTCATCAAATGCAGCAACCATTGCGAATACAACAGTGACAAGCACTTCTTTGAATGATGCACATACCCTGAAAATGCTTGAAATGGATCCTATTGAACTTAGGTTTCGTGCACCTCCGCTTAGCTTGCCTCCATCAGGAAATGATCTTGTCTGCCCAAGGGAATATCTTCTTGATGCTTTATCTATCTATGAAGTGCTCCGACGTTATGGTTCTCTACTACGTTTATCACCATTCCGACTGGAAGACTTTCTAGCCTGCCTCATATCAGATGAAAATTCTAATTTACTTGCTGAAACACATATGGTGTTATTGAAAGCTCTATTACGTGAAGATGAATCAAATGGAACATCAATGGCTCCTATGGATTGTAAAGATTCTGTGAATATGACTTTCTACCTACTGGACAGATACAATTGGCCTTATTTACTAGCTAATTATCTATCCAGCATTAAATTAACAGAGGCTGCAGCTCGTATGTCTGCGATAAATACAATGACAGGTACTGGAAATATTGGTGGACCAACTAGTTCAGGTGGAGCAGACGCAGTACTTTCTGCAGCACTCTTTCCTGATGATCTCATCCCGCTGAATTCGGATTATCCTTTTGTTCCAATCCAATCGCGTATAGCTGTTCTTCGTGGTCTTACCAATTTATTTTTGGCAACTGGTCAAGTTAGAGGAGATATTCTGCGTGAAGGTTTAATGGCACATGAAGATTATTGCCGTGTTTGTCATCAGTAAGTACAGTTTGGCTTTATATATATATATATATATTTAAGTACTTATCATGTGAGGGCTAATATGCAGTTGTCCAGTAGAGCGTGTTTCAAACCCGGGGCCTATTGGCTGAAACTCAAGTTCCTAATTCAGTGATCCATACCATTTTGATGCTTTTGCTATTTTAGACTCAGCTGTGGCGCGTAGCGTCAGTTCAACTCTAGCGTTTCTAAGTTTAATGTAAAGTAGATGAACCAGTTTTCACAAGGCTGAAAGTTGATAAAAATCGATGTGTGCGAAAAAATATATATCCTAAGGAGTACATGTTTATTTCTAAGCATCTCATAGCAAATAGTTCTTGCAAATTTTTAGGTTTGTTAGATGTTTGGAATTCCACCAGTGTAGAGTTAATTCATGAGGATAACAGGTTTACATCGATTCATTGCTATTTTGCTTGGCTATTCGGGAGTATTTTCTATAACTATTCATTATTTTTAGTAGTGTAACAACAGAAGACAAGGGCCAGGAAACAGATCGTTTTTTTAAGAAATCAACACATATTTATATATTTTCATGTACATTATTATAGATTATTTAAGCAAACAAACACAGTCCTCTGATGGGTTGCTTCTCACAGAAAGTTAACCTTGCATCTCTTTGTGACTGTTTCTTGAATGTCAGATCATCTGTATGTTAGCTGTATCCGCCTATGCAAAGCCTTTGTTCTCATTTTTCTCACGACCAATATTGGGGACATAAACATTGACACAAATTACTGTCCACCAATTATGACTATCAGCCAGCTCTCACCACAGTAGCTCCTCGTCAAAAAGGAGAGTTGGAAAATGTTATGTTATTATCAAAACACAAATTCGGCATAATGTTGGCACTAAGAGATGCACCAGACAAAATCTCATAGTCTTTGAGGTGGTTGAGATACTGTCCGCACTCTCAGATCGAGCCTTGGACTTAAAGTTTGATCCACAAAGTAGTGGAGCTGTCTTCCATGGTTTTCGGTGACTGGAACAGGTTCATACGCAAATCGACCTGTTCGCATTCTAGAGCTCATGTAAAACACTGATCAGGAATCACTTTTTTCTAGCTTTCATAGGTTGATCAGCATGTCCACCAGTCCGCTTGTAAGTGCTAAACTTTCGCATTTTCCCCTTCACATTTGTGAGCAACACCCCACCCGCCACATAAAGGCATTGAATAGGATAACTTACCTGTTAGAAGCTGTAATCACATGGCGTCACAAGAGCCGTTTCTTGAGGAAACTGAAGTCTTTATCCATCCTTGGTAGTAATGGCTAGTTTATGGGGGCGTTGGAAAGTGTTATTCAACAAGTGCTAGCATTTGAAATGCTTTTGATAATCAACTGGGCTTTTTGTGAGACGAAGGCTAGTGTGCTACTTCCACCTAAAGGAGGTTAGAACTCGCAAATCTACGGATTAAAATTTGAGTACATAAACCCTATGATGACCTACATCTGTATTTCTGTATCGGTACAATATGAATACCAACGTTTTTTGCACTTGTAATAATTTGAAATTAACCTTATGGTTAAAATGTTATTCGTTAAAGGTTGAGTCTAGCCCTATCCAGTTTAAGATTGTAGTCCAGATAATCGATTTACACTTGATATACAAGTGTTAGTTTGTGGGAATTTGATTGATTGGTTACAAGACTTCATCATGAGTTGAAATTGGTTAGAAAACCATTGGCAAACCTGGGCAGTTGTTTCGTCCTAGTTTGGATTCTTCAGTAGTACTCACTCACACCACGGGGTTCGAACCCATGACTATCTGGTTACAAGGCTAGCGAGCTCGTGTACCATTAAGTCACTGGGACCCGATCCAATGACCAGTGCATGAACACTAACTTCACGACATAGCACGACTGCTAGCCAATGTCTTTGGCGAGTATTTGTCCTCACACCCAACTTGCTGCACCCTACTGGTCATGACTTCCCACCAGAACCCCGGGTAACTACCTACCTGAATAGGGCCAGTCGCCAGTTGGCATCTCATCGACATTCAAGTATTGGTTTGTAGGGATTTGAATGACTTTACAGGATTTCATCAGGAGCTTGCCTTGTGAACAGAAAGCCTGGGTTCGAAACCCACAGTGTAGGTACATACTGATGAAGAGTCCCAAGATAGATCAAAACAGTTGTCTAGTACTCCCTGACTGGTTTTCCAATGGTTTTCTAACCAATTTCAGCTCATTATGAAATCCTGTAACCAATACACTTTATATAATTTAGAAATTATTTTATTATATATGTTTGTGTCTTTCTTTGTAGAAGCGGAGAAGTATTGTGTTGTGACGGCTGTACTTCTGTATTTCATCTGCATTGTTTAAATCCTCCTTTATCATCAGTACCGACATCTAGCTGGATATGTCCAGTGTGCGTTAAACAAAAGGTAACTTGCATATTTGTGTATATATGTATATAAAGTATTTATTTAAGTAATAGTTTTCTTTGATCACTCTAGAATGAGGGCGAGAAAGGGAGAGAATATAACAGAACACAGAGAAGTTCAACAATACCGTCCCAAGAGTGCAAACACTCCGATGATCTTGAACGCATGCTAGTCATTGACTAACCACATCTGTCTTTATTATAGCTGAAATATCAACGCTATTCACCAACTAAGGAGAAAATTTCACCCAAATCACATTTTTAAATACTGTTCGGACATTGTGTTAATAGCTCTCTTGGATTAGAATTAGGGTTAAGATAAGTATTGGGGTTAGGTCAGGATTATGGTTGGGGTTACGATTAGGGATAGATTTAGAGCTGATGTCATTTATTTTATTTTGTTTTCTTATCCACATTTCCCTGGTAAGTAGTCGTCGATCCTCTTACTCTAAACCATAGAAATTCAACTCAACCGAGGGCTCTCGGAGAAGACTGCACAACAGGATAAGAGAGATAAACAGCTCACAGAAACAGCTCATCTTTAGTCACCTCGGTGAAGACATGTACAAAAACCAGTCTATCTTAGCAAATGATACTCCTCATTATAACTGGGACGTATTTTTAAGTCATGTCAGAGAAAGATATCCTATCTAGTGTGTTTTCAAGCATTTTCTTGTACATATGCGTAAGTTTTTGTGCGAAAATTCCTCATTTTTACGATTGGTCGGCTGAAGGTCGTCACTCGTGCGTTTGCATCCCTTAGGACGACGCTATTGTTGAACTTTCCCCAGGATACTTTGTCATTAGAGCTTTTCAGACAAATCAGTCAAAGGCTTAATTATTATAAGATTATTTAAAAAATAGCCTAAGCGTGCTTAGAAAATCCAAGGCACCTCCAACAGGTTGCTAATATTTATCAGTGCCTGCCCCACTCCCTCGATATTAAAGATCAAATGGCTAGAAAGGGACTCGACCAATGAACCAACTAACAACCAATCGCAGAAGAAAATGGAGACTGATTGGATATGCATTAAGGAGATCGTTGAGTGATTTCGTGCTCCAGGCCCTCTAATAGGACCCAAATGGGAAACGATAAGTTGAGCATGGGTTTGGGGGGTTGACCTGAAGGAGGTCCTGTGAGGAGGAAATAAGGCCTTAACGGCTGAAGAGGGCTTCAGAGAACTGGATGAAATGGGGAAGCTGGAACCCTGTATTCCGCTCGGAACTCCAGGGAATAATCATACTAGTATTTGTTGGTTAGGTTAGGTTTAGAAAAGAAAGACTAATTCGCACATAACTATTTTGTGAAAATATAATGTGGAACTGCATCTACTGCAGTTACATAATGCTTTTTTTTCAACCAGATGTTTAGAAGTAGAAGTAAATCCAATCAATGTAGTGAATTTTTCTACGTACTGATCATTATCTTCCCATTCCTTTGATTTCTTAATGAAACATGGGGCCTCAGGCGGTAAACTTTGAAGTTTCAGTAGCGTTGCTGTCTTTTTTGATGGACTGCGGTTGTTAACCTCACCCAGTCTTTCCTATTTCCTGAGCCTGCTAAAGGCCAGTTTGTTAGGAGTACGTTGGCGACCGGGAAACGGAACCCTGGATCACGTGCGTAGCTGATTATTGCAGATAGATTATATTAAAGTGCACTGTAGTAATAGTAAATACAATAAAATTGCAGTTTGTTAGTTCACGAGTTCAACCTTTAATCACATGCATTTAGAGGTTTTGAACGTAAATGCACCTGTCGAGTTCGGATAATTAGTTCTCACATAGATGGCATAGTCAAATTGTCTATTCCCTAGACCTGATCATAGTTACTAAGGTAACAGATTTATTTTTTAATTGGTAATACTTTTGTGTCTCGAGCGGAACGCATAGAACTTCAAGTTTCTCTACTGGTGGTGTTGCTTTTACGGGACAAGATTGCTAACCTTACAATAAATAGTCTAAATTTCTTTCCCATTTGTTGGTTTGTTTTCTCAGAGTATGGACAGCCAATTCATCTGTATTTCTTTCTACATATTTCTTGCACAATTGGTTCCTGCTGGGTTGATTCGTTCATTGGCAGATATCTCTCCCTGTTGCTTATCTTTTCTGATTGGCCATCTGATCTTGATTATTATTGAGCGAAGGCAGCTAGCTGTTGATGAAGGTGTGTAGTTTTTTTTCGAAGAGGTCTCCGTGACGCGCCAAGTCTCTGATCCGTATAGTAGCTCTGACTTCACATTAGAGTTGAAGATGCAGATGTTATTTTTCATGTTGAGTGCTGTTGATCTCAGCACTTTTCCAAACATTCGCTCAATAATACTCAAGATCAGATGGCCGGTCAGAAAAGATCAGCAACAGGGATCTCTGGCAGTGAACGAACCAACCCAGCGGGAACCAATTGTGCAACAAATATCCAGGAAGAAATACAGATGAATTGGCTGACCATACTCTGAGAAAACAAACTATCAAGTGGGTGATATCACACGCCAGACCATCGCTCGAGTGGGAAGTGGCGAGTTGGTCACCAGTGCCAGGTTGACATGGAGGAGGAGGGGATGCGTAGAGGCGATGAAAGCATGTGGGTAGACGTGGAGCCAGGTGAGGAAACGCTGGCGGAGAACCTAAACGCAACGGAGACGTGCGGCTGAAGCCTTATATTTCTTTAGGGGCTAAAGGAAACAATAATATTAATAATCCCTCTTTTGTGGGTTTACTATTAGCCAGGTGAGGTTTTTTTTTAAAGTGCATTGGTCGGTGCTGTGAGTCAAACCTTCACCTCCTCTAGGGTTGGCGCTAACAATCTACTATTGAGCCGCCGATGTACATAATAACTGAGTGGTTTTTTTTTGTAAAAATTAAGTTACCTTAATTTGTGACTACACTCAGACGCATGTGTTTATGTATTCATGAATTATTATTTCGTCAATAAGCTTTTTGTCTTTGTTGTTTACCCCAAAACTATTTTTTTATTTACTACAGACACCAGGTGTAACAGATTGTTTCTCTGAAGCTGAAAAATCTGGTGTAGCACATTATCAAGAACCAATTGGTAAAGATAGAGCTGGTCGGTTATATTGGTATATTAGTCGACGATTAATTATGTAAGTGAATGGTGTTATTGTAAAAAAAAGTGTGAATTGTAGTCATATATTTCTCGTCTTAATGTTTAGTATGCTGCTTTTAACAATATCGGCATGCAAATCTCAAAAGAAAAAAAAAAAAAAAAAAAAACTAAGAAATATCTAATTTAGGTGAATATCATCAATCTGAAACCAGTTTGGAAATCTTCCGCACTCAACTCAGCCAGTATAAAGAACAAGATTCGCATTTTCAACACCGCTGTGAAGTCGGTTCTTCCATACGGGTCAGAAATTTGGCCAGCATGTAACCATAAAGGATTTCCAACAGGCCTACTGCAAACTTTTATCAACGGCTGCCACCTTCGCTGGCTAGCTCTATACTGAAGATCAAATAGCCGACCAGAAAGAATAAGCAACAAGAAGCGATGTGACCAAACCAACAAGCTCAACAAATATGTAGGAGAAAGTGGAGATGGATGGATCGAGCATACATTGAAGAGGCCGCTGAATGACATCACACGCAATGCAGGCAATCTCTCGAGGGGAATCCAAATAGGAAGCGATGAGTGGGTCATCGTTGGCGAGGGTGACATGGAGGAGATCGTTTGGGGAAGAGGAGATGAGAGAGTTTGGTCAGTCGTGAAGGTAACCAGTTGAAGAGGACGCCAGAAAACCTAACAAAGTGGAGATGTGTTGTTGAAGCCAGCCAGTCAGCCCTATGTTCCACCACTGCTTGTCAAAGTGTTTACTATGTATGCATCTTTTGGTGTACAACTGCTATTAGCCTATGAGTTAGGTACACTCTGGCTACTAATTACCTTTCTCGTGAATTTTTCAAATAACAAGGTAGTTTGGTGGAGTAGAGTAGTGTCTGACGTGTCAGTCGAAAATGTCTGTAATTTGTGTGCAGAATTGATTTTTGTTGGTGTTATTAATTGCTAATTTCACTAGCGCATACCATCTGAAGAATATTGGGAGAGGTGATCACAGTAGAGGAATAAGTATGAAATGGAGCTGTGGCTTGACGCCCAGTTTTTTATGGGTCTACGGTTTAAATTTTAATTCATCCACCTATATCCCACGTGGAAAAGATTATAAGTCTTCAGTCATCATATGTGGTTAATAACCTGGTACATGAACTCTTGCGGAGGGTGTTAGTTATGGGTATCATCGAGACAGGTATGTTGACTATTTAAACTAGTGAGGCACGTGTCTATCCAACCTCTTTCTCCACATGTATGTCTGAGAACTGATTATCCCATATACTCCCATTGTATATTTAAACGTCTAGAGGTCACATAGAGGGGGAGCAGTCACCAAAAAAAAAATAATGTGAAAATTTTCCCTTTAATTTCTTCATGTCTCATTTCTACAAAGTGCAATATTATAAACTGTGTATTTGACTTAATGTTAACAGATCGCCCAAATAGCTAGCTAGAGGTCAGGTGGTTTGAACTAGTTCAGCTGCCTGCGTTGAGTTTAGCCGGGGCATACCACTGATGAACTGGATCCAGAACGATCGGAGTGGGGCTGTCTGGTGTTTTCATCACTTCCACATGATTAGTTGGCAAGCTCTACTGGTCGATGTGATTGACATGCAACTACTCATCTCAGTGGTTGAATGCTTTCCGAGCTCGACTGGTAACCATAATGTACTGGGTTCGAACCCCGGTGGGTTGGGTGCTGATAAGACGTTCTAAACTGGGACGAAATAGCTACCCAGTGCTCCCTTAGTGGTTTTCTAACTGATATCAGCTCGCGATGAATCCTGTAACCAATCAAAACCCTGCAAACCTACACTTGATAACAATCTATATATAGAAATTAATTGGTGGATGATGGCTAGCAGTGGAATCCAGGATAACGCGCATTTCGTCCTATCTGGGACTCGTCAACTGGATGTACCTGCATTCCCAGTGAGTGATGGTGTTCCCATGGAGGCTCGAACCCAGTGCCCATAGTTTCAAAGGCCAAAGCGTTATCCACTAGACCACTTGGACCATGGGAGCCTCGATGGGAACATTATCACTCACTACGGAATGCAGGTACATCCAGATGACCACCAGTCCCAAATAGGACGAAATGCACGTTATCGTGGATTGCGTCACTGCTAGTCACCATTCACCAATTAATTTCTAATTATATGCCCAGACATCGTCGATGCATCTGCACAAGAAGCCGACAGACATGTCAACCTGAGGCGGAGCACTTCTGTCCAATCAATCGACGGGGAAAATCTAAGATTGAATTAAACAATCTATGCTTGTTTTTTATTTTCAGTGAGCCAGTTGACTTTAGTCAACGTGAACCCGAATTAATGGGATTTCATGATGGTGTTATAGATAAAGTATGGGAAGCAGAATGTGGTTGTGAGTTAATTGAAAAAGATGAAGAAATGGAAGATAGTGACACTGATATTGATCCTAATAATGCTGGCGAAAATAGCGGCACTGGTGCTGTGGAAAGTACACCCGGCTCAACAGTAATAATAATGAAGGCATCGACTCACCACCTTCCAAGTCATCAAATTGTGATAGTCAATCAGTGCCGGTAAAACAAAGTGATAAAAAAGCCGAAGAACCCTCAATGTAATCCATCTATTTCATATGCTAATGAACCATGCGTTTATTATTATTCTTCAATTGAACAAGTTCTGCGTATACGTGAATTGTTGTCAACCGATTGGGAACCATGGTTATGTTATCGATTAGACATGTTACTGCCTAGAATGAAATCTGAAATGACTATTACTCAAAAACTAACTGAAAATGGTTTACAACAATTTTGTCGTTTACGACCAAATCATAAATCACTATCTATGAATGATCCAAATTATCAAAGATATGCAAATCTGTTGATGTCTTCAATAGGCAATATAGTGTGTGTTTATTCTGTACTGGAGGTTGAACAAGGTGAGTAATTTTCAAGTATTAGTTTTGTAGGGATTTTGTTTGATTGATTGTATGGAGGATTTTATCATGAGCTGACATCACCGTACCGCTGAAGAGTCCTAAACTAGGCTGACGAAACAGCTGTCCAGTACTCCCAGCTGGTTTTCCAGTAGTTCTCTAACTGATGTCAGCTCATGTTGAAATCCTCCATACTAGGTGAGTAATTGATTGTTAAATTGTTGTATGTGTCAGGTAACTTCTTTTATATTGCATGAACTGGTTCGTTTTCATGATTTTTGTATTGTAGTTGAAAATAAATCGAATGTTGTTCAAATACCTTGGATTATTCGTTTCTCGGATCTTTCCTGGTCGTTCTCTCTCCCCCCTCTCAGTCATGTCAACTTCTAGGAAGATATTTCTTCTAACCTTCTACTTTTTCGTCCTATTTGGGATTCGTCCGCCAGCTGGATGTACCTGCATTTCTCAGTGAGTGGGTGATGTTCCCACTGAGGCTCGAACCTGGAGATCGTCGAAGCATCTGCACAAGAAGCCAACAGACATGTCAACCTGAGGCGGAGCACTTCGGTCTAATCAATCCATCGACAGGAAAATCTAAAATTCAATTAAATAATTAATATGATATGTTGCACACGAGGTGGTGGCTCTCTTGTGGCCCAAGTGGTCTAGTGAATAACGCGCTTTGGCTGCTGGTGTTTAAAACTATGGACACTGGATTTGAGCCTCGGTGGGGGAACATCATCACTGATTCACTGGGAATGCAGGTACATCCAGCTGTGGAGGACGAGTCCCAGATCGGGTCGAAATGCGTGTTATCCTGGACTGGATTCCGTCACTGCAAGTTGCCATCCACCAATTAAATAATTAATGTGGTTTAAACAATCTGATATCATTCAGTATGTGCTTGTACAGTTTGTTCACTCTTGGATCCTACTTGTTCCCCCTAATTAAGAAAGGATTTGTTTTTCATGAATTGGCTTTGTAGCGATTTAATTTGTTTCAGGTTTCACCACGGATTGATATCAGTTAGAGAACCATTGATCCGGAAGGTCCTAGATTTGAACCCCAGTGGACACGTACTGCCGAAGAGTCCCAGATCGGGTCGAAACAGCCATCCAGTACTTTTCTTTCTTTTTTTTTTGCCTTCACGTTCGCCAGTAGAATATGGGGCACCTTCAGTGGTGTTTATTTTACAGGATGGGTTGCTAGCCAGCCTCATGGCCAACCTTTCCTCTTTACCAGCATTATTTCTGGTGTAGCGAGGTAAAGGAGTGTGTCGGGTGGGGATCGAACCCCGGACCATGTGCATGGTTGGCGAGCGTCCTAAGCGCTATGCCACCGACGCACCATTGGTTTTCAATGATTCTCTCTCTCTCTCTCACTGATATCAATACATGTTACTGCTGTGCCATCGATGCTTAAGGTTTGATAATTTATTGTTTTGAAAAAGGTGTGAACAATAAGAATGGTGTCACGTGTCAATGTTCTTGCATTCATTTCTTTTCTTGTTTTTTTTCCAAAATAATTTTTCAGCTTTATGTAAAAAGATTGACGCTGGTGAAACAAATGAACATTCAACAAAGAAATTGGTAAGTTTACGTAATAAATATAAATTTTTTAATTTTCAAGTATTGGTTTTGTGTAGGGATTTAGTTTGATTGGATATGGAGGATTTCATCATGAGCTGACATTAGCTAGATAGAGAACCATTGGAAAACCACCTGGGAGTACTGGACAGCAAGCTGTTTTGTCAGCCTAGTTTGGGACGCTCACAGCATGGGGTTCGAGCCCAGGAAACAAGGCTAGCGGGCTCGTGGATCATTAAGTCACTGGGACCCAATTTAGTAGCCCATTAATTGTCATGAGTACGCCATAGGTATGTCATGAATTGGCAGAAGTTAGAATTCATGGCCTGGCGACTGGATCGGGTCCCAGTGGCTTAATGATCTACAAGCTTTCTAGCCTTGTAACCAGAAGGTCCTGGGTTAGAACCCCTTAGTGTGGATGCGTACTGATGAAGTGGAGTCCCGAACTAGGCTAACAAAACAGCTGACTGTCTAATACGCTCTTCAGGTGTTCCAATGGTGCTCTAACTGATGTCACATGATGAAATCCTTCAAGACATAATAATAATAATTTGCTTTATACCAAAAGAGTAATTGTGATACAGAATGGAATTCTCAGCATTTTACTACAGTATTGGTCCAGTTTGTACATTATCAATAAATAAAATTCTAAATAGATTAAGGAAATTTCAGTTCATTATGACAACAACATATTAGCATGTCGCTAGCAAAGCCAAAATTGAACAGAGTGTTTGAAGGTGTTAGAAAAGTAGATACCAGCACATTTACTGGCGTAAGCGGTAACAAAAAGGTCGAGATATAATGAGTGTGAACGAACGAAGAAGAATGCTTTAAATAGAGTTTGTAAGGAAGAGAGAAACAAAACAGCACATAACAGAAAAAAGAGAACATGATATGAGTTGGAAAGACGAGATCCAGTTGTTCTACTGACTATTTAATAACTTATAAGTTTCACGCCTAATGCTTTATCGCACAGAACACGAGCTAGCCAAGTAGGGTATGGTTGAGCTTTTGTACTTGCTAGTGCCAGCATATAGTTTTCTATAAAGGTTTCTGGTTTCGCCTGATGAGATACAACAAGGGGAGAGTTTTGAATGAGTTAGACAGATCGAATGGATTTAGCCCATTTTTCACATGAGGAGTCCAAGTGCCTGTCAACCAGAGTATTAACAAGCTGGTTAAGTGGCACGTTGCTCACCCTACTGACAACCTTTAACATCCTGCGTACAGATACAAAATACGTTTGCATCTTTTATTTCATTATTGAATCAAGGCTATAGCAGCTTGTAGTCTCCCGTCGATTGACAAGCCTGTCTTCCCATCGCTGTCAAATGATTTGTTATCATTTCTGGAAAAGTATACTGAAGACAATTCATACGTAGTTCTGGTCACCGATCAAAACAGCTGCATTGTACGTAATCATGATCAAGTGATTAGTCGGATAAGCAAAGAGGATAATTCTGTAAGTATTTTTAGTGTTTTATACAATTAATATTTCTTACATATGTATATAATTTGTTTATCACATTACTTTTATAGTAGATACATTAATTAATGATTTATATTAGACCTGGAGTTGTTCCCCCACTTCCCCGCCCCTCATTCCTTTGCGTTCCGAGTGAAACTTAGGGTTGGCTTCAAGCAAGAGCTTTGAAGTTTTAGTAGCCTCATGACTGGCCCAACCTTCTCCTTTATGCCGGGTTACCTGCCGTTTAGGCGAGGTTCAGGAGTGCGTCAGCTACCGGGAATCGAATCCCAGACCATGTGCGTCAGTGGTTGGAGGTCAGTCTACCCTTGGGTCACAATTTTGAACTATATCACTAATATATGTCCAAACCAAGTTCACTTTCAAAAGTTTGAAAACATTTGGACATTGGGTATATGATATTGATTATAGTAAAGGTTTTTGTGTATTTTGCAATGAATGAATGAAAAACAAAACGATACTGTCGTTGTTTTTACTGACGTTTCGCTATTTGATGCTGCTGCTAATGGCTTTATCAAAGTATTATTGAATCAGCATTTGCAAAATCTCAGTTTATACATATAACAACTTAATCTCCTATGGTTGATTGGTTTGTAAGGATTAGATTTGTTTTTACGAGTTGATCATGGATTGACATCAGTTAGAGAACCACTGAAAACCAGCCACAGGGAGTACTGGACAGCTGTTCCATCTGTCTAGTTTATGAAATCATCGGCAGTACACACCCACCCCACAGGAGGTTCGAACCTAGGACCTTCCGGTTACAAGGTAAGCTAGCTCGTATACCATTCAGCCAGTGACTTGCTACAGGATGGAGTTTCCTATAGTTCTAGTGAGAAGTCGTGATCAGAGAGGTCCATCCAAATGTCAAGTGTGAGGATGGATGTCCCACTGACGACATTGGTTGGGGTCGCGCTAAATCACGAGTTCATAGACCATTGAATTGGGTTTCAGTGGCTGAATAGTGTACTAGCCAGCTTGCCTTGTAACCTGAAGGTTCTGGGTGTGGGTGCGTAGTGCCGATGATTCCCAAACTAGGATGAAACAGCTGTCCAGTACTCCTAGCTGGTTTTCAATGGTTCTTTAACTGATATCAATTCATGATCAACTCGTAAAAACAACTTAATAATCGTTCATCAGCATGGGGTAATTTTTAAGTCATCAAGTTGGCTAATCGGTAAAGATAACAAAACCATGAGGAGATTTTTGGATTCGATAGACGCATCTTTACCAATTAGCCAACCTGATAACGTGAGAATTACCCTACGCTGATGAACCACGATTAAGTTTACTTACTTACTTTACTTCGGCTATCTCCTACGGGAGGATGAGCCGGCTTCATGAACGTCAGAGAGTTCATGAAGTTTCATGGGAATTTGGTACGAGTGATGTCCCCAGCATCGCTCGGCCTTTTGTTTGAGAGTGCAGCTCTAGCCTTTACACAGCCAAGTGTGACCTACAAGGCAGTAGGAGTGGAGTAGGGAGTCCACTATCCATTGGCAGCCGGTGACCGGAGTTCGGTTCATACGCCTTTTTGAATGGGGCCAGACATCCAGGACATCCAACAAGCCCTTTGTCCATACGTCTGCCGGTGAGCTCCAGTGAGCTTCATACGCCAGTCGTTGGAGGTTTGGAATCAGGGTTTAGCCATCTCCCCTAGACTGTCATCCAATGGACAGTCAACCCGGTGGGGAGCGCCGGGCATCCGCTTTCGCCCTCTCACTTTAGTGAGAAACACCTCCGCCACGTGAAGGCAGTGAGTAGGACTTCCTCAGGAGAGGCTATGTAAGACGCCCGGTCATATGGGAGCATTTCAAGAGGTGTGAGGAGGGGTGGCCAACCCGCAGCGCAAGGCACCCACCCCCGACCATCCTGAGGCTTTGATGTATAAGCTGAGATTTTGTAAATTCTGGTCTAGTATTACTACTTTGGTTATTAGCATTAAATAGCGAAACGTCAGTAAAAACAATACTCTTTTGTTTTTCATTCGTTGGTAAATACAAAAGCTTTTATGATAATGTATATCACCAGTAATATCCAATCAATGGTTTTTAGCATCCGGAGGACCAATAACCAGACAGCCTACACCTCAGTATGTGGCTAGTTCAAACGAACTGTCTACGTGTTCATGGGTAGATGGCGGATTTTAATTTAACTACCTTTAACTCTTTTCCAAACTAAAGTTTTCTGTAGGCTAACATTGTCCCTTGAGAACGGTAATGCTCAACCCTTGACCATTTAACTTCACAACCTCATTAATTGACTTTCCCTCCTTACCTGGTACTCTACGCCTTACTTCAGTATTCTTCACCATATGTAGAACTATGACTGTTTGGTTTGTGCCATTATTTTTCATTTGAAGTGTTGGTTGGTTGATATACGTACTGTAACTCTAAATAGGTGGTTTTATTACCTTCATTGTTTAATACGTGGATATACGCATATCATTTTATGAGTAACCTTCAGGAACATAGGTGAACTGTAGAAATGTGACTCTTTGGCTTTGGTAGTACTCGGGACACAGGTTCGATTCCCGTTCTACCTACTTCAGCCGCGGCTGCAACTGGTAGAAGTATCGCCATTCCTCACACATGATAAGTATGACGGGCTTTTATAGCCTGGTACTCGGAAAAATCTATTCTGAGTAGTTCAAGCTTAAGCAAATATTAAGGTGGTGAACTCAAAACCGGAAGTTTTGCCTTGAATTACTAACACCTTTTATTCATAAAGTGTTATCGGAATATAAGTGATTGTAGTGTTAGTTTACATTACATAAACAACTTGGTACGTCGAAGTGTGGTTAGATTTTGATCTTTCCATCGAAATGCTGGCATTTGGACATGTATTCATAGCCTCTGCGGGGTTAAGTCCACACTCACTGCCTTCCCACGGTGAGGGCATTCTCCAAAAAGGTGGAAGGGTGAGTTCTAAAGTCTGGCGCTTACATCCGAACCGGTGGACATACTGGTCTACCCAAGGGGACTGGAAAACTCTAGCTCCAAACTTATGGTGTGCATAGGCTCCAGAAACCTAGAGGATAGAATGGAGTATTGAAACCATAAAAACATAGCTGTTGACGCTGTTTCACTGTCTTGTGGATCAGAATTCAAATGTATGTAGGTAGAGTTGGAGGCTTAGGAAAACCGCTTGTTTCGGTCTGGGCGTCCGAGACGTATCCGCGTCCTCTCACAAACTATTGTGGTACCCATAATAGTAAAATAATTACACTAATGAGTAGGGTTTCGAATCATGATTCTGAGTTAAATCATGAACATATTTATTTGTTATATTTAATTTATGCATTTAATTCCTCCGAGCTTCTCTCTTTGAAGTTTCAGTACTGGGGTTGTGTTTTTATTTTTGCGGGATGGGGTTTCTAGCCTCAAACCCAAGCTAAACTCCTTTCTTTTCCCGGCTCACTATCGGTTAGTAAACTAAGGCGGTGAATCTGTCGGAGGGTGAAGATATGATCAATACACCCTCTTCCTGGTCTAGAGCCAGGCAGGCAGACATCGCGTGTCAAGCCCTCGAGTGGAACCCGAAAGGGAAGCGGCATGTGGGACGTCCAAGGGTGAAATGGAGGAGATCGTGTGAAGAGGAGTTGAAAGAATATGGACTAACGTGGATGCAGGCGAAAAGTACAGCAGAAGACAGACAGAGGAAGTGGAGACGTGCAGTTGAAGCCCTATGTTCCACTACGAACCCAAGGGAGCAATAATAATAAAATAATAATAATAATATAGTATCTAAAGTCCTAGGCTCAATAATCATGCGTAGACTAAGTGGTACTCGGGAGGCACAAACACGAGAGAGCCAGGCAGGCTTTAGACCAGGAAGAGGGTGTATTGATCATATCTTCACCCTCCGACAGATTCTAGAACATAGGAATTCCTACCGGCGTCCAACAGTCATTATATTTCTTGACCTAAAGGCGGCATTCGACTCTGTCGACCGAGAGGTTCTCTGGAGATGCTTGGCTGTAAAGGGAATTCCAAGAAAATATATTGCACTGATTAAGGCACTCTACTCGTACTCATACAGCCAGGTGAGGGCTTACGGCGAGCTGTCATCTGAACTGATGACGACCAGTGGTGTCCGTCAAGGATGCCCATTATCTCCTTTTCTATTCAACTTCATCATAGATGTGTTAATGGACTTAACCCTAAGTGACTTCAGCGACTCAGGGATTGACTTGCTACCGGGGAATAATCTCGTTGACTTGGAATATGCAGACGATATAGTCCTTCTAGGCGAAGACGCTGACGAAATGCAGAGTCTTCTAAACACCTTGAGTCGCAATCTACGAATGTTTGGCATGCGATTCGCTCCCGCCAAATGCAAGATGATGTTACAGGACTGGACTACATCGACGCCTAGTTTAAAAATAGGAAGTGAAGTGGTAGAGCACGTTGACCGCTTCACTTATTTGGGAAGTACCATCAGCCAGCACCAACGGGTTGATCTCTGACGAAATCTCAGCACGAATACAAGGGGCTCGTTTCGCATTTGCCAGTTTACGCCGACTCTGGCGTAGACGAGATGTTCGACTATCGACCAAAGGGCGGGTGTACTGCTCATCAGTCCGCTCCGTCCTCCTTTATGGTTGTGAGACCTGGCCACTGAGAGTGGAAGACATGAAAAAGGACTAGCTGTCTTTGATCATAGGTGCCTGCGTTCTATTTCCCGTGTAAAGTGGCATAATAAGGTGAGCAACATGGAGGTTAGGCGTAGAGTTCTAGGTAAACAGGGGAAATCAATCGACGAGGTCGTGAAGCTACAAAGACTGAGATGGTTAGGACATGTGTTACGTATGCCTAGCCAGTCATCGCCTCCCTCGACGAGCAATGTTAGCGGATATAGGGTCAGGCTGGAAAAAAGCTAGCGGCGGTCAAACAAAAACTTGGCCTCACCAGTCAATGAAATCCACAACAGTTGGTCTAAGCCACGTAGGAAGGTGTAGACTTCCAGGCTGGTTGGGGTCCTCGGGACGGTAAAAATCTATGGTTGGAAACAATTGGTGACATGGCTCAAACTCATCGTTCTCAGTGGCTGGTGCAGATGCATCCACTCCCTGTGACTTATGATCTTCAATGAAACTGTTTTGTATTTCTTTATTACTCCTTTGTCTCACACCTCTGCTCACTGTTTCTATTATGCTTTTCTTGTACTTTCTTCTCTTGCTTCGCGTGCTACACGGAGTGTGGCGACTTGAACTTCCGCACATTTGTGCAAAGTTCTACGTCGAAAACAGACAGACAGACAGAAGGCGGTGTTTATGAATTTTAAGACGATTTAATGGCTAAATATTTAGATAATTCATAAGTAGGTGAATTTCTAAAATCAACTATAGGTCTAATAGGGTATACTGACTTATGAACTTTAACAACACCATACATCCCACTAGGGTTATTAGTTTTGGCCATTAAGTTAAACCATTCCGACTCACCTAGAAACGGCTTCATTTGGCGTATAAGGTCCGCTGTAGATTTCTTAACCTTATTCATAACTGTGTCTATTGATTTATTAATTTCCTCATATGGTCCTGTTTGTATGTGAGTATTTACCTTGTCCAAGTAGTCTGATTTGTCTAATACTACTGTTGCATTTCCTTTGTCTGACTTTGTGATTACTATATATCCTTGTTATTCTTAAGGCGTTTCAGGGCTTCTATCTCTGGTTTTGTCAGGTTAGGCTTTCCACGTACATTTTTGTCGTTTTAATGTTAGTGCACATTGTGCCCTGCATACTTCGTCAGTCGTTGTTTTGTCTATCCCACACACTTAGTGCTATTTCTATTTTAAGGATGATATCCTCAGGTTTCAGCTTATCTACCGCTGCTACATTGAAGTTTAGTCCCTTTTCTAGTACACTCATTTCTGTAGGACTTAATATATATGTGTTGAGAGATTGATAACCCGCTTTGTTTAGGTTTACGAGTACTTTGGTTGCCGGCTGTCTGTCTGTGTGTTTTCGACGTAGAACTTTGCACATATGTGCTGCACTTCAAGTCGCCATACTCCATGTAGCACACAAAGCAACAGAAGAAGAAAGTAGAAGAAATGCAAAATAGAGACAGTAAACAGAGATGTGAAACTAAAAGAATAGTAATAACGAAGAACAACATAGTTTCATTGGGTATTATAAGTCACAAGGAGTAGATGCATCTGCACCAGCCATTGACAACGATTTTGAGATAGCCATGTCACCAATTGTTTCCAACCATTGGTTTTTACCGTCGTGAGGACCCCAACCGGGAAGTCTACATCTACCTACGTAGCCTAGACTAACTATTGTAGATTTCATTGACTGGTGCCATGTTTTGGTCTGACCGCCACCAGCAAGCTCTTTTCCAACCTGACCCTATGTCAGCTAACATTGCCCATTGTCGAGGAAGGCGATGACTAGGCAGGTATGCGTAACACATGTCCTAACCATCTCAGTCGATGTAATTTCACAACCTCGTTGATTGATTTCCCCTGCTTACCTAGAGCCGGCTGTATTCATGTTCGGCGTCCGTTTTACCATTAGTTAGAATTCATTGCGTCCATCGTTTGTTAGTATTAGTTAGACTTTAAATGTCATATGCACTTACGTTATAATTCATCATCACGCTTTCATCTTTCGTAGAATGAAGTTGCAGTCTATCCACCGACAATCTTAGAACCACAAGACTTATCCACATTACATATGCCGCTTGACTGGAATTCATCAAATCCAACGCCCAACGAATGTTGTCTACTTGCCTATCGTTTATCAGATGAAGGTAGTTGGCGTTCATGGACAAATTTATATACTTCAGGTGTATGGACTGGAGAGGAAAAAGCCACCGCCACCACCACTGATGGTGATGCGGATGATGGTGCGAATAAACAGCATGGCGACGATGCTGATGGTGATGGTATACATGATCTGAAAAGAACACCAAGTGGCACAAGGAATACACAGAATCCAGCGGCGAAGACTACCACTGATGAAGTCGATCCAGACGATATGATATTGGATAGTGTTAATGTTGCACTGACACGTGCTCAACACTTAGAAGAGAAAGAGAAACGACGTTTGCTGGCGAATAAATTTAATTTTAGTGATTATTGTTCAGATTTATGGCAATATATTGATCCTGTTACACTAGCCTCTACCTATAAGGGAATATTAAGATCTATGATGGAGGATAAAACAGCAGCAACCACCGCCGCCGCATTTGAAAGAATTCGTTTCGATTGTTGGCCAGCTAGTCCATATCAACTGTTGGATTTATTGCGTTTAACACTATGTCATATGGAATCAAAGGTGAGTTTATCGGTTTGATTTGCCTTTAAAGGAAGTATATTGGAGTGTGCGTGTATGTATGTGTGTGTGTGGGTGGGTGGGGGGTAAGTCTGTGTATAATTTAACTCAAGAAGGGCTTTGTGTGCGATTATGGAAGCGTGTGTGTGCTCTTTACTTTCTGGCTGTGCTTATTCTCTATGGAAGTTGGTTCCTTCTTGGGGGAGCATTGGTGTTTTGTTGGCTACACACGGGCCCGTTTGAGTTCGTTTCTTGAGCTGTGTCCTTATTTCGATCTTATCTGAGGCTATGGACCGCCGAAAGGTAGTGCAATTTTCGGGGTCAACCTTTTCTAACTGCCTCTTTGCCTCCAAAGCGATGAGACGGCATAGCTGACTTGCAGGTCATCTGAAGGATATTAAAGGAAAAGAGCAAGAAGTTCAGCAAAGATATCTGTCTTTATGGAGATAGTATTCTCAAAACCAGATGTATAGTCGCATCTATATCGCATTAGTTAATTTGAAATTTCCTGTCGATTGATTGGACCGAGCTGCTCCGCCTCAGGTTGACATGTCGGTTTCTTGTGCCGAAACTTCGACGATGTTTGGGCTATGTAATTAGAATTTAATTGATGGATGTTGACCTATTGCACAAGAGGTGGTGGCTCTCGTGGCCCAAGTGGTCTAGTGGATAACGCTCTTTGGCTGGTGTTTGAAACTATGGGCACTTGGTTCGAGCCTCGGTGGGAACATCATCACCGACTCACTGGAGAATGCAGGTAAATCCAACTGGAGGGCGAGTGCCAAGTTGGACGAAATGCGCGTTATCCTGGACTGGATTCCGTCACTGATAGTCACCACCCACCAATTAAACTCATTAAAAATGCTTGAATCTAACAAATGATTAAAAATCATCTGTCCTAGAGTTTTATAGGCAGCTTTGTTTGAAGTGAATCAAATTATTTGCTCAGGTTCCGAGTGGAACATAAGGCTTCAACAGTACGTCTTCACTTCGTCCTTTTTTAATGCTACCGTCCTCAATTGTCCCCACGCTTGTCCATAAACTCTGATCTCCCCACAAGCTTGAAGCGACGCCCACCTCGTCATTTCCTATTCAGGTCCAACTCGAAGGTTTGTCTGGTGTGTGACGGTATTCACTGGTCTCCTAAGAGTTCGCCCGATCCACTTCCATTTTCGTTGGTATATTTGTTGAGTTATGGGTTCTTGGGTGGTTCTTTGCTTAATTTAGTTACTAGCCGCAGCTCCTAAGCCCTGAAAACGATGAGAAGTTGGGTGTGTGGTGGGGCTATCGGCCCTACCCCGAAAAATCAACCCTGTCTCTCTACAGAATCGTCTTAGATTCACTTAATCGTTTAGTTTGTTTAAAGAAAAACTTTATATTATATTTTTTGGTGACTTTTAGTACAGTAATATTTTTTAAATACACATGTATATTATTATTATTTCAGATCCCTCTAGCATTCTTCACACCTGCCTGGCGAGCTCATCGTACTGAATGGATTAAAGATGTTCTAGATTGTAAATCACCATCCGACCTGGCATTTGTACTGGCTAGATTGGAAGCATCAATTCGCACTGTATGCTTTCAACGTGTATGGTTCAGTTCACTGGGTGAGTGATTTTTTTATCATTATGGTGGTGTATGTGTGTGTGTGTCATTCATAAGCATGTAAATGACCAACCGATTGATTTCATTTGAACCGTTGTTTGAACGCTTTACCCATTGTGATCTGACGTAGACATGATATCCGGCTGACTGTCGACCAAAGGGCGGGAGTACTGCTCAGCAAAGCAGTTCACTCCGTCCTCCTTTATAGCTGTGAGTGAGACCTGGCCATTGAGAGTGGAAGACATGAAAAGACTAGCTGTCTTCGATCATAGGTGCCCGCGTTCTGTCTCCTGTGTCAGATAGTGGTATAATAGAGTGAGCACTATTGAGGTTAGGCATCGATCGAGTGTTAGGTAGGTGGGAGGGAAATCAATCGATGAGGGTGTGTAATTACATCGACTGAGATGGTTAGGACATGTGTTACGCATACCTGCCTAGTCATCGCCTTCCTTGACAATGGGCAATGTTAGCTGACATAGGGTCAGGTTGGAAAAGAGCTAGCTGGCGGTCAGACCAAAACATGGCTTCATGAGTCAATAAAATGTACAACAGTTGGTCTAAGCCACGTAGGAAGGTGTAGACTTCCTGACTGGTTGGGGTCCTCGAGAAGGTAAAAACCAATGGTTGGAAACAATTGGTGACATGGCTATCTCAAAATCGTTGTCAATGGCTGGTGCAGATGCATCTACTCCTTGTGACTTATAATACCCAATGAAACTGTTTTGTTCTTCGTTATTACTATTCTTTTCGTTTCACATCTCTGTTTACTGTCTCTATTTTGCATTTCTTCTACTTTCTTCTTCTGTTGCTTTGTGTGCTACATGGAAGGAGTGTTTTGACTTGAACTGGTGCACATCGGTGCGAAGTTCTGTGTTGAAAATAGACAGACAGACTCATTGATCTAATGTGTTAGTTGTCTACATCAGTGAGGCTTGCTCCATACGTGTTACATTTTTTTTATACGGAATTTCATGAACCCTATGGTTTGTTTGAGTAAGAGTAATACCCTAATCCGTTCAATATTTTATTGTTATTATCATCATCTAAAATAGGTCATCTCAATCTGGAACGATTCACAGCTGCTCAAAGAGAGGAGGACAAGCGAATAAGACAATTTGATCGCCTGACTTCATCATCATCCTCTGCCGGTGGTGCTGGGAATGCGGCGGCGGCCAGTTTACCTGCAAATCTTATACGTACAAAAACTCCTCATCCAATTAGACATACAGTCTGGAAGACACGTGGTGAAGAATATCGCCGGTTAGGTGGAGATGGTTGGATGTGGATAAGTTCAACACGTGGTAATGCTGGCCGGGTAGCTCAACGTGCCTTTAAAACTCTTCCTCCAATATCTTATTGGCGTAATAATGCTGCGGCAACAAGCAATCGTCGTACTAATCCTCGTGGCCTTCAACACGGTATTGGATGGGGTGTTTGTCCGGAATATATAGAAGTGAGTTCTTATGCCTTTTTTCAGTTAACAAAAATTCAGTTATTGTTTTTAATCATTATGCTTCAATGGCTGAATGGTCTGTGGGCGCGACTTGTAACTCGAAGGCCTGAATTCGACCTCTAGTTGGGGCATGGGTGAGAACTGGTGGAGAGTCCCCGACAAGGACGAAACAGCTGTCCAGTACTCCCGGAATCTGCGTTGGTGATATAAGGGTTAGAATACTCAGCAACCACCCATGTGGTCCGGGGGGCCAACTCCCAGTCGACGAACTCCTTGACCTTGTTTAGCCTGTACAAAGAGCTTTAGAGAGATGAGAGGTTGGATATTTCGTTAGCAAGCCCACGCCGTAAGATAAGATTAATATCACTGCTACTGAAAGCTCAAGCTTGAAGCTCTATGTTTTACTCGAAACGCAAAGGAATAGGAAAAAGGTACAAACAGCGAAGAAAATTTTCTTTTCGACGATTCATTTTCATAAACTGATGTACAATCGTAATCAGATACTGGTAAACTTTGTTCTTGAAAAATTATATTGCATATGGTAAGGTGTAAGAAGGGTGACTAATTGTTAGTTAGAAAAGAGGCAGAAGTGCGTCGGTGGCACAGTGGTTAGGACTCTCGTCGACCATGAACATGGTCCGGGGTTCGAGCCCACGCCGGCGCACACCTGATATCTATGGTCGGCCTGCAAAATTTGGGCTACCAGTATCCATGCTGAAAATTCCATACTTGTACCAAAAATACAGTGTGGAATCAAGCTGTAAATCAAAAAAGTTGGCATGACGTAATAAGTGTGTGACTAATCAATAAGCTCGTGTAGAATAGACAGGATCTGGTGGAAAGGCGATAGTGTTTTTATATACAAATCTGTATGAAAAAGCAATGTTAATAATAAACAATAATAGATTGATAATAAAATATGGATCATGGGAATATTAATGATGATGAAGTAATAGTAATAATAACGATAATAATAGTGGACTTACATTATAAAAGAAAGAAGTGCAATTGTAGTAAATGCTTTACTCTGGCCATGGTAGGGCCAGAGAGTTTGTTGCTTTATTTCATTCATTGTGAACTGCTTGAAGTTGTTGATAAGTTTGTGTATCTGGGTAGTTGTGTGAGTGCTGGCGGAGGGGTGACGGATGAGATTTCCAACCGTATAATGAAGGTTAGGGTGGCATACATCAACTTGAGCCACATATGGCGCCGTCGCGACTTTAGCCTGGCTGTCAAAGGTCAGGTATACAATGCTTCGGTGCGGGCTGCCCTGCTCTACGCCTGTAAAATCTGGCCTCTCCGAGCTGAGGATGTGCGGCGACTCTGCGTGTTCGATCATCGCTGTCTCCGCAGGATTGCTTGTGTTCAATGGCATCATCGCGTGAGTAATTCTGAGGTTCGGCGGCGTGTGTTTGAACACAGTGGAGATCACCATTCATTGAGTGTCGTCATCTGGAAACACCGGCTCCGGTGGCTTCAACATGTGCTGCGAATGTCATCCCAGAGGCTTCTGTACAGGTCTCTGTTAGCTAGCCGCCCTGGGACGAGATGGAAAAGGCGGAGGGGGTGGTCACTCCATGACGTGGCGTCGTGGGATGAAGGATTTTTGTGCTAGATTAGCATCGGTTGGTGTGTCACGACTCCGTGGTTGGGGTCCGCGAGATAGCTCAAATCGATGGCTCGAAACGTTATCGGATATAGCCAAGAATCGTAATCAATGGCGAACGTGTTGCAATTTCTTTCTTTCTTCCCTTCCCGATGATAGTTGACGAATACTGTTTGAACTTGTTAAGCATGACTGCTTTCCTTTCAGATGAAGTTCTTTATCCGTTCTCTACTTATATTTTTTTCTTTTCCTTCTTTTTTCATTTTGATCTATGTTGTTTTGTCATTATTGTGTGGCGCATCCTTCTTGGTGCCATGTTGTACCAAGTTTTTATACGATTAAATAATAAATAAGGGCGAGAGAATGTATGTATCGCTTTTGAATGCAGAGGTCCGGTTTCAGATCTCGGATATCTATTGCTTCAGCTATGTCCAGATGGCGTATCCGAAGTCCCTTTTTACGATATTGAGGGACTCTGTATAGCACTGTGAAGCACTCATGCGGGAGGGGGTTGCTCGATGTCTAGAGATGACAAGGTGTTCGAGGATAGAGTTTCTGTTATTTTTCTTTTCTCCTCTGTCTGGCTAACCAAGCTGGACAATGTTCCAGAATACGTTTGTGGACTTGACGTTGCGTACGGCCGACATACTTTGCTCCACACGAGCAACTAAATTGATAAATACACATTGAAATGACCAAAAACGGTATCTTATCCTTAGCGTTAGACTGGATTAACTGTCTGCAAGAGAATGTGATACGTAGGTAGGGTGGCTGTTGGAAATGTCTTCTTCAGACGTTTAGAAAGGAGGTCTGTGAGAATTTCTGCTCCGATATCACCTTTGAATTCTAAGTTTATGAAGAGAGTATTCTTAGGAACCGTTGCGATGTCTGAATAAGGAATAAGACAATTCATCAATTTCCTAGATAGTGGTAATATACTCCGTGTTCGTTTATCTGTCAAGATTTTTTGCTTATATAACTTTCACAAAGGAGTTTTACTATTGTCCTCCCAGCTTAACACATATCATTTCAGCATGCAAGGATTCATTCGAGTTCTACTGACTCACCGATTCTGAGTCGACACCTATCCAACCTATACAACGGTTATATATATATTGTATAGTCCTTCTAGAGGCGAAGACGTGGACAATCTTCTGAACACCTGAAGCAGATATTTTAGTATGCTTAACATGCGATTCACTTCTGTCAACATGTAAGATGATACTGTAGGATCGGGGCGCACTGACTCCTAGTTTGAAGAGAGACGTTGAATTGGCTGAGTGTGTTGACCGCTTCACTTCTTTGGAGAGTTGTTGCTTCAACCCTCATGAAGTGACTGCTATCGAAATTTTAGTTCTTGGTGACAATTGCGTAGACGTGTGTGTTATCCAGCTATCGATCAGCTGACGTTGTGTACTGGCTGTAAGATATGGTCGTTGTAAGTAGAGAGACTTGAAGAGGTTAGTCATTTGCCTACTTCTCGTGTTAATTGGCTTTAGTATGGTGAGTAATATTTTGATTGGACACTAGTCAGTCAGTTTGCAATGTGGTCACCATAACACTAGGTGGCTCTCCATCATAGTGCACTGTGAATTGTTGGTATTAGATAGTTGGAGGCGATGGGCCACAGGAATCCTTGACTGCACTTAGGTTTCGTGCTTTTTGCCACTCATCAGTCAGTGAGTAAGGCGTATCTGAAACTTTGAAGGAACTCGTATCCCTTCTGAGATTCGAACCCATGTTACCTAGTGGTGGAGTCAGAGACGTTATCATAGAGCTATTCGGGCTCGTGATTGACCTCGTCTGTAGTACTGTATTAGATACTTTGATTGACTTGGATGATAGAATTCAGTCTACACCAAACGAAGGACTCGACACGCATTGTACTACTACCTACTGACTGGTGTCCAATCAAAAGTATACAATACAGTCCTACCGGAGGTCAATCAAGAGCCCGAATAGCTCATTGATAATGTCTACGACTGCGGCACTGAGTAACGTGGGCTTGAATCTCAGAAGGGATGTGAATTCCTTTAAGGTTGCACATACGCCTTGCTGATGAGTGTCATCTAGAACGAAACCTAGGTCTAGCCAGGGCTTCTTGTTGATTGCCTACAACCATCCAGTATAGTAAGCAATATCTAGATTAGGTGTGTTAAGTGATGAGAGCCGATTAATATGGTTGTGTACCCATATTGGCTTGAACACACACATGTTATGCATACACCAAGCCCCCCTCCTTCCTCACTGAGCAATATTAACTGGTATAAGACTAGATTGGGGAAGAGTTAGACGCGATGGAGTCAAATCTGTCCTCTGTTGATTGATGGAGTCTTTAACTTTTGGTTCGATCCGCGTAAGAAAGTATAGACTGCCTGGTTGGGGTCGGGGTTGTTGGAGACTTAGGAGTGCCAACGTCTCCAGACTGTTGGTGTCATAGCCAAAAATAGTCTCTCGTCATACAAATATACCGTTGTTTTTCCCATCTGTATACACTTTTCTCCTCTATATTATTTTCAAGGGTCAAATACCCGTGAAACCGCCTAAAGCAAGTGAATGTCGTGGGCATGTCCTGCATCCAATCACAGGATCCCATTATATTTAAATCCTAAACGTACATCGTACACTATTCCACCTGATGAATTAATAAAATTAAATGAACAAATAGAAAAACAAGAAGCAGAAGAAGCAAATGCAAAAGCAGAATCCTTGAAAAATTCAATGAAATTACAAGATACTACTGAAATAAGTAAAGAAGTAGAAAAACAAGAAGATAGTGTACGCTTGGATAATGATAGTAATCATGCGGAGAAGAAAGACGATGAACCAATGGATTCAGAGCTTAAAACAGTTCTTAATGAAGTCAAAATGTTACCGAATGTTTTGAAGGTAGAAGGAGGGGAGAACAATACCGATTCAGATAATCAAACATCTAAGCAAAGCACCAATACCAATGATAAGAAGAAACCTATATTAAATGTATCTTATGTAAGTATATTGATTTTCTTTGAGTAGATTGATGTTTAATGTTTTTTTTTTGCCTTCACGTTCCCCAGTGGAACATAGGGGACCTTCAAGCTAGTGGCTTGAAGTTTCTGTAGCAGTGGTGTTTATTTTTACAGGATGGGATTGCTAGCCAGCCTCATGGCCAACCTTTCCTCTTTACCAGCGAGCGAGGTAAAGGAGTGCCTCGTCTGTGGCTGGGGATCGAACCCTGGACCACCTGTGTGGTCGGCGAGCGTCCTAATCGCTATGCCACCGACGCTTAATGTACACTTTATTAACTTGACGTAACTTTTTTTATAGAAGTGAAAATTAAAAATTGTTAATTACGTGGTACTCAATGGCACAAACTAAGAAATTTGATAAGATTAAAATTGTTACTGTGAGGACCCGACGGAATTATGCCGGAGGTGTTTAAATATGGGGGTGACATACTAGTTTGTAGATTAACTGAGGTACTAGGCAAAGTCTGGGAATCAGAGACAGTTCCATCAGACTGGGGTAAGTCACTTATTATACCGATATTCAAGAAGGGAAACAAGTCCTCGTGTGATAATAATAGGGGGATCAGTCTAGCGAATATAGTTTCTAAAATCCTAGGCTCAGTAATCATGCACAGACTAAGCAGAACTCGGGAGGAACAGACGAGGGAAAATCAGGCAGGCTTTAGACCAGTTAGAGGGTGCATAGATCATATCTTCACTCTTCGACAGATTCTAGAACATAGACACACTTTTCGGTGTCCAACAATTGTCATATTTCTCGACTTGAAGGCGGCCTTCGACTCCGTGGATCGAAAAGTACTATGGCAATGTCTGACTGTGAAGGGAGTACCAAGAAAGTAGATTGCACTAATCAAGGCACTCTATTCAAACTCACGTAGTCGTGTAAGGGTTTATGGAGAATTGTCATCTGAACTGGTAACAACCAGTGGTGTCCGACAGGGATGTCCACTTTCCCCATTTCTGTTTAACTTCATCATAGATATGCTGATGGAAGTATCCTTAACTGAACGTAATGACTTAGGAATCGACTTGTTACCAGGGAATAGTCTTATGGACTTAGAATATGCAGATGACATAGTCCTGTTAGGGGAGGATGGTGACAAAATCCAGCAGAGTCTTCTGAACACTTTGAGCAGCAATCTTCGTATGTTTGGGATGCGATTCGCCCCTGTAAAATGTAAGATGCTGCTACAGGACTGGACTGCGTCAACTCGTAGCTTAGGGATAGGGAGTAATGTGATAGAACATGTTGACCACTTCACCTATTTGGGAAGTTGTATCAGCACCAACGGATTGATTGGCGACGAACGCCTATTGAAGAGTTTAAGATCAAGGTAAATAAGAGACTGGACAGACTTTCTCTGTATGCAGACTTTGGGGTTGTATTGACGAATTGCCAGCGCCTCCGTCATACACAAAAGTCAAAACCTGACGCCTTGTGTATCATTTGACCTCACTTTCTGGATGATCTAGAAAGACAACTTTGGTGTAGCTACGTGGCTTGAGTTTATCAAGTTCTCGAGAATTGAGCTAGTAACTAAGTGCCTTGCATTGTCGTCTTTCTAACCATGCCGGATAATGTTCAGAGATGCGTTTGGAAAGTGAGCGCTTTGTGCAGCCAATATAACTAGCTCCACACGAGCAGGTGAATTTATAAACACACATTGAAGTGACCCGTCCAAAGCGGCAGTTTATCCTTAACACATTCATTGATCATTTGTCGGCTGTAGAAATGGATCCGTAGCTCAGCCATAAAGAAGGCTTTCCTCAGTGATCTGCATAAGCAGTGATTCTTCAGGATCTCAGCTGCGGTATCACCTTTAAATTCAACACTCATAAATAGTAGTTTCTTCGGCACCGTCTGAGTGATTTCAGACTTTTCCCTTAACTTCATGTTTTTCTCGGCAAATCTTGCAGGACATCCCTTCTCTATGAGGACTTGTCTAAGTCGCCCCAGTTCTCCCCATCGATTCTATCACTGGAATATATCCTCCTTATTCTTGAGGATAAGGAATGGATCAGATTTCTCTTTCTCCTCAAAGGGACCCAACTATGAAAATTCGTATACTCACCATTCCATGTTGGTTTCCTGTAGATCGATCTTTGAAGAGAACCATCAGATCTCCATTTTAGAAAAAAAAAATGCAAAAAATGGAATTCCGAGTTCATTTCTGACTTCGACGTGAATTGGATGGCATGATGACAGCTGTTGGACTCTATAGTTATCCATACGATGTCGGTATTGTCGTCGTCACATCAAATTTCTATCTTTGTGCCGTTGTTGACTACCACGTACTTTACAACTTTTAATTTTTCACTTCTAAAGCCATTTTCGAGTAATTATATCAATTATGTAACTTGGTTACTCGAAACCTATTCGTCAAATATCCAGATCGTAAATATCCTGGATCCTATCGCTGGTGGTTTCAGAAGATTACACCTAATACGCAGAATACTATGCATAGTATCATCAACGGGAAACACCAGAAGACGGTAGAGTAATACGATTGTCTCTTCTTTCACGGACAATCGTGACAGAAAGAAATACAGGTTACTGTTTGTTAAGTTTGTAAATAAGCGTTAATAGAATGTGCAAAATCATACTTCTGACTGCATTTCTCACGTCTTCTGTCAACCGGCATACGACTAAGCACTGATAGCCTTCTTTTCTTTCACCAAATGGAGACCAGTTCGAATAAATAGACGATTCAGTGTTCACTAGTATTGAAAATACTTCACATATAGTAGGCAACGATCTACACTTAGTTTGTATGGAGGGGTGTTAGGATTCTTAGACCAAGACATACATACTGTGGCTGAAAGTCGACTAGTTGAGATAGCGAATCATACTACCTACCACCCTATCACTGCTATTGCCCTTAAAGGTATAATTATTATTCCCTTTGGTTCCGCGTGGACGTCTACAGTATATATCTATTTCACCTCGTCCTCTGCAGCCTTTTTTGGTTGACCCCACGACTATCTATAAGCTTTCATTTCCAGCTCACAGGAGATCCTTCATGTTGCCCTTACGTACACACCCAACTTATGTCTCATTTCCCCTTTCAGGTTCCATTTGAGGACCTGGCACATGATTTTTCCTTGGGGTGCCTAAAAGAGAAGGAGAATTAGTGTTTCGTTACTGTAGCAGAGTCTAGGGGACAACTGCTTAAGGCCGGCCTTATACGGCTTGTTTGAATTGGTTTTCAGAGTTATGTTCGTATTATTAAGATCTTAACGCCGGCTACAGACCGCCGAAGGGTATGGTGGCGGGGTATAATTTTCTCCGTCAACCTTTTCTAACGGTTCCTACCACCTTCAGAGAGGACAGACAGCATAGCTGACATGCTGAGGGCATCCTATCGGAACACCATACTACTGTGACATCCCTATTCGCTAGCAGTAAGAATTCGCCCACAGATCCCCGACATATGCTGTAAACGAACCCACACTGTGATGGTGTCTTATTTTAGTTTAACTGCCATCCGAAAAAGTATATCTGGCTACGGGCCACTGTTAGATTAGTTGGGATTTGCGATTTTCGGGATCAATCTTTTTGCATATTTTTATGTCCTACATGGAATGTGGCAAGTAGGAACTGCTGCACTCCTGTGCAAACTTCCATGTGCGTCGGTGGCACGGTGGTTAGGACTCTTGCCGAATATACACATGGTCAGGGGTTCAATCCCTAGCCGATGCACACCCCTTGATGTCAGTTGGTCGGCCTGCGAAATTTTAGCTACCGATATCATATTCTGAGCATTTTATACTTGTACGAGTAATACGGTGTGGAATCAAGCTATAATAATAATAATAATAATAATAATAATAATATTTTAATCAGTCAGTCAGTATTCGCAAGTTCCTTTCATAAATAAATTTTGTTTCTTGTATTTTTCAATTTTTTTTTCTTCATCGTGTAGTGTATATCGCATCGAATTCATTTCCCCCGGCTTTACAAAGACCTTCAGTCCCACCGACTCATAAATCATCATCCTTATCATCCTCGAGACGACTTAACTTTCACTTGGATAATCTACTTCAACATCGATATACATCTGCTGAAAATGATAAAAAAGCCGGCTTAGTCGCTTCGAGTGCTGTGATTAAATTACAAAAAGAAATCGAGGAATTAGAAAATCGTCATAATGAAGTACTCGAGCGGCTTACACGTCTAGGCGCTGAAGCTCAACAAGCGCGTACAGCTAAGGCGCAAGCTGTGAAAGCAAAACAGAATGCTTTATTATTGGTGAAACCACTTCCTGTAGACCACATGGGTAGTAATAATAATAATCGTTTGATTCAGAATACTACCGCTGTGGATACTACTGCAGGTTATCCTCCTCCTCCTCCTCCGGCTACTGCTGCTACTACTAATATCGGTAAACCACAATTAATTCAACAATCGATTGTAACAAATCAAGGTGTACGTTATCGGTGAGTTTTTAATTAAAATGATTTGATTTTCAAGTATTGACTTTTTAGGGATTTTGTTTGTTTTACATTGGTTGAAGGATTTCATTATGTGCTCCATTGGAAAACCACCTGGGAGTACTGGACGGCTGTTACGTCAGCCTAGTTTGGGACTCCGCTTCAGCAGTACGCACCCCACACTGAGGGGGGTCGAACTCAGGACCTTCTGGTTACAAGGCTAGTGAGCTCGTAGACCATTCATCAGCCTCTGAGACCCAATCCAATGGCCAGTCAGTGCATGAATTCTAACTTCTACCGATTCATCACATAGCGTGACCACTTCGCAATGTCTTCTTCTTCGTTTTGATGTGGTGAGAGCAAAGGAGAATGATGCTCAGGAAGGCTTTGTGTGCTGCTTTTGGAAGTGTGTGGGTGGTTGTTACTTCCCGGCTGCCCACACCGTGGAAGTTGATTGATTCTCCGGGTACCTGAAACAGAGAGAGGGTTAGTGTTGCGTGACGGCGGAGCCCAGGGAGAACTGCTTGAGGCCAGCTGGTCACACACGGCCTGTATGAATTGGTTTCTTGGATTGGTTCCGTATTAGTAAACTTACCACCGATTACGGACCACCCGTAGGTGGGGTAAGTCGGGATGTACAATTGTTGGGGTCGACCTTTTCTAACCCCCCCTCTCTCCAGAGTGGAAAGATAGCATAGCTGGCTGGAATGCTGGTCATCTGAGGGAAACACCTCACTACTGTTACACCCCTGTTCCCAGCAGTACGACCCCTCTCAGACCCCCAGCATAGTGTAATAAAGATTCTTACACGATGCCGGTAACTGCTTTTAGTCTAATCGCTATCCTAACAATCTTCCTGGCATGGTAGGACCTGCAGGAACATTGGTTCCAGGCAGTGCAGCTTATGGGTCATCGCGATGTGCAAGCCAGACCACCAGGTCAAGGGAGCAGCTATCTGTCGGGTCTTCTTCGATGAGTTACTGCCACACCTTCAACCTACTGCTGTACCCTACTGATCACGGCTTCCTACTACAACCCTAGGTTAGGTGCCTGAATAGGGCCAGTCGCTAGTTAGCATCAGATCAATTTTCAAGTATTGGTTTTGTAGGGATTTGGTTTGATTGATTGGTTGGAGGATTTCATCATGAGCTGACGGCAATTTAGAGAAGCATTGGTAAACCATTCAGGGAGTACTGGACAGCTCATGATGAAATCCTTTAACCAATGATTTTATTGATTTCATCATGAGTGACATTAGTTAGAGAACCATTGGAACTTAGTATGGACAGCTTTGTCCAGTGGGGGACTTTCAGCAGTACGCCCCCGGATTCGAACCAGGACCTTCGGTTACAGGGAGCTCGTTACTAAGCACTGGGACCCGATCCAATGTCCTTGAATTCTAACGTCTGCCAGTCACGACATAGCGCGACGCTACGTTGAATTCCTGAATCAATCAAATCCCACAAACAACACTTGAATACCATAAGATGCACATGCGACTGGCCAATTCTGGTACGTATTTACTGGTTCCAGTGGGAGTCGTGAACAGTAGGGGCAGCTGTCGGGTGGAGACAGAAGTCTGATCCACCAAAAACACTGAAACACCGTCAAGAGATGCGTTTCTGTGTTTTCCTTTCTGATTCTGGAGTCCAGGTACACGATAGGCTTTGAGTCAGGTTATTTATTTTTTAATCTCCCCTAGGTAGACGACTAGCAGCATGTCCACCATTTGAAGTTGTTAGCGCCAGAAGTTTTTATCCGTTCTTTCATCAATTTTTTGTGCAAAAGACCCTCGACGTTGAGTGTATGTAGGTAACAGGACTTACATAGCATTAGCTATGAATACACGGTTGCATGAAGTTTACTCACCTTAGTCCGTTCCGTGTCGTTTGTGAGATCAGTAAATGTGTGGTGTATCTATTTTGATAGCAAACTACATCAATAGAGAATTTTACGCAGAATTAGAACATTTGAGGTTGTTCTACTTCACAACACAACATATATAGCATTATAACGGAAGAAGACAAGGGCCAGGCAACAGATCATTTATCGCGAAAATCAAGAGACATTTATAGATTTTTATCTACATTATTGTCAGCCTAGAAGCGACGTCTTTTGGTTATTTGTTTTCTTGCTGAAGGTTATTCTGCATTGCTCTTGTGACCGTTTCTCAGAAAGTAAAGCCACATATATCTGCGAATCGTATTTGCACACGTTAAGTCTGTTGTGATTGGTTGGTGAGTTCCTCAAAGGTTAAGCTTTATTATTGTGCTTTTTTCTCATGACCCCGGTTTGGGACGTCTACAATTTTGGCTTGCAGCTAACCCTCCCATCACAGTATATCACAGGACACCCAGTATTGTTCGATCTGAAGGGTATATTAACCCCCTCCCCTCCATGATATTTTCCTTTCGTCTTCAGGGTATACGCACTGATAGTTTGAAAGCTATTTGAAATGTGTGTAATTACATTATACGACTTGAATGATTGAAAATACGATGCACTGATATTGTGTGTTGTTTGGCAATTCAGATAGCCGAGTAATTTAAACCGGCTGCGAATATGATAATATTACATAAGGCGATTGATAAGAGGGGAATGTTTGGTAGTTTAAACGAAAACTCCAAGGGTGATAAAGATTCCACCTACAATTCCTTGTTTGAATGAAAGAGCACCACCTGAACTCGAGTAAAAATGCGAAGCATCTACGATACAACAGACTTCGTATAGTATAATAACGTAAAGTCGTGAAAATACAATTTTAATACGTGTTTAACTTTGAAGCCTTGTGGCTTAGTCATGACCAACAACAAGCAACATTCACTACTACAGGAGACCAGTAAGAACTTCGAAGCTGTTAAAACAAATAAATTTCTCATAAAATTTTCCCAATTCATAATTTTATGTCAAATACCTATATATATATATATATAATATCATTTAGAGAACCATTGAAAGCCAGAGTACTGGACAGCTGTTTCATCCCAGTTTTGGGTATCATCGACAGTACGCACCCACACCCAACGATAGACGACTGGATCGTTGGAAAGAGCATTATGAGGAGCAGTTTAATTGGCCCACAGCCACGCTCAACCTTCCGAGCATCCAACACCTCCCTGAATGGGATATAGACACAGGTCCTCCGTCACTAACTGAGGTTACTAAAGCTGTCACCAATCTGAAACTAGGCAAAGCAGCGGGACCTGATGGAATGACTCCAGAGGTATTTAAGTACGGTGGAGACAGCTTACTGTCCGGATTAACTGAGGTACTAGGCAGCGTCTGGGAATCAGAAGAAGTCCCATCGGGTTGGTGTAAGTCACTGATTATCCCCATATACAAGAAGGGAGACAAGTCTTCCTGTGATAATCACAGAGGGATTAGCTTGACTAATATAGTATCTAAAGTCTTAGGCTCAATAATCATGCGTAGACTGAGTGGTGCTCGGGAGGCACAAACACGAGAGAGCCAGGCAGGCTTTAGACCAGGAAGAGGGTGTATTGATCATATCTTCACCCTCCGACAGATTCTAGAACATAGGCATTCCTACCGGCGTCCAACAGTCATTATATTTCTTGACCTAAAGGCAGCATTCGACTCTGTCGATCGGGAAGTTCTCTGGAGATGCTTGGCTGTAAAGGGAATTCCAAGAAAATATATTGCACTGATTAAGGCACTCTACTCGTACTCATACAGCCAGGTGAGGGCTTACGGCGAGCTGTCATCTGAACTGATGACGACCAGTGGTGTCCGTCAAGGATGCCCATTATCTCCTTTTCTATTCAACTTCATCATAGATGTGTTAATGGACTTAACCCTAGGTGACTTCAGCGACTCAGGGATTGACTTGCTACCGGGGAATAATCTCGTTGACTTGGAATATGCAGACGATATAGTCCTTCTAGGCGAAGACGCTGACGAAATGCAGAGTCTTCTAAACACCTTGAGCCGCAATCTACGAATGTTTGGCATGCGATTCGCTCCCGCCAAATGCAAGATGATGTTACAGGACTGGACTACATCGACGCCTAGTTTAAAAATAGGAAGTGAAGTGGTAGAGCACGTTGACCGCTTCACTTATTTGGGAAGTACCATCAGCCCCAACGGGTTGATCTCTGACGAAATCTCAGCACGAATACAGGGGGCTCGTTTCGCATTTGCCAGTTTACGCCGACTCTGGCGTAGACGAGATGTTCGACTATCGACCAAAGGGCGGGTGTACTGCTCATCAGTCCGCTCCGTCCTCCTTTATGGTTGTGAGACCTGGCCACTGAGAGTGGAAGACATGAAAAGACTAGCTGTCTTTGATCATAGGTGCCTGCGCTCTATTTCCCGTGTAAAGTGGCATAATAAGGTGAGCAACATTGAGGTTAGGCGTAGAGTTCTAGGTAAACAGGGGAAATCAATCGACGAAGTCGTGAAGCTACAAAGACTGAGATGGTTAGGACATGTGTTACGTATGCCAAGCCATCATCGCCTCCCTCGACGAGCAATGTTAGCGGATATAGGGTCAGGCTGGAAAACAGCTAGCGGCGGTCAAACAAAAACTTGGCTTCACCAGTCAATGAAATCCACAACAGTTGGTCTAAGCCACGTAGGAAGGTGTAGACTTCCAGGCTGGGGTCCTCGGGACGGTAAAAATCTATGGTTGGAAACAATTGGTGACATGGCTCAAAATCGTTCTCAGTGGCGCAGATGCATCCACTCCCTGTGACTTATGATCTCCAATGAAACTGTTTTGTTTTTCTTTATTACTCCTTTGTCTCACACCTCTGCTCACTGTTTCTATTATGCTTTTCTTGTACTTTCTTCTCTTGCTTCGCGTGCTACACGGAATGTGGCGACTTGAACTTCCGCACATTTGTGCAAAGTTCTATGTCGAAAACAGACAGACAGACTGGGACCCGATTCAATGGCCAGCTCATGAATTCTAACTTCTACCGATTTGTGATTTAGCGCGACCCCAACCGTTGTCGTGGGTAGGACATCCATCCTCACACGTGACATCTGGATGGACTTCACTGGTCATGACTTCTCACTAGAACTGACTCCAGGAAACTCCATGCTGTAGCAAGTCACTGGCGAGCGAGCATCAGATTAATTTTCTATAGTTAGTATGTACGGGTTAGTTATGTTTTTACGAGTTAATCACGGATTGATATCAGTTAGAGAAACATTAAAAACCAACCACAGGGAGTACTAAACAGCTGTTTCATCCTAGTTCGGGAATCATCGGCAGTACACACCCACTCCACAGGAGGTTCGAACCCAGGACCTTTTGTAACATCAAAGGATGGTGGGAGAGAAGGATAAATCCACATTTTCTCAAAAAAATAATTCTAGAATACTACGTATAACACTAACGGTTAGTAGCCTGTATGTAGTGTAAATTTGTGCGACTGTAGTTCAGTGATGGAATGCTTGCCAGCCACCTACTTGTTCCTGGTTCGATTCCCGGTTGACACACATTCCACAAACTTTGCTTTAGGCGGTAGTAAGTCCAGGGAAAGAGAGAAGGTTCGGCGGTTACTTGACTGACTTTGGGCATCCTCGTCGTCGTTACTACTGTTGAAATCATTCAGAATTCGATTAAATGATGAATGATAAAGTTTGCTGGTACTTTCCAAGTTGCTTATCAGTATACACTATTCGTGGTTTTTTCTCATGAACATATTTGTTGAATATATCTACTTCTGTTCTATTTATATTTGTGGTGATATGTGATTGAGTATTTTTTTTTGTGCACACACATATGTGTGTATGTGTGTTTTATTCTCCTCAAAACTCTTTCCTTTTCAATCGCATTTTGTTACCCCCTCCCCCCACATTTGTAGGGTACTTGCTCCAAGACCTATGCCCAATATACAAATGAATCAAATGGCGTATAATCCAATGCTGCATAATAATAGAACACCAGCTTCGTATATGACGACACCTAGTCGATCATTTAATCATAACAACAACAACAACAACAGCAACAATCATAATAATAATAATAATAGTCGTTCGGCTAGAAGATCACGTGGAAGACGAGAAACCGACTCTAGTCTGTCTGAAACAGACTCAGATTCTTTTACTCCTGCAACCACTCAACGAATGGATAGATCAGGTAGAGAAAGGTTAGTGAAGAAGTATTGTGAATGTATTATATCCACTAATTTATATCCCCTTAGTAGGGATATTTATTCATCACGATAGGACGCTGTTGTATATCTAAATAGTTTCGTCCTATTTTGGACTTGTCGGCTGGATATAATTGCGTCCTCAGTGGGAGATTTTGTTCCCTGTGAGGCTGGAACTCTGTTTAACTCTAAGTTATCTTCGTAGCATCTGTATGAGGGAAGGAAAATATCAACAAAGATCGAGTACCTCTCCAAATAGTAACGTAAGAGATGACTGTTGTGCACCAGTGGTCTTACTGGGTAATAACTCTTCAGTGTTTGTATAGATGAGTGATGTACCGCGAGTCCTATTGATTGACACTATTTCTTCTCACTCAGACTGTTGGTACATCCATCTGACTGACTAGTCCAAAACTGGACAAGATTCTCATCGTGGATTCCACTGCTAGCCGCCATTTATTGGGTTAGATATTATCTGGGAAAAAATCAACCGAGAACCATATTGTCGCAAACATATGCTGAAGGAAATGGAGATCGGTTGGACATATACACTAAGAAGACTGCTGAGTGCCGTACGACAACGGCACATGTCAAGTGATCCACAACGAAAAACTCAGCGAGGCGTTTGGAGTAAACATAGGAGTCAGACAAGGGTGCTTATTATCACCAATGATATTCCAAATTGTGGTGGACTGGATTATGCGTCAGACAGTGACAGGGAAACGAGAAGACAGGGATATCTTGAACCGACGTGAAGAACCTAGAAGACCTGGACTTCGCGCGCGGATGACTCATGTTTGATGTCACACAAAATCGAAGACTTACAAGCGAAGACCGACAAACTGGTCGAAGAAGCAGCCGGCGAAGACAGGACTCCAAGTGAACATAGACAAGATGGAGGTTATGAAAATAACCAACCAACCAACCAACAACAACAGTAAAAATATTCAGCGCCAATCACCATCAACGGGAGGGATTTGAAAGAGGTCACTTCATTCACTTATCTAGGGAGCATTGTCTCAACTACAGTTAGTCGGAACAGACGAGGATGTCAAATCGAGTGAGAATCAGGAAGGCGAGAAACACGTTGTTCATCAACCTGAAACCAATCTGGAAATCTTCGTCACTTAGCCAGAATCAACAACAAAATTCGGTTGGATTTTCAATACAAACGTCAAGTGAGTCAGTTCTACTATACGGATCAGAAACTTGGCAGGCGAGTCACAAAGAATATTTCCAACAGCCTGTTGTACACCTTTATCAACCAACAACTGTCTTCGCTGGATCTATACTGAAGATCAGATGGGTGTGCCGGAAAGAATCACCAACAAGGAACTCTGACTGGGAACAAACAAAACAAGAACCAGTCTCTCGCCCAACAAATATGCAGGAGAAAGTGGAGATGGATTAGACACTCGCTGAGGAGGCCGGGCCGCTAGGTGACATCGCGCGCGCGTCAGGCCATTGCTCGTGTGGAACCAGGCCGAAAGGGAAGCGGCGAGTGGGACGTCAGTGCAAGGGTGGATGACATGGAGGAGATCGTGTGAAGAGGTGTTGAAACAGTGTGGACTAACATGGATTCAGGTGAAAAGCACAGCAGAAGACGTGCAGTTGAAGCCCTGTGTTCCACTAGTAACCCAAGGAAACAATGATAATAAGTGACATCGTGTGCCAGGCCCTTGAGTGGAACCTGAATGGGGAACGGCAAGTTGTGATTGTCCAAAGGTGACATAGAGTAGGGATTATGTGTAGATGGGGATGAGAGCTTGTGGGTTATCGTAGAGCCAGCTAAAAATAAAGGACTGCAATGAACAGAATTTAATGGAAATGTCCTGCTGAAGCCGCCTTATATGTTCCAATTGTGGAACCCAATGAAATAATAATAATAATAAATAATGGTCAGTAGATGTCACTCTTAGATTGTGAAAGTATCCACAGAGTATTGTTAGGGAGGTCTTTGGTTTTTGATGTTAAGGTGGTGAGAGCAGGCCGTGAGAAAATATGAGCAAGGCTGATTCAACAACCAATCACAGCAAAGTTAACGTGGCAAAATATGATTCGCAGATGAAGAACTCTATTTGTCGAGGAATCCCGAAACAACCAGTAAGAAGACTGCGCTTGTCTACTTGCATAAGCTATAATACTGTATGTGAAATATATATAAATACGTGTTGATTTTCATAATAAAACGATCTGTTGCCTGACCCTTGTCTTCTGTTGTTACATTTGGTGTCGCTGCCTACCGACAAATGGAAAGCCTATGCCCTGCTGTTTTTGATGGAGACATATGGATCTTCGGACAGGACTTCAAGGCTTCTGCGCAGTTGAGTGGCGTTCAAGATCTGTCAGCGATGGAGCTGCTACTTGGGACGCTGCTGGGAGGTCGGGTGAAAGCAGCATATGAAAGTGTGAGCCGAAATACTGACGAATGTTCGACAGGGTCAGGGAAACAGTTTCCAAAGTGGGAAGGACCACATATGGTCACTTCGAGATGGGATTACGCGGACACAATCGCAATGACGAACAATGAGAGGCGCATGAACGTCAGCGAGCATCAGAAATGGATACAGCGAGACAAGCCAACGATGACGCCTGCACCAAGTAGATCAAGCCGACTTCAGTCGCACGTATTTGACGGGGGGACGAGTGTGGTGAGAGCAGGCCGTGAGAAAATATGAGCAAGGCTGATTCAACAACCAATCACAGCAAAGTTAACGTGGCAAAATATGATTCGCAGATAGGGAACTCTATTTGTCGAGGAATCCCGAGACGACCAATCAGAAGCCTGCGTTTGTCTGCCTAACTTCTGATAAACAACCAATCAGATGACTGCGCTTGTCTACTTGCATAAGCTATGATAATGTATGTGAAATATATGTAAATACGTGTTGATTTTCATAATAAAACGATCTGTTGCCTGGCCCTTGTCTTCTGTTGTTACAAAGGCTATAGTACACATGCAGATATAAGACCATTGAGTGGTATCATCACCCACCTACTTCTCGAGTGGAACCCCACTGGGGAACACCGAGTTGTGCGTGGATTTGAGGATGACATGAAGGAGATAGTGTGAGGGAGGAGAAAGTGAAAGTTTATGCGTAATTGTGGAACCAGCTAAGAGAAAAGGACTGCAGGGAGCAGGATTTCCCACCTGGGACTGAAAGAATTAATAATAGTTGTAGTACACAATGGATCGATTCCATATAGAGGAGTAAAACACCATCTCTTATTGAGTTCTTCAATGTCAAATATTATTTTGGCCAAGTTAAACTTTATTCACCACTAACTACCAATCAGCGAACGACGTCGAATTATCCAATGAGATTCACGAACGTTAGTTCAATGTTGTGTAGCGCTTGATGCATTTATAATGCGTGTCCTATCAAGGTTACGGTTGAGATTCGAGAAGGATAGTGTTTTCCAGTATTGCCTGGATTTAGGGTTGCTCCGGAAGTTGAGAACTTGTCCGTGTGGTGGTGTCATGACTTTAAAAAGCTTTAGCAGGTCAATTGATGGATTTGTCCATCGTTGTACAATATGTTTGAAGCGAGTTAGCATGCATTAGAGAGGGTAAGGTGATAATTTTAATATTTCGTAGGAACTTTTTTGCAAGGTCACACCTCTCCTTGACACAAATTTCGTATATCTGCAACTACTGGGTCTTGAGACAGCCAGTGAGAGCTGCAGCTGCTGGGACGGAGAATAGCCTAGTCTTAACAGCCCAATGGTGTATCAGCATTACAGAGATATTGCTTCGTGGAAAATGGAGAAAATCAATTCTTTGTTGGGTGGAGAAGACGTTGTTGTGCACGTCGATGAAACTGTGTTGGTGAAGAAGAAATACAACCGTGGTCACCAGCGAGCGAACAATATTTGGGTAATAGGTTTGTATGACAACTCCCTCCGAAAGGGATTCGTCGAAAGGATAGCAGACAGAAAAGCAACTACTTTAATACATATTATTAGCAGATTTATAAAACGAGGGTCTATAAAACATACGGACGAATGGAAGGGTTATAATTCCCTATCATCTCTGGGATATATATTCATCATAGAGTCAACCATTCAAGTGATTTTGTCCACCCCATTACGAGGGCATATACAAATTCTATTGAAGGATTTTGGGGCAGGTTGATAAGGGCTATAAATGGATCTCATTTATTTGTTTATTTGATGGACATATATGTACAGAATGTGGTGTCACTTTTCTATTGACGGTCCGATGCTTAACTGGGAGATGTTTATCTCATGTGTTAGGGAAAGATACCCCCTGTAACTAACAGTTTTATGCTTTTTTCCCCCTATAAATATACATTTCCATTTTTCATATATACCTCTTAAGTTTGATTGGTCCATTCAAGGTCGTTTGCTGATTGGTTGTTAGTGGTGTCGAAAGTTTGCCCTTATATTGCCTTATTTTGTTTTATTCAAACGCTCATTGCTAAATCCATCACTGTAAAGCTATACTTGTAGCGGTTTAAAGACTAATTTGATTTCTTTTTCTATTCCCCTCCCATCCCCGGCGTCCTCGTCTCCCCCACACAGCTTACCAGTTAGACGTAGTGCTAGAAAAGTGAAAGCTGTACGTCATGATCCTGATTTTATTGTTGATTTCGATGAAGATGACGACGATGACGATGGAGTTGATAGGAAAAAGGCAAATGGCGGTGGCGATGATGACGACGATTCAGATAGTTTTACTCCAAGTGAAGAACTACACAACAAACCGGGTGCTAGTGGTAGTGTTAGAAAACGTTCTCGTGTACCACCGATTCATTTAAATACTAAATCATCTAATCGAGGTACTATTATGATGCCACAGTATGATGGTGCTGGTGATACCTCCGTTAATGGTGATGATATTGGCTATGATGATGATGATGACGATGATGGAGAGGAGGAGGAGGATGACGATGATGAGGATGAGGATGCGGATCATGATCATGATCGAAATCATCATGTTGATGATGATGATGATCTTGATGAATATGACGGCGACGTCGATGGTGAAGATGTTGGTGTTTATGATCCTAATGAATTAGAAGAAGATGAAATTGTTGAAGATTTTGGCGATGATGATGAAGTTGTCGATTACGTCGATGAAGATGAACTCTTAGATGTAGATGAAGATGAAATTCTTGACGAAGACGTAGACGAAGAAGAAGAAGAAGACGACGAAGAGTATGATGATGATCCAGGCGAAGATATTGAAAAATTCTCCTCAGTTACTTCTGGTAAACGTATTCGTTTAGCATCACAAGTTATAAAAAAACTTCCCAAGGTATCATCAACGGTATCAACTTTACCGTATACTGTACAGGCATTAAATCCTGATGGTAGTCTGGTAAGTGGTTTTACCAATTCTTCTTCTTCTTATTATTATTACTATTTTCTTTAATTCCTCGAGGAACATAGGGCTTCAGCTGCGCGTCTCCATTGCCTTCGGTTTTCTGCTAGAGTTTTCACCTGGTTCCACCTCTGCCCACATGCTTTCATCTCCTCTTCACATGACCTCCTCCAATACACCCCACCCTCGCACCGACGACCAACTCGCCGCTTCCCTTTCGGGTTCCACTCGAGAAATGGCTTGTCTAGTGATGTCACTTGATGGTTTCCTCAGAGTATGGTCAGCCAATCCACCTCCATTCCTACCTGCCTATTTGTTTCACAATCGGTTCCTGTTTGGTTTTCTCCCAGAGATCCCTCTCTGTTGCTGATCTTTTCTGGCCGGCCATCTGATCTTGAGTATTGAGCGAAGACAACTGTAGATGGAGGTCTGAAGTTTGTTTGGGATGCTCTTTATGACTCGCCAAGTCTCTGATCCGTATAATAAGTAGCACTGACTGACTTCACATTGGAGCTGAAAATCCGGATCTTATTTTTGATGCTGAGCGCTGTTGACCTCCACACAGACTTAGGAGTAATGAAAGCTTGTCTTGCTTTCCCAATCCTCGCTGCTTTGATATCCTCGTCAGTTCCGTCGGCCTGTAGTTGAAACGATGCTTCCCAGTAGGTAGGTAGGTGAAGGAGGTTGCTTCTTTCAGATTCCTCCTATTTATGTTGGGTGATTGTTGTCTGTTGTTGTTGCTCTTGGTGTCTCTCAGGAATCTTAATCACCACCTCTGTTTTCTCTATGTTCATCGTGCTGAAGCTTCTGTAGCAACTTTGTTTTTTTTGCAGGGTGAGGTTGCTAGCCTCACACCTGAGAAGGGGGTTTTTACATTAAAATGTGGTTTAGGGAGAAGCAACCTTTTGGGTTGCTCCCCTTAAAACCAGAAAAACAAGGAATAAAACAATCAAATCATTACCAGCAAAAGGAAAATACTCCACAACAAGAAGGGGAACAAGCGACAACAACAATAATAAAAAAGAAAACCTTAGAGGTAATATCACAGTTAGCAAAAATGCTACCAAAATCATAGACTCACTGACTTGAGCCAACTTGAACATGTAAATCCATCAATATATAAGTTATAGATATTAGTTAGTGTTAGACAAGCACAATGTGGCAAACAGATAGTTATAGGTATTATCGGTCAGCAAGATTATATACATAGATTAAGTGTTTGAAAGGTTTTGGAGTTATTTTTCATTTTGTGTGTCATGTTATTGAAGTTTTGGTTCTATTTCGACTTCAATGAATGTTACCTGAATTCACTAAGAAATATAGGTGTGTTAAATGTGTTTTCTCTTACCCCCCCCCCAATAAGGACTTTTTGAAACACTATTATGAATATTATTCCCTTGGGTTCCGAGTGGAACATTGGGCTTCAACAACACGTCTCCACTTTGTCCTATTTCCTGCGATGCTTTCTAGCTGGCCTTATCTCCTCCATGTCATCCTCGGAAGCCCCCACTCGACTTCTTTTCGAGCAATGGCCTGGCTAGCGCGCAATGTCATTCGGGGTCTCCTTAACCTACGTCCAGTCCATCTTCACTTTCTTCAGGATATTTGTTGAGTAATATGACGTCGGTTGGTTCGTTCCCATAGTTTCTTGTTAGTAATTCTTTCTGGTCACATTTGATCTACAGTATGGAGTGAAGGTGTAGTTGTTGGCAGAAGTCTGCAATGCCCTGTTAGAAACGCTTTTCATGAGGCCATATGCAAGTTTTTGATTTATGTAGAAGCGATTGACTCAGTGTATGTGTTAGAAATCCAAATCTTGTCTGTCTGTCTGTCTGGATTCAACATAGAACTTCGCATAGTATTGAAGTAGTTTCCAAAATCCTTTGCGCTCAACATTGTCTGTTGAAGGCCTTTTCAAAGTCGATCAAGTTTGTTTTGTTCGAATGGCAATCAGTCTTCAGGAAACACACTACATTCTTTGTAGAATTTTACTTACTTTGTAGATGACGCTGAATGATGATGAATCATTTGAGATTCTTTGATCACAGGTGCTGGCGAAGTGCTCAATTATATGACGGTTTCGATTAAACCCATTGCCTTCTCTTTGCATCCATGCTAGGTAATGTTATCTAACACGTTTTTCAAAAATACACGTATAAACTCCACAGGAGTATGCGGCAATGTATATCTTTCAGATTGCTCAGAAGTGATGAGTGGTCAGCTAAAAGTTAACATACAATTTTATAAGATAATCAGTGAAGTGAATGTGAGACATTGATTTTCAAAACTGTTTTTTAACTAATTTCATCGTAGAGACGAAGACAATGAAAGCTGTTTTACACAAATAATACTTTCTTACTTGATTAACTAATGGATAAGACAACGTCTGTCTGTCTGTTTTCGACGTAGGACTTTGTACCGATGTGCAGCAGTTCGAGTCGCCACACGCCCTCCTTGTAGCACACAAAGAAAGAGAAGAAAGTAGAAGAAATGCATAATAGGGATAGTAAACAGAGGTGTGAGACAAAGGAATAGTAATAACGAAGAACAAAATAATCTCATTTGCAATAATAAGTCACAAGGAGTAGATGCATTTGCACCAGCCATTGAGAACGATGAGTTTGAGCCATATCACCAGTTGTTTCCAGCTGTCATTGATCTTTACCGTCCCGAGGACCCCGACCAGGCAGTCAAAAAGTCTACACCTCCCTACGTGGGTGGTTGGCTTAAACAAACTGTTGTGGATTTCATTGACTGCTGAAGTCATGTTTTGGTTTGACCACCAGTGGCTCTTTACCAACATGACCTGATGTCAGGTAACATTTTGCCCATTCATCGAGGAAGGCGATCGATGGCTAGGCGAGCATGCGTGACGCATGTCCTAACCATCTCAACTCTCAATGACCAGGTCTAACTCACAGCCATAAAGGAGGGCGGAGCGGACTGATGAGCAGTACACTTGCTCTTTGGTCGATAGCTGGATATCACATCAGGCGTAGTTGTCATACTCACACTACTGGGTATAATATGGTGAATATAATTATCCAGGTTAGGCGTGTAGAGTACTAGGTACGAAGGGTAATTCAATCGATTGAAGCAGCCAGGACACGTGTTACATATACGCCAAGTTATTGTCCCCCTCGATATGAGGACTTCGGAAAAGAGTTAGAGAGATAATCGAATCAAATACGTGGCACCAATCCATAGAGTCTTTGACAAGTGGTTTTGAACTAGTCTTATAAGGAACTGAGGACTACCACCTGATTGGAGCATCATCGGAGTGCTTAAATTCACTGGCTGGAGAAATATCGTTCTCATCAGTATTCTGTCTTTTTGTATGTATGCTAACTTGAGTTGATGTTTATATATATGTGTAGAACTTGGGCACTCTGGTAGTAAGTAATTTCATATTAGTTTGTTTATTAGATGTATCACACACAGTGAGTGAGACAGTATTATTTACTGAATGACAAGGTTTCAAACACAGTTGATTCCTGTTCATAATCATATCAATCACTTATAATCACACGACTTCGAAACCTGAGTTTTATAGTTCTCTTTATCCTCTCCTATATGTCGTCGTCATTGGGGCAGTAGAATTTTCCAAATATCTGAGTGGACAGGTGTTGAATGATGACATGTATTTCAAACAAGGGTAAGACAACACCAACAATAATCAATCTAAATCATCAGTAGTAATTCCATACAACGAAGGAATCTAGGAAACCACCTTACGCAGAATTCTTAACAAGTCAGTCAGGAATAAAAGTGGCTGCTGGCATTCAAACCACCCACAAACTCAATTAGAAGCAAGCTTTGTCGGTGAAAGGATCAATCCTGTGGAGCCTTTGAAGCAAAACAATTTACTCTGCCTAACACCCTGTCTGCAAGGATTGTCAGGTCAAACACATAAGTTAAAGTAGTAGAACAGGGTCAGTCAGTCAGTCAGACTAGCGGAGCATAAAAACCTAACAGCAAAATTTAGAGTAGTTGACCTGAATAAGATAAGAAATCTGGAGAATAGTTCAGCTCTAGCAGTACATGCAATAACACACAACCAACCATACAATAGGATGACAGTTTTATAATCTAATGTAACACCAAGGTGGAGGAAGAAATTGATAACGGAATCTTTGTTAAACGAATCAATTGTAAACCAACACGTGTAATAGGTAGGAATGATTCAACACCTGTCCAGCCGGATATCTGGAAAATTCTACTACTACCCCAACGACGACAAATTGGGAGAAAACAAAGAAAACTATAAAACTCAAGTTTCAAAGTTGTGTGATTATATAATTGATGAAACGATTATGAACAATGAATAAATTGTCTTCGAAACTGTGTCATCCAGTAAATAACAATACTGTTTCACTCACTGTATGATACATTTAATAAACAAACTAATATTCATTTGGTATACTTGTTTGCCAAGTTCGTCGTTGTAAACTTTATCAGATTACATGAACTTTTATCGATAATCATATTTTTTTTTTAATGAAAGATATTCATTCTGCATTACTCTTGATCATTTATTTCATAGACAGCACCAAAAGTTGTTATATTAAAGAAGAATCAAATTGCCTCATCGAATATACCTGGAAGTAAATCACCAGCACCACCACAGGTATTATCTATACCATCCGGTGGAGGTGCTGGTGTTGGTCAACGAATTATCTTACCAGCTAAAGTAAATGGTCCAAATAACATTGAAGATACATCACTGTCATCTGCTAAAGTGGTAAGTTTAATCAGTATTGTTTAATGCATCATTATTATTTTTCTATAGTTTGGTTTGTAAGGGTTAGTTTCGTTTTTTTACGAGTTGATCACGGATTGATATCAGTTAAGAGGACCATTGAAAATCAGCTGGGGGGGGAGTGCTGGACAGCTGTTTCGTCCTAGTTTTGGAATTATCGGTAGTACGCAATCACACACCACAGGCGGCTCAGATCCAAGCTAGCTCGTATACTATTCAGTCACTGGGAGCCGATTCGATGGCAATTGTATGAATTCTAACTTCTACCAAATCGTGATTTAGCTCGACCTCAACCAATGTTGTCAGTGGGACATCCATCCTCACACGTAACATCTGGATGGACGTCACTGGTCACTAGAACTCCAGGAAACTGCATCCTGTAGGAAGTCACTAGCGAGCATGAGATTAATTTTCAATAATTAGTATGTACGGGTTAGTTGTGTTTTTATGAGTTGATCATGGATTGATACCACTTAGAGGTCCTGGGTCACCTAAGCCCAGTCGGTGCGTACTACCGATAATTCCCAAACTAAGATGAAATAGTTGTCCGGTACTCCCAGTTGCTGGTTTTCTATGGTTCTCTAACTGATATCAGTCCTTGATCAACTCGCAAAAATATCATTATTATTATTATTATTCGTTATCCAACCAATCGGCTACTTTTCGAATGTTGGCGTTTTTCAGGGATTCAATCATGCATGTATTGATTGTAGAGTTAGAGGAACTATTTAGAACCAGTAGAGAATAGTGAAAAAAGCTGCTTTTTATCTTTTCGAGATCCTTCAACAGCACATACCTTCTTGGAATTGATAGTGTTCTCTGAGCTCCTTGGTTTAATTGCGGAGCTTTCATCGTCTTTCTGGACGACATCTTCAGCGCAGTATTTGGGATAAAGTGAAATGACATACCTTCTACCTTTCTCCCACCCCGCACTCATCAGGGTTCGAACTCAGAACCCCCATTGCAGAAGGCGAGCTATATATACATATATTACGAATTGGTGGAAGTTAGAATTGTTGGGGCATGAGATTACCACCTCCAGTGACTTAATGATTGACGAGCCAGACTTGTAATCTGAAAGCTCTGGGTTCGATCGTTGATATGTGTGGTTGTTTCCGAAATTAGAAATAAATAGCCGTAGTATTGTAACAACAGAAGACAAGACAAGGGTCAGGCACCAGATCCTTTTGTTAAGGAAATCAACACAATCAACATTTTTTTCAGGACCAATATTTGGGACATAAACATTGACGCAAATTACTGCCTACCGATTTGGCTAGCAGCGAGCTCTTACCACAATACTGCTGCTACTTACTCTTATGCGTTACATTTAGAATATAGGCTTTTACTCTATAATCCAAGGTAGTGGAGAAAGGAACTATCAGGAACTATCTTCCCATGTGGTTTCCAGTGACCATAATAGCTTCATACGTTATTTCTATTATTTAGGGATAATGGAACGCCGCCTGTGCACTATAGGCTTGGAATCCGATAGACCTGCAGCTTGGGTGATCAGCAGGATACTGTTTGTTGATAATGGGTTATTTTTAAGATACTTTGATTTTAAACCATTAACAATTGATAATTAAACTGTGTATTTTAATTAAATAATTGACATTCTTTTTATAAAAATGTTTCCATTCGTAGATAACCACTACTGCTGCTATGCAGAAAAGAGAAATAAAAGAAGTTGGTCAACTTATAAATCCAACTAATCAACAACAACCTCAACAATCGGCCAGTATGCCGCCACAAGGTTTAAGATTAGTCAAAATTGTCCGTAATGCTGATGGAGGCACTAGCATAGTTCCTGTGTCGGCTATTACTACTACGACTACAGATGGAATTCAGACAAACCCTGAAATCAATTCAGATAGTAATAATAATAACAGAACTATAGAAAATGAGAGTAAGATATGAGGGAGTGCTTTGTGTTTTAATTTTGATGAATAGAACTCATTTGCTTCTTTTAAATCATCTTCGATTGGAATTGTCTTCATTTGATTAGACAATGATTTAGTAGGGTACCAAGAGTGGGTAATTTTCTGTCTTCCTCTTGTGTGTGTGTGTGTGTCTACGTGTTCAACAGCCGGATTTACTGGACAGGCACGTCGTAGGTGTCTGCCTAGAGGGGGACTGAAAGAAATCTCGATTCCAAATCTATGGTGTATACAGGCTCCAAAATTCAACTTATTTTTTCATTACCGGAAACCATAAGAGGTCTAATCTACCTACTGCTTTGTGAGCCACACTTCTTAAGAAAACCACTTAGTTCAGTCTAAGCAGTTCTTGGACAAACTTAAGATTTTGTGTGGCTTGTACCTCGGTGTACACCAATGTACCAAGTTTCTGTTTTAATAAATGAATAGAGATATTAGTGTGGGAAATAAATTCTAAGTGTTTTGTTATAGTCAAAGCACAAACTTGGTACAGTATATGCATCAAGGGATGCGCTATACACTTCTAAGGGTTGAAATACTTCCCGAACATCTAAAGAGAATCATGATGGTTGTCATTTTATATCCTGCCTAAAGCCTTTGACTTGATCTCTAACCCACAAGACGATAACAGAGCATTCGCATTGGTTACCGCAAGTTTGACAGAGTAACGTAGAAACCCATTGAGTTCCTTGACTGTCTATGGGTCCTTGCTACTTCTTATTTCATGAGAAATCTTGATTCGAACATTAGTGGAGAGAAGATCAGTAGTTCAGCGAAGAGTCTCTGTTTGGCGGTGAATTCATTTTCATAGCTGTACAATCGCAAATATATATATATATATATATATATATATATATGGTTGTTTCGTATGTGTGTGTACATTAAATATACTAAACGAAAATACAGTTAGTAAGTTCAGATGAATTGGATGTTGATATGAGAGGGTAGTAACAAAAGTGATGAGTTGTCACAAATGATTGTTAAAGGACAATTACGTAATGAAAACATGAATAGTTTGATGAAAGAGTTGTACTCAGGGTGTACATGGAAACAAAATAACCTACGGAATCTGAGAAGAGTTTTAAGTAGTTCAAAAAGAAAACAGACAGTCAAGCGAAAGTTAAGTCAAATCAACAGAGTTTTTACCATGATAGTAGAAGTGGTTGAATAATTTTCTTTTGTATGCATAGTTCTGGTTCTTCCAACTGAATGGCTAGGGCTTCTGCGATGCAAAGAAGACGGAAACGTATTGTCTTTGGAAGGTTGTTCTTTACTTTGTAGTTTACTTTAAAGGAGGCGTTTGTTGAGTTGGAATGACCTGTGGGGACAAGATGTTTAATTATTGCACTCCTTATATGGCCACTACTTCCTATCTGCAGCCTCGCTAGATAGTGTTCTTTGACCGTTTTTGACAGGATAAACGTTGCACGACAAATGTGCCTGGCTCCATAGCAACAGGTGAACTGATATATACACATAAAAGGGATCAAGTGCGAGATCTCGTCCTTTAGGCTTCTGCAAATCAGCGGGCGACTGGAGAACACTACTCTCAGTGTTGCCGCGAAGACAGATCTTCCTAAAGATGTAGAAATTCTCCTCTTAAGGACATTACTGAGTAGGTCACCTTTGAAGTCGAGGTTCATATAAAGTATATTATTTGGTATGGGTGGAGTCTCTTGCTTTTGGATTTTCTGTTTGATGTTTTTGTCTCTGAATCTTGGTGGATAACCATTTTGTATGAAGATTTCCCTCAGGAAGTTTAGTTCTTCTTCCATGTTGTCGGAGCTGCAGATGCGTCGTACGTGAGTAGCAAGTAATCTAATTAGGTTTCTTTTTTGACTAATGATTGGTACCCAGCTGTAGAAGCTTGTCAGTTGACCATTCCATATGGGTTTCGTTTTGGATGGACCTTCTTAAAGAAGTTCCGTTTGCTCTTCTTGTAAGTTCAACATGATTAACCCCTCTTCAACTAGCTATACCACTTCCCAATACTTATAACCCGTCCTAACCTATTGTGTGATTACATGCAAGTGAATGCAGTGCCGCCATTTACTAGTTTGACCCATATAATTGACCTAACTTATAGTTATTGCATGGTGTTCGGTAAATTATATTATATTCTTAATTAGATTTATTGTGTCTTTAGGTCGACAATGTCTTTCTGTGAGTAATATTTTTTGGAGTTGTTGTATTCCCTGGGCCACATGATTTTAATTGCCAGGCTATGGATATCATTTTAAACATCATCTTCAGTGGTGACTGCTATTTTAGTTTGTATTGCCTGTCTTACCACAGCGTCTGTACATATTCCATTATTATTGTTACTATTATTATTCCCTTTAATTCCTAGAGGAACATAGGGCTTCAGCTGCCCAAGTCTCCATTGCGTTCGGTTCTCTGCAAGAGTTTTCACCTGGCTCCAAGTCTGCACACATGCTTTCATCTCCTATTTACGTCAACTCCTCCAAGTCACTCTTGGACGACCAACTCGTCACTTCCCTTTCGTGTTCCACTCGAGCAATGGCTTGTCTAGTGATGCCACTTGATGGTTTCCTCAGACTGGCCAATCCATCTCCATTTTTTCCTGCTTGTTGCACAATCAGTTCCTGCTGGGTTGATTCGCTTATTACCAGAGATTCCTGTTGCTGATCTTTTCTGGCCGGCCATCTGATCTTGAGTAGTATTGAGCGAAGACAACTGTAAATGAAGGTCTGAAGTTTGTTTGAGATGCTCTTTATGACTCGCCAAGTCTCTGATCCGTATAGTAAGTAGCACTGACTTACTTCACATTGGAGTTGAAAATCCGGATGTTATTTTTGATGCTGACTAGTGCTGTTGACCTCCACACAGACTTAAGAGTAATGAAAGCTTGTCTTGCTTTCCCGATCCTCACTGCTTTGATATCCTCGTCAGTTCCGCCGGCCTGTAGTTGAAACGATGCTTCCCAGTAGGTAGGGTAGGTAAAGGAGGTTGTTTCTTTCAGGTTCCTCCCAATTATGCTGTGGCCGTTTCTGTTGGCCAGGAATATTCATCACCTCTGTTTTCTCTATGTTCACTTGAATTCCTATCTTCTCTGGATGTTTCTTTTGCCAACTTGTGTGCCAACTCGTTGGGGGGTTGATGTTCACTGGTATTATTCGGCGCGTTGTAGGTGGCGGTCGTTTTAGAAGTCTTTTGAAGTGTTCAGCCCAGTATTTCCTTTGTTCCACCTCTTTGGTGACTGTCTTTCCATTATCATCCTTCAGTGGCTTAATCTGTGTTGAGATTTTTCCCGATAGGCGCCTAGTTGTTTGGTAGAGTGTGGCGAGGTCTCCTTTGCCTGCAGTTTGTTCTGCTTCACTTTCCATGGTTTCATAATATTTTCTTTTGTCTTCTCTGGCAATCTTCTTTTCTCTTTTGTTCAGTGTATTGTAGTTTGCACTCAACTCCTGTTTATGTTACTCGTCGATGCACTGGATAATCTTTTGTTTCACTATCCTTCTCTCCTGTATTGGTCTGCAAGTGTCCGTGGTGAGCCACTGTTTGTTCTGTCTCTTCTTTCTGCGCAGAACTTCCACGCAGGTTTGACTCCACACCGTTTTCGAATTGTCCCATTGCTTTTCGACGCCAACCTCTTCGCTAGTGTTGATTTGTGTCTCAGCTTTGTCCCTTATGCTTGCAACGAAGATATCCTTTGTATCCTGGTCCTTCAGTTTTTGAGTGTTGAACTTGGCTTGTGATCTATCTGCAGCTCCTGTATCCCTGAAAGCTTTCAATTTGATTTGGATTATCCCTTGTACGAGATAGTGGTCTGAGCCAACGTCTGCTCCTCTTCTTACTTTTGTGTCCAGTAGATTCTATCCAGACGTCAATAAGTTCATCTTACTCACTAACAATCACACACACACTTACATTTTGATGTATTCTATTTCGTTTGTTTCAGATACGACAACTTTCATAACGGAGAATAAGTCTACAAATAAATTGGATCCTGAAGATAGTAGTAATAGTATTCGTCTTGTATTAAGCTCAGGCAATGGGCTGACGTCTTTTAATCTACCAAAATCATCACTAATGCCTACGACGACGTCTGAGTCTAACGAAGCTAAGGTAGATTCAATTAATTCTTATTTCTCTTTTATTTTCTTAAAACTTTTTAATCTAAAAAAATTATTTTTTTTACATTTTTAAAATCTGTTTTGGAAAATACGTCAAAAACTAAACTGCACCAGTATGCCTGCATCCATGACACCTTACTGGGGTGGAGATCGAATCTAGTCGTGTGCACCACTGATAGAGTTGGTAAAGCTGTTGTTTAGTTTGTTCATTGGGTTCCGAAGAATAATTTTTCTTAACCTAGGTGCTTATTTCTGACGACTTGTACTTTGAGGATATTTCATAATTTCTTTTAACTGTTTAACAACATGCTCTATCACTTCACCCCCTATTTCTAAGTTAGGAGTTAATATAGATTTGCCCTGTAGTATCATCTTCCCACTAAATGTAAGATGATGTTTTAGGATTGGAATAAACTGATCCCTAGCTTAGAGGTAGGGAGTGAAGTAGTTATAGAGCGTGTTGATCACTTCATTTATCTGTAAAGTTGCATCAGCCAGTCCCCAACAGGTTTGGTTGCTGACGAAATCTCAGCACGGATACAGAAGACTCGTTTTGCATATGCCGGTCGGATATTCATATTTGGCGATGGTATATATACTTAATATTTTTTATCTAAAAGTTATTTGCAGTCAATTAGGACCAAGTTAAAGAAAGATGAAGTCGATTTACGCTGTCGTACGAATCCTAAATATAAGCGTTTGTGGAAGTTGAACTGAGATCCACTTAAGGATGGTTTACGCGTTGATGGAATCTGCTGCAACTGCGCCTCACATGATGTGGTATTTTGTCCCTGGTCGCTGGCGCATACCTAAATCTCGCTTTGCAGACAGTAAGCCTGATAACTTGATAAGGTTGGACATGAATGAGACTAGCAACCTTACCCTCGAAGAAAAACACCAGTGCTACTGAAACTTCAACCTCGAAGCTTTATGCTCCATTTGGAACATAAAGGAACAAAATAAAAACAGGTCGGGTGTGAGGACAAATAATTTTGCCAATGATATTCGCTAGTGGTTGTGCCATATTGCGAATTGGCAGAAGTTGAAATTCATGGACCACTGGATCGAGTCCCAGTGGCTTAATGGTCTATGCGCTTGCCTAGGCGAGTATTGCTGAGGAGTCCCAAACTAGGACGAAACGTCTGAACATTACTCCCTTCTGCTATTCCAATGGTTCTCTAACTGATGTCTGTTCATGATGAAATCCTGTAACCGATCAAATCAAATCCCTGCAAACCCCAACACTTAAAAACGTAGACGGTTTAACTGATTACTGAGACGCAGATGTTTTCGTCTATAGTTTAATATTGGGAGTCAATTGATTGAGATTGAAATTTTGTGATCATTCAATATATGAAACTCGATAACCGGAATATCTTCTATCATTTGTGTACTTTGCCTTTCAGTCGACTATTATGCATGGGTCTTTACCAGCCACCTCTGTTGAAAACGATAACTTCAATACAGGTGTACAACCAATTACAATTTCTACATCAAACATTTCACAAGGTGGATTTATTCTTACAGATGTGATGCCTTCTACTGTTACCACTACAACAACACCGTCTTCATTACAACGAACTGCAGCAGCCAGCGTAACTATTACTTCTGATGGAAAGTTGAAAATGTCAACTGGTAATACTGTTCGTTTTGTTATAGCGCCTGCGCCTAATTCATCATTTGCCGGTACAAATGCGAACCAGATGGCCACGATTACAGTAGTTAAAGCACCAAATCAATCAGGTATGCTCAATTTTCTTTTCTTTTTTGTTGTTATTTTTATTCGACTCCATAAATGAACTGGTATGACCTAAAGTAGTGTGAGTTGACCTGACTTCAGTCTTCCTCGCGAAGTCTACTTATATGGTTGGTGGTCACGCGTTCGAAGTCCCCAGCTTCACGCGCACCCCAAGACCGGTGTTCCTCACAAAAGCGGAATTATGCGACGTGAACTTCTGGCGCTTGCAGCCAGACTAATGTGGAGCTACAAAACCCTAGTTCAAAATCTGTCGTGTATGCGGGCTCCAGAACCTGAAAGGATTCGTTGGCGTGTATGAACCACAGTACGCCGAAGGCGACGAAAATAACCAACGGGATAAATTTGAAAGAGGTCGCTTTGTTCACTTATCCTGTCGCTATCGTTTCAGCTACAGGAGGCACACGTGTATGTTACAATGAAAACTAGAATCGAAAAGACAAGTCACATCTTTAACCAATGTCAGTCCATGGTGAAATCCTGTAACCAATCAATCCAATAAAATCCTTACAAACCAACACTTGAATATCGATGTCTCTCTGTCTGGATTCAACATAGAACTTGGCACCGAAGTCCAGCAGTTCGAGTTGTCACGTTCCAAATAGCACACAGAGGTAGACAAGAAGATGAGTGAAGAGAATCAATAGAGTTTGACAGGTATAAGAGTGAAACAGAATGGGTAATGGTAGAAAGGAATATGAAAGATTACAGAGACTGAATACATCTTCGCTGGCCATTGACAACGATTTTGAGCCATGTCACCTATTGTCTCCAGCCATTGATTCCTAGAGTCCCGAGGGCCCCAACCCGGAAGTCTGCATCTCCCTGCCTACCTGACTCAGTTTAACTGTCAAGGATTTCATGGATTGATGAGGCCATGTTTTTGTTTGGCCACCACTGGCTCTTTTCCAACCTGAGCTAGCAATGCCCGTCGGGGGAGGCGGTGGTTAGGCATGCGCAGCACGTGACCTAGCCATCTTAGTCTATGTAACTTTATAGCCTCGTCGATTGATTTTCCCTCTTTGCCCAACACTCTACGCCTAACGTCAACATTACTTACCTTGTTAAACCACCTAACGTGAGACAGAGATCGCAGACATCTATGATCGAAAGCAGTCAACCTTTTCATGTCTTCAACGCGTATTGGCCATGTTTCAGAGCCATAGAGAAGGACGGAGCGAACTGATGAGCAGTACACACGTCCCTTGGTTGATAACCGGATGTCACGCCTACGCCAGAGATGGTGTAAGTCAGCGAAAGCAGCTCGAGCTTTTCGGATCCGTGCTGAGATTTCATCGCCAATCAGTCCGTTGGTGCTAATACAACTTCCCAAGTAGGTGAAGTGGTCAACATGTTCTATCACTTCACTCCCTATCACTAAGTTAGGGGTTGACGTGGTCCAGTCCTGTAGCAGCATCTTACATTTTGCAGGGGCGAATCGCATGCCAAACATACGAAGATTGCTGCTCAAGGTGTTCAGAAGACTCTGCATTTTGTCAGCATCCTCCCCTAACAGGACTATGTCATCTGCATATTCTAAGTCCATTAGATTATTCCCTGGTAACAAGTCGATTCCTAAGTCACTACGTTCAGTTAAGGATACTTCCATTAGCATATCTATGATGAAGTTAAACAGAAATGGGGAAAGTGGACATCCCTGTCGGACACCACTGGTTGTTACCAATTCAGATGACAATTCCCCATAAGCCCTTACACGACTACGTGAGTTTGAATAGAGTGCCTTGATTAGTGCAATGTACTTTCTTGGCACTCCCTTCACAGTCAGACATTGCCATAGTACCTTTCGATCCACGGAGTCGAAGGCCGCCTTCAAGTCAAGAAATATGACAATTGTTGGACGCCGAAAAGTGTGTCTATGTTCTAGAATCTGTCGAAGAGTGAAGATATGATCTATGCACCCTCTACCTGGTCTAAAGCCTGCTTGATTTTCCCTTGTCTGTTCCTCCCGAGTTCTGCTTAGTCTATGCATGATTACTGAGCCTAGGATTTTAGAGACTATGTTCGTTAGGCTGATCCCCCTATGATTATCACACGAGGACTTGTTTCCCTTCTTGAATATCGGTATAATAAGTGACTTACCCCAGTCTGATGGAACTGTCTCTGATTCCCAGACTTTGCCTAGTACCTCAGTTAATCTACAAACTAGTATGTCACCCCCATATTTAAACACCTCCGGAATAATTCCGTCGGGTCCTGCCGCTTTGCCTCGTTTCAAATTACTGATAGCTTTTGTAACCTCACCTACAGACGGCGGACCAGTGTCTATATCCCATTCGGGTGTGGGTGGATGGCGGGGAGGTTCAGTGTGGCTGTAGGCAAGTTAAATTGTTCCTCAAAGTGTTCTTTCCAGCGTTCAAGGCGTCTATCCTGAGAGCTAATTAAGGAGCCATTTTTCTCAGAAATAGTCTCACTTATGAATTGCCTTCTCCCACCCGATTCTGATGAGTCTAAAGAGTTGCCTAGTGTTGCCTATCGCCGATGCTTTTTCCATCTCTTTCGCCTTTGTCACCCACCACTGTTCACGGTCCTTGCGGAGACTTTTAGTAAGTTTCCTTTTGTGCAGCTTTCGCTCCTCATTGAATTCGGAGCTCGCCGGAATAAGTCTTCTAGCATCTATCAGTTCGGATGAGGCAGTCGAAATCCAGTGGTTTTTACTCACCTTTGGATTTGCCTTATTCACAGCTTTTACAGCTGTATCTATAGCTGACTGAATATTCTTCCAGGCTTCTCCAGGGTGAGCACAGCTGTCGAACTCAGATATGCGTTTAGCTAGTTCTTCCTCAAATAGGGATTTAGTTTCCTGATCGAGCTGGGGACGTGATGGTTTTACCGCCAGCTGTTTCCTACGTCCGTTCAGTCGTAAGCACACACGAGCCCGGACCAGTGCGTGATCGGTATCTACACACGTGTTCCAGAAGGAGCGACAATCTCCTACCGACCCACGCCAACGATAGCTTATTGCTATGTGGTCTATTTGTGTCCAGCGTTGGTTTGATGATGGGGGTCGCCAGGTTAAACAGTGTCTCTCCTTGTGTTTAAAGTTAGTGCTTACAAGAAACAAATGATTATCTGAACAGAACTGTAGGAGACGGTCACCGTTGTCGGTTCGCTGGCACGGAACTCCATAGGTGCCACCGACATCCTTCTCAGATTGACACAATTTCCCTACTTGAGCGTTAAAGTCACCAGCTAGAACGACTATATCTGAGCGTTTAGCCTTTCTCACCAAACTAGACAGCTTTTGGTAGAACTCATCCTTCGTTTCATCCGAACTGCAGTCAGTGGGGGCGTAGGCGGAGATTACGAAAAGGCATCGGCGAGTAGTGCAGTCCTTTCTCCTTCTTACTGATCCGTTCAGACGGACAGCACACATTCGGCTATCTACTGGGATCCAGTCAAGCAATGTCTTTTCTGCCCTAGTACTCAGAGCTATCCCTACGCCAGCTAATCCTCGTGAACTAGCTGTGGCATCTCCTGACACCCTCAAGGTGAATTTTGAAGATTCATCCTGTTGGCCAGGTGGGGTTAGGTGAATAACCACACTTGGGTCTTGTATGCGTGTTTCTGAAACACAACATACATCAATGGCTCGAGATGCCAGGGTCTTAGCTAGTGATGCTTGTTGTCCTATTTGGCAAAGTGTCCTAACATTAAATGCTCCTATATGAAATTGGTGGCGTGGCTTTAGGAGACTATCCGTGGTGGTTTTTTGGCTTTCGTCGTTTTTAGTGGACACAGAGTGAAGAGGGAGTGAGGAGCCATCAAGTAGAGGAGTTGCATCAGTGGGAGGAAGGCAAGGTAATAGAGATGAAGATGAAGACAAAGATAAGTGAGGATTAGAGAGGTTTTGTGTGCATTTCGGATTGTGAGGGCGTTTGTTACTTCCCGGCTGCCCACACCGTGGAAGTTGGTTGCGTGACCGCAGAGCCCAGGGGACAACTGCTTGAGGCCGGTCACACGCGGCCTGTTTTTGTTTGTTCTCTTTTGTTTGGTGTGCCTCAGTAGCATACTTATCACTCCTGCCCTGTGACACGGCAGCAGGAAGCGCGGTCGTTGTTAATCCGGGCCACGGCCGATCCGGCATGAAATTTTGTGAATTTGTTTTGATCATGATATTGGATTGGGTAGCTGCTTTTTGTTTAACCGCTATCCAAACAACCTGCCTGGCATGGTAGAACCTCAAGAGACATAAGTCTCAGCCAGTATAGCTTGATTAGGTCATTGCGGTGTTCAAGCCCGACCACCACGTCAAGGTAGCAGCTTTCGGTCGGGTGAATATCGATGAGATGCTCACTAGCGACTTGCCCTATTCAGGTAGGTAGGTAGTTACCAGAGTGGTTCTAGTAAGAGATCGTGTCCAGTAGGGTGCAGCAGGTCGGGGTGTGAGGACAAATACTCGCCAGCGAAGACATTGGCTGGTGGTCGCCCTATATCATGAATTGGGCAAAAGTTAGAATTCATAGACTGGCTGGCCATTGGATCGGGTTCCAGTGGCTGGTAAATGGTCTACAAGCTAGCTTGCTTCTTTTGTAACCAGAAGGTCCTGGGTTCATACCTCGTGATGTGGGTGAGTACTACTGAAGAGTCCCAAACCAGGACGAGACAGCTGTCTGGCAGTACTCCCTGACTAGTTTTCCAATTGTTCTCTAACCAACGTCAGCTCATGATGAAATCCTCCATCTAGTAACCATACTAATCAGTCTTGTCTTATATGAATTTATAATCGAATGTAAACATGCAAAATAATCGATGTGTGTATATTGTTTTAACTAATCAATATAATTTTATTGTTTACCTTCTTTTAGATGCATCTTCAGATTCGGGTGCAGCAACAACTACAATAACAACAACATCAACGGCTCCTGCCTCTAATACAACTACTTCGTCACCGAGTACAACTTCTTCATCTTTACCTTTAATACTTCCACGTAGACCACCTGCTATCCTTCGACGTACACTGGCTGCTGGTCCAACTAATGATCCTTTGTCATCTGTGAATACATCCAGTAGTAGTGGTGATCCAATTGCTTCACAATCGCCAAGCCGTACGCCTTCATTTGCAAGTCTTATTGCTGCGAATACAGCACGTCAACTTGTTTGTGGTAAGTTTGTGTTGATGATGTTGGTGAACACCATAGTTCCTCTTTCTTGATTAATTCAGTGTAAACTTCATTTGTGATGTAGATTTTGTTGTATAAGGTAGTGATATTTATCGATCTATGAGACGAAAATCACCCTTTAAATGGTTCATTCTCTTTTTTCAATAATTTGAATCTTGAATGCTCTCCTCAGTAGTAGTCTTCGTTGTTTCCGGTGGATTGGGCGTATGTTGGTACTCATAACAGGCCTCTCTTCTCTCCAAAAAGCAATCGATACTGACTTAGGATTAGTCTGGGAATGAATTACAAGTTGTCAAACTAAAAAATGACAGTAATCTCTGTTTGCCGGTGGTTCAGTAGTAGTATGGCAATCACAAGTCACGTCTCACGTGGTCCGGGGTTTGATTCCCTGAGCCCACATGCACCTCTAAACCTCGTTTATCCTGGATGCAGGCCTGATAGTGAGCGGGGAAGGTTGAGTGTTGTGTTGAAACTTCAGCTTTTCATTCTTTTGTAAGCCCTATGCGTTGGACTCAGAATGCAAAGAAATAAAAGATGAAAATAATCAATGAAGTGCTCAGTTGTGTTAGACTAGGCCCAGTTAGAGGTTATGTTGTCCAACTAATGTCTCTAGGATGATTAGAGACTAACTCTCTGTGTGAAATGGAAGGAAATCCTTCATTTTTTTATGCTGATGGTTCCACTCTTCTTCTTTCTAACTTTGAATATCCTCACAGTTTGGTATTTTGTAAACAAAGACTTCTTGTTATGATGCCATTTTCATAGCCTTGAAATTGTTCTAGTACGGACTCTTAAGCTAAAATGAAACAACTGTCCTGTACTCCTTGCTGGTTTTCCAAGTGTTTTGATAAATGTTGCCAGATGGTGGCCAAACTTGTAAGCAATCAAATCCCTTCAAACCGATATTTAACAGTTAATATGATGCCCACTAACAACTACTTCGTTACAGGAAGTTACCTTGAGTTCTAATGAGAAGTCAGGCCAGCGGGGTGTACCAAGTCAGATGAGAGAACAGTCACTGACTGACACTACGCTATATATATTTACCGCGAATTGGTAGGAGCTAGAATTCGTGAGCCATTAGACCAGGGTCCCAGTGGTAGAATGGTTTACCAGCTCGCCCTGCAACTGGTTGGTTTTAGATTCAAACCCTAGCGGTGGTACGTCTGTCTGTCTAGATTCAACATAGAACTTGGCACCGAAGTGCACCAGTTCGAGTTGCCACGTTCCAAATAGCACACAGAGGTAGACAAGAAGATGAGTGAAGAGAATCAATAGAGTTTGACAGGTATAAGAGTGAAACAGAATGGGTAATGGTAGAAAGGAATATGAAAGATTACAGAGACTGAATACATCTTCGCTGGCCATTGACAACGATTTTGAGCCATGTCACCTATTGTCTCCAGTCATTGATTCCTAGAGTCCCGAGGCCCTCAACCCGGAAGTCTGCATCTCCCTGCCTACCTGACTCAGTTTAACTGTCAAGGATTTCATGGATTGATGAGTCCATGTTTTTGTTTGGCCACCACTGGCTCTTTTCCAACCTGCACCTATATCAGTAGCTAGTAATGCCCGTCGGCGTTGGGAGGCGATGGTTAGGCATGCACAGCACGTGACCTAGTCATCTCAGTCTATGTAAGTTTATAGCCTCGTCGATTGATTTTCCCTCTTTGCCCAACACTCTACGCCTAACGTCAACATTACTTACCTTATTAAACCACCTAACATGAGACAGAGATCGCAGACATCTATGATCGAAAGCAGTCAACCTTTTCATGTCTTCAACGCGTATTGGTCATGTTTCAGAGCCACAGAGAAGGACGGAGCGAACTGATGAGCAGTACACACGTCCCTTGGTTGATAACCGGATGTCACGCCTATGCCAGAGATGGTGTAAGTCAGCGAAAGCAGCTCGAGCTTTTTGGATCCGTGCTGAGATTTCATCGCCAATGAGTCCGTTGGTGCTAATACAACTTCCCAAATAGGTGAAGTGGTCAACCGGTGGGTACGTACCGTTGAAGGGTCCTAAACTCGGGCGGAACAGCTGTACAGTACTCCTTTTTGATTTTCCAGTTGTTGTCTGTCTGAAGTCTTCTCGTGATCAAATCAAGCCTCAATTGACAAGCGTAAAGTAATAGATGGTGAGATGGAAATTAATGATTTTGTCATGTTCACATGAACGATGAGATGGGGGACATAAGGTGTCGAATGAAATGTCGTCAATAAAATAAATTCATAAAAATTTTAGAATATAACAACCTAAAGTGAAATAAGATAAAACGAATTGAAATAACATGGAATAAAGAGGAACGGAAAAGTTTTGTGAACCACACGGTGAAATTAATTCCAGGGTAACGAAAGAGATCGTTGAAATTGCCAAAGCTTCCGCTACACCTTGTCAATGCGCTTGTGTCACTTTTAGACGATATTAAATGATGCATCCGAAATTTCATAGTCACTACCTACTATGTATTGTAGCAATATAGATAAATTAATAGCCTAATACTCTCTTTTGTCCAGCCAATCTGGGAGCTGCTCAGCTCGAACTCGGCGGAATATGCTTATCTGAGTGGACATCCTGTTTACCTAGCTCCATAGTAGCAGGTGGACATACAAATGCGTACAGTTTTATTCCATTCTTCCTACTCTGCAATTTTATGCCTGCCGTCTTTTGAAGCCCGACCGAACGCTGCTACCTTGACGTGGTGGTCGGGCTTGAACACCGCAATGATCTATTCAAGCTATACTGGCTGAGACTTATGTCTCTTGAGGTCCTACCATGCCAGGAAGGTTGTTTGGATAGCACAAAAAGCAGCTACCCAATCCAAAATCATGACCAATACAAAATCACAAAATTTCATGCCGGATCGGCCGTGGCCCGGATTAACAACGACCGCGCTTCCTGCTGCCGTGTCACAGGGCAGGAGCGATAAGTATGCTACTGAGGCACACCAAACAAAAGAGAACGAACAAAAAGAGGCCGCGTGTGACCGGCCTGGCTCAAGCAGTTGTCCCCTGGGCTCTGCGGTCACGCAACCAACTTCCACGGTGTGGGCAGCCGGGAAGTAGCAATCGTCCTCACAATCCGAAACGCACGCGAAACCTCTCTACTACCGTCTTTTGAATTATATTAAATTCAAATGATATTTATTTTGTTTTTTGAGTTTGACCACGGATTGATATCAATTAGAGAACCACAGAAAACCAGGGCGTACTGGACAGCTGTTTCCTCCGTCCAAGTTTGGGAGTCAACGACAGTACGCACCCGCTCCACAGGGAGTTCGAACCCAGGACCTAACGTTTGCAAGGCGATGTCGCATTGTATCAATTCTAACTTCTACCAATTCGTGATTTTAGCGCGATCACCAACCAATATCACTGGAGGGAAATCCATGTTCTCACTTGACTGGATGGACCTCACTGTTCTCGACTTCTCACTAGAACTCCAGGAAACTTCGTCCTGTAACAAGTCATCAGCGAGCACCAGATTAATTTTCAACAGTTAGTATGTAAGGGTTAGTTGTGTTTTTACGAGTTGATCACGGACCTACATCAGTTAGAGAACCTTTGGGAAGTACCATCAGCCCCAACGGGTTGATCTCTGACGAAATCTCAGCACGAATACAGGGGCCTCGTTTCGCATATAGTTTACGCCGACTCTGGCGTAGACGAGATGTTCGACTATCGACCCGAGGGCGGGTGTACTGCTCATCAGTCCGCTCTGTCCTCCTTTATGGTTGTGAGACCTGGCCACTGAGAGTGAAGACATGAAAAGACTAGCTGTCTTTGATCATAGGTGCCTGCGTTCTATTTCCCGTGTAAAGTGGCATAATAAGGTGAGCAACATTGAGGTTAGGTGTCGAGTTCTAGGTAAACAGTGGAAATCAATCGACGAAGTCGTGAAGTTACAAAGACTGAGATGGTTAGGACATGTGTTACGTATGCCTAGCCAGTCATCGCCTCCTTCGAGGAGCAATGTTAGCGGATATAGGGTCAGGCTGGAAAAAAGCTAGCGGCGGTCAAACAAAAACTTGGCTTCACCAGTCAATGAAATCCATAACAGTTGGTCTAAGCCACGTAGGAAGGTGTATCCTTCTTGGCTGGTTGGGGTCCTCGGGACGGTAAAAATCTATGGTTGGAAACAATTGGTGACATGGCTCAAAATCGTTCTCAGTGGCTGGTGCAGATGCATCCACTCCTTGTGACTTATGATCTCCGATAAAACTGTTTTGTTCTTCGTTATTACTACTCTTTGTCTCACACCTCTGCTCACTGTTTCTATTATGCTTTTCTTGTAATTTCTTCTCTTGCTTCGCGTGCTACACGGAGTGTGGCGACTTGAACTTCCGCATATTTGTGCAAAGTTCTATGTCGAAAACAGACAGACAGACAGCACTGGTGTCCTTCCAGCTGTCAAGTGTGAGGATGGATGTCCCACCGATGGCATTGGTTGGTTGGTGGTAGCGCTAAATCATGAATTGGGAGACTTTAGAATTCATACAATTGCCATTGAACTGTGTCACAGTGGCTGAATGGTATACGAGCTTATCCTTGCTTACTGTCGATGATTCCCAAACTAGGACGGAGGGAACGGCTGTGTGTGTGGTAGTACTCCCTGGGGGTGGTTTTCAATAGTTCTCTAACTGTGATATCAATCCGTCGTCAAACTCGTAAAAACAAAACTAATCCTTACAAACCAACTATAGAATACTTATATGTGTAAAATTCCCCAAGTTATTCTATGAGCCGGCCCACTCATTAGCTGTTTGCTGCCTTGTTAAAGATTTTATGCTTATTAGCTACCATTTTTGTGGCTGACGTCTTAAACGGGGCTAGTAGGATATATGAGGCGAACCGAGATGTCATGTAAGTAGGTTGTGGCAGTGACACTTATATAGGCTTCCAGGATTTCTTTGCCCACTTGTTTCCTTTTTTATTCTTACGATTCAAGAAGGTTCTGTGTAGTGTATCATCTTCGTGGTTTATTTTGGCATGTTTACTGAATTTTTTTCGACATTATTGCTTCTCATGTGGAAACCAAACTTCCTTGAGTTTCATTCCATAGGTTTGTAGGAATATTAGACAGGAGTTGGAAGTAATCCGTGGGTCATCAGATCCAATTCTGGATGGCTAAAATGGTCGATGAGCTCGCCTCATAGCATAAACTGATGGTCCTGGGTTCGACTCCCTCCTGGGTGTGTACTGATGTAGAGTCCCCATGAATGGGGATGAAACAGCCATCCAATACTCCACCTCCCCGCCTGATTCCAATGGATCTCAATCTGATATTAATTTGTGATCAACTTTGGGATCACATAGCATGCATGGCAGGCTACTGACAATTCGCAAATACTGTCCGAATATTTTCAACATTTTTATATCTGTTTTGCTAACCTCATTTTAATTACACATGTTTTATGATTTTTGTTTTCAATTGCCTGTTTTTTTTCTACACAAACACACAATGATATAGGTGGTTATAACCGATCAACGCCAACAACAACAGGTGTTCGCTCTGTCATGTCGAATTCTTCAATTCCGACAGCTACTCCTTCTACTATGGATATGCATCAAGGCAGGCGATCAATGTCTAAAGTTCAACAAATGCGTCATACCCTGAATGATGAGGATACACGACTTGTAACAAACGATTCAAAAATTCTTATAAGTGAATATCAAGGTGGTGCTATTCGAGGAGCACTTACTGGACTAAGACAAATAGGTCCAACCGTTAAAATACACACTCCAATGATGGATGAAACAACCCTGGCTTTAGATCGTGAAGTTACTGAGGCTAGTGCTAAATTGGATTCAATTAATGCAGAGATTGCAACAGTTCGTTCTGAGGTGAGTTATTACTGATATAAATTACTTTATTATTATTAACTATTTTTCCCTTGGGTTCATAGTGGAACAAAGAGGGAGGTAGGAGGGCGGCGGTTTCAACAGCACATCTCCATTTTTATTCTGTTCTCTGCAGCTCCTTTTTTAGCTTGCTCCACGATGGCATGTACAGTTTCATCTCCTTCTCCTCCTCCTCTATGTCACTCTTGGATCTGTGTCCAAATCGTGTGTTACAATCAAACACTAACCTGTCGTGTGATAATACTCATCGGTTTCCTCTGCGTGTGTCTTATCTATCCGCATTTTTCTTACACTGGGTACAGCGAATTTCTACACGCGGATTGCAAACTGCTGTAGGTCTGTCCTGCTTTCACAATCCGGGTGTTAAATGCCCCTCCCCCCCTTATCCGTGCTGCTTGCAGTTGAAATGCTGCTGCCTAGATAGGTTAAAGAAGTGACCTCCTTCAACGTTCTGCTGCTGATAGTGATTACGGGCTGTCATTGGTTGTCGGTAGGCATTTCAATCATACGTGTCTTCCCCATGTTCACTTGAAGTCTTGCCTTCGCTGCCTTTTCCATAAACTTGTTAGTTTTCGCCTGTAGATTGGATTTCATGATTGTATAATCGCAAATGGGATTTGTCTGAATAATCTCTAAAGAAGTTACTCCTTAGCGTACTACTATTGTAACGACAGACGACAACAGCCAGACAACAGATTGTTTATTGAGAAAATCAACAGATATTTCTAGATTTCTATGTACATTATTGTCAGCCGAGAAGCAACGTCTTCTGATTGGTTGTTTTCTTGCTCAAGGTTATTCTGTATTGTTTGTGACTGTTTCTTACAAAGTTAAGCCATATATTTGCAAATGGTATTTGCACACGTTAAGTCTACTGTGATTGGTTGTTTAGTTCTTCAAGGTTAAGCTTTCTTGTTGTTTTTTCATATAACCCTGATTCAGGACGTGAACATTGAAGTAAATTGTTGTCTATAATTTTGGCTTGTTCGCAGCCAGCTATCACCACAAAGTTCCTTCATCCTTAACTTTTCGCCCGTTCATCTGAAAAAAGACATACGTCGGATTGATCAGAAGACACTGGGAGATTTGGATTTCACTGATGATGATGATGATGATTCATGTCTTGCATCTAACAAACTCAAAAATTAACAAGTGGTGAAGATATCGCATCAAATGGTAATCACCACCCCATCCACAGTAGAAATGAAGGCACTTTTTTTCCCGATACGAATTTAAAATAAGCAACAAAGGGGTTAATAAAGAAACAGGATCTAATGATGGATTCATCAAATTTTGTGTATAACTCTACACAGATAGTTAGAGGCAATCGGTCACAGGAAGCCTTGCTCGATCTAGGTTTCGTGCTATTTGACACTCATCACTCAGCCAGTAAGGCGTATCTGCAACCTTGAAGGAACTTATGTCCCTTCTGAGATTCGAACCCGCGGCGTCACCCAGTGACAGCTGCAGTCAGAGACGTTACCACTGAGTTATTCTGCTACGCGATCGACCTCGTCTGTAGGACTGTAGTGGGTATTGCGAAATTACACTCGGGGATATAAGACTGATAAGTAAATAAACTGCATTGAATTAATCATGCAGAGAGACAGTTGCGAATGTTTTCCAGGTCATGTTCAAATAGATAAACAATTAGACATTAGAGAAAATAACAAGAATTGCAAACAGAGTAATATTAATAGTAATAGTTATAATAACAATAGTAATAATAGTTTTGAAGTGAGTTAAGATAATCCTACTGATAAAGGATAGTTTTAAATGAATCAAGAATATTAATAATAATGATAATAATAATAAGAGGTAGAATAATAAGTAAAATGTATTACCATGGTAGATTCAGAGTCACGACAATCTCCTTTTGTATACGGAGACCACTTGGTTTGTAAGCTCGAATTGTACAAGCCTCTTCCGGAATAATTGCAAACATCTTCTTGTTTCCTTGTCTGCTCGCTGACAATAGTGAATGACTCGACAGCGTCGATATCATGTCCATAGTCCACAAGATGTTTTGTTGTTATTGAGGTTTTTGGCACGTTGCATTCAGCTGTTTTCAACCATTTTGGCAAATACCCCATCATGATGCGAGTAGATAGTCAATAGTCTTTCTGTACGACCTATGGATTTGCTTCCACAAATACACTCAAATTGATAGATATGAAAAGGAGTTTTGCAACAAAACTTTTTTCTTTAACACCACCAAGCGAGCGCTTCAAAAATTCGGGGAAAAAACCAGTCACCAATCTTTGACACTTCGAACTGCGTATAATAATTTGAGTGTGTCATGTACGTGGGTCTCGTGTGTATAGCTAGCTGCTGCCTAACAGTGGCGCACTGTTTAGGTAATTTTGAGTTTTTGATATTGTTATTGTTGTTGAATAGAACCGCATAGATCCAACAACCAAAACAATGAATAACCGTCTTTGGAGAGTTTTGTAACTGTGCCTCTGTCAAGGAAGTTTTATGTGCCAAACAGGAGCAGGAGGATGTAGAGATCGGCTCCCTGCGTTGAGACCACAATGAGATAAGTCTTAGTCGTTACGATCACAGTGTATCGTTCTTGTCATTGTGTTGGCATTTAAAGAAAACATAACTATGATATTTTGCAGGATCACAACGACATTGATATGAGATAGCCATTGAAAGTGGAAGATATGAAAAGGCTAGCTGACTGCTTTTGATCATAGGCGCCTTCGTTCTATCTCCCGTGTTTGGTGGTATAGTAGGGTGAAAAATATTGAAGTTGGGCATCGGTCGATGGAGTACTAGGTGAGGAGGGGAAGTCAATTGATTGAAATGGTTAGGACATGTGTTACTACACATGCCTCGCCTAACCATCGATCGCCTTCCTCGACAATGAGCAATGCTAGCTGACATAGGATGGATCAGGTTGGAAAAGGGGTAGTGGTAATCAAACCAAAATATTGCTTCACCAGTCAAGGAAATCCATAACAGTTAGTTTGAGTGTGGTTGGGGTCCTCTGGATGGTAAAAACCAATTAAGCCTGGAGACAGTTGATGATAGGGCTGGCTCAAAAGCGCTCCCAATGACATCGCAGATGCTTCACTCTTTGTGATTTGTCATAACCAACCAAACTCCATTGTTCTTCCATATTACCACTGTTGTTTTTCCCTCATATTTCTGTTTATTATCTCTTTTGAGTCTCTCTTCATCTTGCTTTGTGTGTTACATGACGGGAGAATGGCACCCGGAACCACTGAACATCTGTGCAAAGTCCCATGTTGAAACCAGTCAGTCAGTCAGTCGGACACCGTTGAGTTACAGGTGTGTCAGCTGTCCTGTGCACTTCAGTTTCCAAAGATCCTTCAACCATTGATATGTTCATGACTAAATTTGACGTAAGGCTGTGATGATGTGACTTGTATGAATTTATGACTTTTTAGCCCCTCAGGTTCACACTTTCTCACATGCATTATTATTATTACTATTGTTATTAATCCTTACTTATATCTTACAAGTTCTACTTGCGTATTCTTCTGTTTTAGGCACAAGAATTGGAGGCGCAGATTAAATCGCTTAAATCCGAGTTAGCTAAATATCAAGAGATTGTTAATCGTAGTTCACCAACAGTCAGTGCACCATATTCTCTTTCACTGCATACTATTACTGAATTTGATTTAAGTAGTAGATCATTTTTGAATAAATTTTTACGGAATACTAAAAAGACAGTCGGTGGTGGTAGTACTACTACCACTACTACTACTACTACGACTGTAAAAACTGAAGATAATGATTCTCATATGACTGTGTTACCACAGTTTCTACCATTCGTCAACTGCTATTCATGGCCATCGAATTTTCCTGTGGTCAGTCAATCTTCCCGTATGGATAACGGCGAACAGAACCGAAGCAGAGTAAGTTTTGACGTTGGTTATTATTGGATTGTATTGATGAGATGTAATCATCACAGAATAACCTCTTGTTTATGAGCAACAGATTGGTTTCTAACTGATGTTGGTTCGTGATGATTGTAGATGTCCTGAAGTTGTACTGTCAAATCGTTGCCACTGATCTTGTCCGTGTCGAGATGAAGTGGATGTTTATTGAAGGCACACTGGTTGAGTGAGGGTAGCGCTCTATCATGGATTCACTGCATTTTGGCTGAATTTTAGTGAATAAAGAATCTTGTGTCCGATAACTTCTTGTGTATCAGGTTCTGCAGTTATATGACCGTAATAATTAAAGCATTATATGGTTACAGGATTTCATCATGAGTTGACATTGGTTAGAGAACCATTGGAAACAAGCTGGGAGTATTGGACAGCTGTTTCGTCCTAGTTTGGGACACCGCTTCAGCAGTAAGCACTCACGCTTTGTGGTGTTGTTTGAACCCGGGATCTGGTTTCAAGACTGGCGAATTCGTAAACTATTCAACCCTAATCCAAGGGTCCAAGAATTCTAACTTGTGGATTCGGACCTCGGTGGGTGTGTACTGGTGAAGAGTGCCAAACTGGGTCGAAACAGCTATCTGGCACTCCATTACTGGTTTTCCAGTTGTTCTCTGACGAATGTCAGCTGATGATGCAATCCTGTAAGCAATCAACCAAATCCCTACAAACCAATACTTGAAGCATTCTGGTTACTAACAATATTAGTGTTTTCAGTGACATTGAATCAGTTAGATCACTTAGTTAGAATACAGTTCAAAAACATCCGAAAGTGATGATATGCATCGATATAATACTGAACTAAATATCAGGTAAATAAGTATGAAAATAATAATGCAGAATTTATGAATTCATAGGTTCTACAGCAAGCTAGGATAATATTATTGGTTGGACGTGTTTCTTTTGCACGCACTCGGTGCTTTGATTGTAAATTGCGATTACCTGTGCTCTTCAAAGTTTTCTGGTATCTAGAGAAATTTAGCAGCTGATTCGATTCTCGATGATAGATGGTGGAAAAAGTCTCTGCATTGTTAGTTAGATTTGTGGCCTGTGTGGACGTGGTGATCTAAATTAGAGCTGTTGATGGTTTTTACTACACCTTTACTTAGCCGCACACACTGGTAGGCGTTCCTGAACATGAAAAATTAAGTTCCTGGAGCTACAATAACATCAATAAAACTGGCTCCAAAGTTGAGTTGACAGATACAAGATGAGGTGGTCTTATATATTTTTTTTATGTATTCTTTTACGTTCCCAGTGGAACATAGCGAAGACTTCAAGCTAGAGGCTTGACGTTTTGGGTAGTATTGGTGTTTATTTTTACTGGATAGGGTTGCTAGCCCACCTTATGCCCAACCTTCTATCTTCACCAATCTTATTACTGGCTTGGCGAGATAAAGGAATGCGTCGACCGGGGATCCATTTCTGGACCATGTGCGCATGGTTGGCGAGCATTCTACCGCTGTGCCACCGACGCGGTCTTGTATTACTCAAATTAAATCACCGTTCAGCTAATATCTTCTAAAAAGTTTTAATTAGAGTTGCTTTCATACCCTTTGTCATGTAAGTCCGACTCACTGTCGCCCTCAAATGACACGAGTGTTCCTCACAGAAGTGAAAGAGTGAATGCAAACATCTGGCATTTGCAGCAAGTTCTACCTAGGGGAGATGTAGGACCGTGATTCCAAGCCTGTGGTCACATGGCCTGCAGAATTTGAGCAGACTGAACGGCGTGTAAACCTGCTCCGGTCACTGACAAACATAGGATCGTCACCTCTGACGCTTCTCTCCTGCCTTGTGAATCCGACTTCAAGTCAAAGGCTCACCGGAGGGGTAATCCCTTAAGATAATCTACCTGCTTCTGTTTGGTTTTTCGGGCAATATCTTAGTCCTCATACAAAATATGAGATTTTCTGTAGATCATCTCTTGGTGCCCATGATGTACCAGATGTATGTTTTAGTAAAGTAAAACAAAAAGTAGAACTTTAAGTAGACATTTCCAGAAGCACCATTTTACCTTCTCTTTATTCTCCTTTTTTGTACTACCCTAGATTCCTTTGAAATCAAGTTTATTCCGTTGGAATCCAAGAAATTTACGTTCTGTAATATTGGCTGCTGGTCGACGTGAAATTCCAGGTTATGATGTTGAGAAGAAACGATTATCACAGGTAGGTAGGTGGTGGTAGTCAGGCAGGCTGGGAAAGATTTTATCTTTTTTCTTTCTTATTCACAGTTTTACTTCGGTGTATCTCTCCTTAAATTATTTGTGTTAAATTTTACTTGAAGTATGGTGTGTAAGCTGTGTAGCTTACATACACATAGAGTTAATCGGTGGTGATATATATTATAATTATTGTCTCGCTAAGTTCCTAGATGGACATAGGGCTTTAGCTGCACATCTCCATTGTGTTCAGTTTGTCCGCCAACGTTTACAACTGTCTCCTCCTCCTTCATGTCACCCTTGCACTGACGGCCACCTCGTCGCTTCCCATTCTATTGGGATTTCACACGAGCAATGGCCTGGCGTATGAGGTCACTCACTTGCTGGTTTGTTTTCTCAGAGTATGGCCAGCCAATCCACCTCCATTTCTTCCTGTATATTTGTTGCACAATCGGTTCCTCCTGGGTTGGTTCGCTCACTGCCAGAGATTCTTGTTGGTAATCTTTTCTAGCCGGCCATGTGATCGTGAGCGGTATTGATAGAAGACAGTTAGCTGTTTAATGAAGGTGTGTAGTTTGTTCGAAGTGGCCTTCGTGACGTGTGGCGTTAAGTCTCTGATCCCTGTAGTAAGTAGTACTGACTTCACATTGGAGTTGAAAATCTGGATCTTATTTTCCATGCTGAGTGTTGATTGTTTAACCTCCACACAAACTGGAGAGTAATGAAAGCTTGCCTTGCTTTCCCTACCGTCGCTCTGATATCCTCGTCAGTTCCGCCTGTGTATATATTTATATATGTGCCAACAAAAATGGTAATTTTTATCCAATAACACAGTTAATACTTGTCACGCAGAAAGGTGGTTGTCATATCCGCATTCCCAGACAAATAGTGCTCTAGCGTCTAAAACTTTGTAGGACGGACTATGCTCTGTGGGTTTCAATTAAGATTTATTGGCTATAAAGGTGATAAATTCACCTAGTGAGTCCCGATTCCACTGTCATGTCATTTGATCGTGGATTTGATTACGCACAAAACTTCTGTTCAGCTTGGTTGTTGTAGTAACTGTACAGCCTTAGAACAAACTGAAAGTAGTTTCCACTCTCTCTTAAACTCTACGATAGATCACATTTGACCTTTTGTCAGCGATACATCTTCGAAATATTTACCCTATGATGACAACAGAGGGCCGGGGGCAGTTCGCGTTCGCTTCTGCAGATGGAGTCTAAGAAATAACTAACACATCCAAGAAGGGTAGCCAGGCGTTGAGAAAATCACCCATTCCCGTCAAAGAGAGGTAATAAGTAAAAACAGGTATACGGGGGGCTCAGTTGAAGCTCTCGCTGTTTCGTAGGAGTACAATATCAAACATTTAACGAGGGTCAGCTGGATGACAAGTCTGCTGGACTGTAGATTCAATGAAAATAATCAAAGTTTAAACAGTTGACATCCGACTAACCAATATCATCATTTTATATCCATTTTTACCGTACTAATATGTAGGTAGTCGAATGGCTTTTATTTATTTTGTATTTTTTGATTACAGCTTGATTCCACACTTTATTTTTTGGTACAAGTATGGAATTTTCAGCATGTGATATCGGTAGCTCAAATTTTTCAGGCCGACCATAGATATCAGGTGTGAGTCGGCAGGGGATCGAACCTCGGACCATGTATGCATGGTTGGCGAGAGTCTTAACCACTGTGCCACCGACGCAGTCTTACTCAAAGTGGATATCTATAAAAAACAAAATAATTGAGCAGAGAATATCATCCTTTCGATAATTTCCTCCTCTTCTGGCTCTACAACTATATACATATATTCTATTGAATTTTTGATTTTCCCGTCGATTGATTGGACCAAAGTGCTCGGTCTCAGGTTGACATGTCGGCTTCTTGTGCAGATGCTTCGACGATGTCTGGTTATTTAATTAGTATACAATTGGTGGATGGTGGCTAGCAGTGGAATCCAGGATGCGCATTTCGTCCTATCTGGGACTCGTCAGCTGGATGTACCTGCATTTCTCAGTGAGTGATGATGTTCCCGCCGAGGCTCGAACCTAGTACTGGTGGGAACATCATCACTCACTGAGAAATGCAGGTACATCCAGCTGGAGGACGAGTCCCAAATAGGACGAAATGCGCTTGTTCCTGGATTCCACTGCTAGCCACCATCCACCAATTGTATATATACATATATGTTTATACATATAGAATATTCTAGAATTGTAGTTAATAACAATATTAGTGTGTTTTGTAAATAATATCGACTTGTTAAGTAAGATCACAGTGGAATTACTCTTTATTAAACATGCTTAATTACAATAATAATAATAATAAATATATAGTAGCAAATAGAACATCAACTAAAATTGAGGAAGTTTCCACAAAAATTCAGGATCATTCAAACCCAGATGGCCAAGGTAAGGACAATGTCTGGACTAGCTTCTTTTGGACACATAGATTAGGCTTCTGAATGTGGATCCCAACGGCCAGCCTCAGCGATATTTAGTATTTGAACTCTTTAGGCAAAGTTAAGATTTGTTGGTATGCGGTGAGAATAGCTTTGAAAGCTGCCTTGTTGACATCAATCTTGTGTGTTCTGTTGTATCCACAAGATAAGTGAGATAGAATAGCGCTATGATGCGAATAGATTTTGTTTGTCCTTTACTTAAGCAGCTAGGCTGGGTGATGTTCGAAAATCCGACAAGAAACACGCTTAATTGTACGGCCTAAGCAGCTAACTGGCTCCACAGGTAGAGGTAACGGTTGTTGAGGTAATTAAAGAATATTTATTATTCATTGTGAATTTTTTTGGAGGATTTCATCATGCATTTTTTGGGTATTAGCTGGTCGAAGGCAATCGGGAAGAAGCCGCCTTATAAACGCATATTTCGTGCTTATTGGCACTCCCCAAGTTTATTTCCAATCTTGAAGAAATTTATGTCCCTTCTTAGACTTGAAACTGCGTCACCCCCAGTGCTGCAGTTAGAGACGCTACCACTAAGCTATTCAGACTCGTGATTGACTTCCTGTACGGCTGTATTGGATATTTTTGACTGAACACACTGGTTAATGACTAGTGTAAAGTGGTGTCTAGTCACTCCTTCACTTGTTTCAGTGAAGTTTTTACAATGCGGCCACCATGCCACTAGATAGGTAGGTGCACTCTAAACTTTTGTTTAATGATTGAAGGCAATTGTCAGGAAGCTTTGGACAAGCCCCCTGGGTTTCGTGGTAATTGGTGAGTGCAGTCCTGAAGAAACTCATGCCCCCCTTTTTTTATATATATTTCATTCTTTTTATAAGACAACTTGATTAAATTGTCTGTATTACATAGCTGTTATTTTGTTCTTCATAAAAAGGTTAACTGGCTGTATCCAAGTTCCAGGCCAAATTTTGCAGAATCATGGCGTTTCCGGTTAAGTCAAATACGTACTGGATGTTCTGGTGTTGGCGGTCCTGGTGATGAAAGGAGTGATAATATTTTCTTTGGTATTGATCTGGCTAATTTCGCCCTGCTTCTACGTACCCTGTGGCATTGTATTCGATGGGATGATATATTAGCCGACCCACCAGATGATGCACATGTACTTGATTCATCTGGTCAACCGTGTTTCAAGAAGACATTGGACACATATGATGATGAGGAGGAGGATGTGAATGACGAAGATGATGGAGGTGGTGGCGGTAGCGTCAGCGCTAGTGGTGGTGGTGGCGGCCTTTCAAGGAGACAAAATATTGTGCCGTATTCAGTGAGACGTATTGTTGAAATTCAACCTCTGGTAAGTTATGTGTCTCATTATATATGTATTCTTTTGTTGGGTAAGAAAATGGGGGGGGTGTCAATCCATAAGGTTCTAAATGAACAACACATCGATTGAGATGGCTAGAATGTGTGTGGCACATGCGGAGTCATAGCCTTCCTCGACATTCAGTGTTAGCCGATACACGTGTTTAGGTTTCAAAAAAATTTTGAAGTGGTCAAAGTAAAACCTGTCATCAATCTATGAAGTCTCTGACAGTTGGTTGAAATCGGCTGCTTAGGGACCTGTAGACTACCAGCTTGGGGGACCTTGAGATACTAAAAACCAGTAATACCTGTCTGTCTGTTTTCAACATAGAACCTTCCACCGATGTGCACCAGTTCAAGCCGCCACACTCCCTCCATGTACCACACAAACCAAGTCAAGAAAGTAGAAGTAATGCATGACAGAGACAGTAAACAGAGGTTTGAGACAAAGGAATAGTAATTTCGAAGAACAATATAGTTCCATTGGAATCATAAGTCACAAGGAGTGGATGCATCTGCGCCGTCATCGAGAACGATGAGTCTGAGCGATATCATCAACTGCCGACAGCCCTCATTGGTGTCTACCATCCCTAGAACCCCAACCAGGAAGTCTATACTTCCCTACGTGGCTTAAATTAGCTGTTGAGGATTTCATTGACTGGCGCCATGTTTTGGCTTGACCGCGGCTATCGCTTTTCCAACCTGATCTTACCTGTGTCACCAGCTAACATTTCCCATCGAGGAAGACGATGGCTAGGGATGCATACGTAACACATATCATAACTATCTCAGTCGATGTAATTTCACAGCTTCGTTGATTGATTATCGCTCCTTACCCGATACTCGACGCCTAACATCAATATTGCTCACCTTATTATACCACTTCACACGGAAGATAGAACGCAGGCACCTATGATCAAAGACAGCGAATCTTTTTTTGTCTTCTACTCTCAATGGCCGGGTCTTAGAGCCAGCCATAGAGGAGGACGGAGCGGACTGGTGAGCAGTACACCCGCCCTTTGGTCGATAGCTGGATACCTGGAGGGAACTGATGTGACTTAAAACCATTCTCATTAGCGCAGATATATTTACTATGTTGTAATCTCCCTGATAAACTAAACCATCGTATTTCTTCCATGTGTTGCATTTCTTTCTCGTGCACATTGTTTTCCGAATCTCTTTGTGAACGACTGAAGTCGTAGTAGTAGCTGTAGTCTTAACACAGGATGCCGATCTTTGCGTTCTACTGTATAGCTGATCGAAACTTTTAATAATAATAATAATAATCTGCTTTATCCCCCAGAAGAGCAGTACTTATAATGCAGAATGGAATTCTCAGCATTTGTTAAAATATTGCATCTGATTTACTCAAAATATAAATAAAATTAACCACATGAATTTGTCCACATTTACGGTATGAAGTCAAAAATATTCGATGTATAAAATGAGAATAATAAATATAATGATAGTAATAATAATAATAACAGTGAGTTTGTTTCAAACAGTATTGTCGATTCAGTTTGGAAATTTAAGCATTTTATAGATTATTGAATCTAATGTTCTGTTGATGTAGTATGGTGAGAAGGACGCAAAATAAGTTATAACACAGCTTATATGACGTTCGAAACCTTACGCAGAATCCTTTAACAAGACAGGAATAAAAGTCCGTGGCATTCAAACCATCCACAAACTCATTTAGAAAACAAGCTTTGTTGGTTAAAAGCTGGATCCTGCCAGTGGAGCCTTTAAAACAAAACAAGTTAGTTTATCGCATACCCCACCTACAATGGTCATCAGGTCAAATACATAGATGGGTCAAAGTAGTAGAACAAGGTCAGTGAGTCAGATTAGTGGAGCATAAAACCTAGCAGCAAAATCTAGACTGGTTGATCCGAATAAGATAAGAAATCTAGAGAATAGTTCAGCTATACCACTCACTACATGCAATTACACACAACCATACAATAGGATGGATGGGATAGGATGACAGTTTTAAAATCTTATGTTACAGAATGAATTGTGGGAGAGATTGATAACGGAAGCTTTGTTTATCGAATCAACTGCAAACCAACACGTGTAATAGGAATGATTCAACACCTGTCCACGCAGATATCTGGAAAATTCTACTATCACTCCAACGACGGCAAATAGGAGAGAGCAAAGAGAACTATAAAACTAAAGTTTCGAAGTCGTGTGATCATAATTGATGAAATGATTATGAACAGTAATAAATTGTGTTTGAAATTGTGTCATCCAGTAAATAATAATACTGTTCCACTCACTGACTGTGATACATCTAATAAACAAACTAATATGGAATTACTTACTACCACCACAGTGGCCAAGTTTTACACATATATATCACCACACTATTTATTAGTCATCATTGTCAACTTCTCTCCACTTTTGCCTTGACTGTGCAATTCAATTTTCAATAAATCTGACCCTTAATTTTACATGTTTGTATTTTGTCTGAACTTTGACCACCTCCTTCTTTATAAGGTCATCGAAGTTGAACTTTTGAACACTGTTTATTAACATACACGTCTCTATTGACAAAAATCACATTTATCCTTGCAGGTGGTATGACAAAATTCTGTGTTCATCTACACAGTCAACTCTAAGGTTGTAAGCAGCTGAAGAGAATCCGACGATGTGATAAATAATGATGGCCTCATATTATTCTACACAAACATTTGTTTTATTTCGCTATGTTTAAATTCATAAGAGAGAATAAAGTTTTCAAAAGGATGGATACTGAACAAAGTATTCTTTTAGATAACCTCATCATCAGGCTCTACAGTTATATATACGTTATAGTGAATAAATGAATTAGCGTTATGAACAACAATAATGTTGTTTAAATAACGCCAAATCAATAATAGTAGTATCAGTGAATTACAGTTCAGTAGCACCAACATAAAATAAGCTGAATGTCAGAAAAATTAGGAAAGATCATATTACAAATTCGTGAATTTATAGTCTCTACTGAAGACCAGCCAGGGTAGTAGCTGGGACTGGCTGGATTTGCTTCTTTTGAACACAGAGTGCTGGTTGTTTGAGGCAAATTGCAATAGCCTCTGCTACTAGGAGCATGCGGTGATTCGATGATTTTAGCAATTTATTTGGTATCCGACAGATTATAGGGGAGAAAGATTTTTGAAAGCTGACTGGCTTTGTGACCGGTTCGCACCAGATGGTCCAATATCGAACTGTTAATGGTTTTCACTACACCTTTACGTAGCCATAGTGGGAAATGTTCTCGAGTGAGCACGAAAAATCAAGTTCCTGGAGCAACGACCAATATAACTGGCTCCATCATAAGCGCTGTTGAATTGGTAGATACAATTTGAAGTGGCTAGTCTAGGCACTTCATCTTTCAGTCGAAGTAGCACTATCAGTCGTGTAGAAAATAAGACGTGCAATTCGCCAACAGTAAAAGTTCTTTAAACTAATTTTCTTAATTTCCTCGTAATTAAGTCGCTTGGTATATGGCCCTTGAATTGTAGTCGTATATAAAGTGGCTTCTTGTTTACGGATAGTGAGTAGTCCTTTTCCGCCGCTTTCTTTGTCATGTGTTTCTTGATAAATTTGTCGGGATAGCTAGCTATTTTCGATCAAAGTATCATATACAATGCTTAATTCATCGTCAATTACTTCTTCTGAGCTTATAGCTCGTACTGTGTACCTGAGGGTCTTTACTAAATTTATTTTGTACTTGATAGGAACGAAGCTGTGAGAATGTGTATATTGTCCTGTCCAAGTACTTTTTCCATGCAAATTTCTTTTTATGCTATCATCTGGTTTTCTTGGGAAGGAAGACATCCAGGAAGGCGATTCTGTCTTGAGATTCCTTTTCGCATGTGAATTTCATAGCCGAATGCACATCATTGAATTCAGTAATTATTGTACTCTTATCCGAATCATTATCACAAAGAATGAAGGTATCATCCATATATTGGCAATAAAATGAGAGCTTACTGATAAGGTTGTTTAAAGGTACATTTTCTAGCTTACTTACAAAGAAATCAACCAAAATGGAACCCAATGGGGAGCCCATCGCCGCCTCGTCCACTTGTTTGTAAAGTGTGGCATTGAACTTAAAATTTGCATTCATGGTACATCTTAATAATAATTCCTTTATAACTTTAATACGGATGCCAATGTTTATCGACAGGTTCATTTATGTAGTTAACTGTTTCTACAAGAGGTACATTTGTGAATAAAGATGTTGCGTCCAGAGATGATATCATGGTTTTGTCCTTGATATTAATATCTTTGATTTTGTCTACGAATTCAAATACATCTTTGACGCGCTATATTTCACTATCGTCTTATGCAAAGGTTTGAGAATATTTACTAATCATCTAGCTAGAGCATATGATTGATAATTGTGTATATTATCTTCTTTTTCACAGGATCGATATTGGTTACAAGCTAATTATAAAGTTCGCATCACTACTACTCGTCCAAATCGTTATTCTGGACGTGGAAAAAAATCCACCGGAAATACGGATTATTCCACCACGGGAAAAGGTGGTGGTAGATCAGCAAGATATCCTGATTCACCGGATGCTGAAGAATCTTCAACATCGAATAAACGAAGGGGGAGACGTGCTGGTCAAAAATATTCTAAAGCTGGAAAAGATCCAGATTATGATCCAGCAGTGGATGAAGGTTGGCGTGTTGGTATTCCCTGCTCATCTAGTCGTCGACAATCACGTCAGAACGGTCGTTCTTATGGTCGTTCCAATCGTGGTTCATATTATGATTCTGAAGATGATGATGAACATAATGGTGGAGAAGAATACGAGGGGAATCGACGCGGTGTAGCAGGACAACGTCATGAAGTATCAATTGAAGAGAAATGGATGTCTGAAGATGCTGTTTTTCCATGGGAAATACGCGTTTTTATGAACACGTAAGTTCAGCTTTTTTTCCTCACTATATACCGCTGTTGTGTTGTGCGTCGGTGGCATAGCGGTTAGGACGCTCGCTGACCACACAGGTGGTCCGGGGTCCGATCCCCGACCGCCAACTCATTCCTTTACCTAGCTAAGCCAAAAATAATTCTGGTAAAGAGGAAAGGTTGGGCTTGAGGCTAGCAATCCCATCCTGTAAAATAAACACTGCTACAGAAACTTCAAGCTACTAGCTTGAAGGTGCCCTATGTTCCACTGGGAAACGTGAAGGGAAAATAATACATACCGCTGATGCGACTGACTAACTGGTATCAACATAGACCTTCGCACCGATGTGCAGAGTTCGCCACACTCCATGTAGCACACAAAAAAAGAGAAAAAACTAAAAGAAATGCATAATAGAGACAGTAAACAGAGGTGTGAGACAAAGGAATAATAATAACGAAGAACAATATTGTGTCACTGGATATTGAAAGTCACAAGGAGTGAATGCATCTGTGTACCAGCCATTGAGAACGATGAGTTTGAGCCATATCACCAAGGTCTCCAGCCTTTATTGGTTTTTAACCGTCCCGGGGACCCAACCAGGAAGTCAGGAAATCTACATCTCCCTAAGTGGGGGTGGCTAGCTGGCTTAAACTAACTGTTCTGGATTTCATTCACTGATGCCGTTAACTCTCTCTTTCCCATTCAAGTACGCGAAGAATCAATCAACTTCCACAGTGTGAGCAGCCGGGAAGTAACCACCGCCCACACACTTTTAAAAGCACACTTCCTTACGACACGATAACTTTATCACGTATTGCTTTTTAGGCTTTTGATTAGTTACTGGTAAAGTCATGAGCTGAAGTCAGTTGGGGGAATATTAGAAAGTTATTACCGAGTACTGGACAGATGTTTCATCCTAGTATGGATCAGTACTAACGTGATCAAACATGTAGCCAATCAAATCCTTGCTAACCAACACACTTGAGAAACTAATTTCATACACGCTTGTGATTGGCTGTACACAGGAAGTTGCCTCGAGTTCTAGGGAGAATTAGTGGCCTGCGGTGTACACTGAGTCAGAACAATGGAACAGTTTCTCACCGCTGGTATTGGCTGGCTTTATTTCGTGGATTTGCTGGAGTTGGGATTCATGGGTCATTTGATAGGGTCCCATTGACTTGAAAAATGATCTACGAGCTCGCTTTGGAACCGAAATTTACCCCTGGTCTCCAATCTTCGTGGATACGTACTAATGGAGAGTTCCACACTAAAACAATCTCTGTGCATTTAGTACACAGTTAACACCTGTTATCTATTTTTCTTGTGCATCAAGCTAGATACCATATTGTGTTAGAGCTGGTAATTTTATATAGTTGCCCAAACCCTTGGACCCATTGGTTTAAAGTGTTAGTGCCCAAAACGATGAATCACGTCTCCACTGAACATTCTTTGTAATTGACTGAATATTTCACCATAGATCGGCTCATAAAAATACAATTAAAGGCTGAGAAAAGAGGTACTATGAATCTGAAATGAATAGAAATGTACAGATAAAACAATGATTACAGGAAAAACAGTGAAGATTTATCACCAATATACGAACTTAGCACATTGATAATCACAGGGGAGATCCGCCACACAAGGTGCGAAGGCTGCAGTACTGGTCGGATGCCTAGGTCGAAGCAAATGGTTGTTTAAAGGAGTTTCCCACTCTGAGAGCCTTCGACTTGAAGTTTGATCCACGAGGTAGAAGAGCAGTGTCAGTAGCTATGTTCCCCCAATTCGATCTGTTAGGATCCATGAACCCATGTACACCAAACGTTTTCAGTTAGGGTCTTCTAGCTCTCGTAGGTAGACGTGGATATCCACCAGCCAGTCTGCTTGTAACCACCGGACGTTCGTATATTCACCCTGTCACTTTCTGTGAGGAATACCCTTACAGTGTATAAATGCAGTGAAGAGAAATTACTTAAGAAAGGTCATTAAATTCTAGCGTTTCGAGTACCCACCCTTCATTCCATTTCTGGTTGAAATCAGTAGTTATAGGTATCAATGATTGGTGAGGCATGTCTTATTCTGATCAACACTCAGTGGTCAAATGACGTGCAGGTGATTCTTCTTCATACACATAGATCCTTGACATGAGTGGGTGGACTCCATTTTTATACACTAATCAGTATTGATTGCTAGTCAAATTGAGGTAACCTACTCAGGTAGGTAGTTACCTGGGGTTCCAGTGAGAAGTCGTAACCAGTATCGTGCAGCAGGTCGGATGTGAGGACAAATACTCACCGAAGACATTGGCTAGTGGTCGTGCTATGTCGTGAATTAGCAGAAGTTAGAATTCATGGGCTTGCCATTGGATTGGGTCCCAGTGGCTGGTGGTGAGTGGTCTACGTGCTCTCTAGCCTTGTAACCAGAAGGTCCTGGGTTCGAACGCCTCTGTGGGGTGGGTGTGTACTGATGAAGAGTCCCAAACTAGGACGAAACAGCTGTTTGGCAGTACTCCCTAACTGATTTTCCAATGGTTCTCTAACTAATGTCAGCTCATGATGAAATCCTGTAACCAATCTACAAAAAACACCCCCTGAACCGCGAATTCTATTTACTCGTTTCTATCAAGTTCATCAGATCTATGCTTGGTTTTTCGATAATCATTAATAATATGTTGATCCGATTAGTTTTGGTTTCCAAACAAAGCTGTAAGCAAACTCCACCTCCTCGAACTGTATAAATTGTATATCGTAAACTTGATTTGATTTCCTGCAATAATAGGTCCCAGATTCGAGTCGAGAACCTATCTATTTCAGTCTCAACAACTAGTTTATATCACACACACACACAAACACAAGCGTAGTTCAGAGCGTGGTGCACAAAAAGGGGCTCAAACAAACAAAAGTCCTATGTTACTTCTTTCATTTTCAGTACATTTTCATTATACTACTTTTTTAATAATCAGTAGGTATGAACAACTTGTTATTTTTTTGTCTCTTTCAGTTTATTACCCCCGAAATCTGCTTATCCCCCAGTAGGAAATGATAATAGTTCCGAGTCAAACACTAATGACAAGGATAAATACATAATATCTGCTCGACTGACTTCACTTCCTCTCATGCCTAGTCAAGAGGATTCAAATATGAGGATGGTGATGAATACGTCTACGTCAGCAGCAAAATCAACATTGATGATAAATACAACAACAGCGCCAACAGCAGCCTCCGGATCAGGAGCATCAGCATTAATGTCTCTTGATCATCCTATGCTTAGTCCTGGATCTTATGTAGAAAAAGATGGTTTCTTGTATGATGGCCAATCGAAATCATACATGTTCAATAATAATACGACTTCACGTCGGTCAGCTTTAGCTTCAGCCCTTCAATCTGGTCGAACTCCAGGTAGGTTTTATTAGAAAACACTTACATGTTTGTGTGTGTGTGTGTGTGTGTGTTTATAAGCTTTTTATATACTTCTCATCCTCATCCGGCACCCAACCACGGCGATTTGGGTTCCACCTGAGTGGTTTTCGCTGGCACACAATGGCACTCAACGGTCTCCTCGGCGTGCATGTCTCTAATCTAGCTCCAGTTTCTTCGATATATTTGTTAGGGTGTAGGTAGATAGGTAGGTAGGTACACGGTTAATCCGTTGCCTGTCAGATATCCTTGTTCTTCGCTTATCGCCTTGTGAACGCCAAGTCTCTGAACTGGACAGAAAATTTGAAATCATGTTCCTATATGCTCTGAGTACAGTAGAGATTTTCACACCCACTTTAAAGTGGGGAATGTCTGTCTGTGTGCGTGTCTCGCTTTTCTGATCATCACAGCTTTGACTTTCACATCCTCATGCATTCCGCTCCACTCACTGTAGCTGGAAATGATGTTGCCGTAAATGAGGGGGAAGAAATGGCTTCCTTCAAATTTCTCCTGGTGATCATAGCGCTTGTTGTTTATTGTTGATTAAGTACCTCCTGTTGTCTTCCCTGTGTTCATCACTTGAAAGTCCTGCTTTTCACTGCCATCTTCTACCTCTTATCAACAACTTGTTGAAGTTTCCTCTCCATAGATCTTCGAGTCAGCGAAGTTCTAATTCCCTTTTGAGAGTCTTCTTGTCAACCAAGCGTGATGACGTAATAAGTCCCTCGTGATTTTAATAACAACTGACCTCGGTATATAGGCAATCTGCAAAGGAAACTCTAAACCTATATTTCACACCTATCGGGCTTTCCTCAGCAGAGTGTATCTATAACTACGAGAGTAGGCATCCCTTCCCCCTCCCTAATACATTTATAACGTACTTTTTATTTAGATTCTGAGTTTTTTGCGAAGATTTTCATTGATTTCTCACCCTAGTTTTGGACTTTTCTCAGTACTGTATGCACCTGTGACCCCACCGGGAATCGAACCTGGCACCTTCCGGGTGTTGGGGGATTACACTTCTTGATCATTCAGTTAATTGGGTCAGAATTCAATGCCCCCATCAACTCCAACTTCTGCTTTATTGGTTATAATAGCGTTATCCCCCCCCCCCACACCACCACCACCACACACACTCAACCAATTTGTTTTCAATAAGCGTCCACTTTCTCTACATTGTCAAGAAGAGAAGAAAGAAGGAAATTACAGGACGTTCGCTATTGATGATTGCGATTCTCAGCCATTTCCGTCACGGTTTCGTGCCACCTATTCGAGCTATCTCTCTCGGTCCCCTAACGAAGGAGTTGTGATGCCCCAACACACCCCTAACACAAATATCCTTCATCTCATGTTGCCATGTCATAGGGTGACCATCTTCCCGCTTTTTCCATCCTGTCCCAGGGCTAGCAAATGGAGACAGGTATGGAAACCTCTTGGATGACATTCGTATCAAATGTTCATTCCTCCGGAACCAGTATCTCCAGGTGACAAAAATCAATGAATGGTGACCTCTATTGTGTTCAAACATACACTGCTGGTCCTCAGAAATACTGACACGGTGATGCCATCGAACGTAGGCAGTTCTACGGCGACAGTGATGATCGAATACACATAGCTACCTCCTCATCTCGGAGAGGCTAGGTTTCTCAGGAGTAGAGCAAGACAGCGCACACTGAACCATTGTAAACCTGACCCCTGATAGTCAGGCTAACCTCACGACAACGCCAGAGGTGGCTCAAGTTGACGTATGCGCCATCCTAGCATTCATGATACGGTTGGAGATATCGTCTGTCACCCCCTCGCCGCCAGCAGTCACACAGCTACCCAGACTCATGGACTTATTGAAAACTTCAGATGGTTCACCTGCAAGAGAGTGAGTGCAGGTACTGGCTACTGTCAATTTTTTAACAATATCTGGTACTTAAACACCCCCGATCGTGCCTGCATATCACGGTGACTTAACAAACAACACTGATTGGGACTTATGTTCCTGAGGGTCCTACCATACCAAGAAGGTTTTTTGGATAGCCGTTAGACTAAAAGCAGTTCCAGAATCCCAATGGATCTAGTGGTGTATGAACCTGTATTGGTCACTGGCAACCATGGGAACGTAGCTCCTGTCGCTGTCCATATAACTTGCGAATGAGATTCTGCGTCAAAGGCTCGGGACGAGATCCCTCAAGACAATCACCTGCTTCAGTCTGGGTGCCCGGGTAGTACCCATCCCAGCCTTCACACTAACAATGAAACAACAAATCATGAGGGAATTTAGTCACTGGCGTGTTTTCTTTTTAACCCTTGAGTACTTTCTTACTATATTTATAATCATACTCAATTATCATTAATTTTTATTTAGGTTCATCTAGAAGTCGTCATGATGACCATTCAGGTGGTGGTGGTGGCAGTCAACAAGTACGTCAACTATCCCCAAATACACTTGAAGCGAAGGCTAGAGCTCGATCAATAGCTGCTACAAATGCTGCTAGAGCATCTGTAGCAGCTAGACGAGCAAGATTTGAACGTGCACTCTTGGAACAACGTGTTCGCGTATTGAAGACAGAATATACTACACGTAAACGTTTAATATTTAATTGGGCTAAATCACTTGCTGATGTAAGTTATTATTATTATTGTTTACAATGAAATATCATGTAGATCGAGTTATTATTATTCACTTGTGCTCCGAGTGAAAAATAGAGCATCTTCTGTAAGGACAGAAGACAGGAGCAAGGCGACCGGTTGTTTATTCAAGAAATCAAGAGTTAATTATAGGCTTAAGTGTACATTATTATTAGCGTTATTGTTAGCAGGGAAACAACGCCTTCTGATTGGTTGTTTTTTTTGCTCAAGGTTATTCTGTACTGCGCTTGTGACCGTTTCTTAGAAAGTTAAGCCATATATCTGCGAATCGTATTTCCACACCTTAAGTCTTTTGTCATTGGCTGGTGAGTTCCTCAGGTCTCAGCTTTGTTATTGTGCTTTTTTCTCATGACCCCGATTTGGGACTTGTTCTCAGCCAGCTCTCAACGCACAACAACACATCCCTATATCATCCTGTTTACTGTAATTCTCTTCAGTCGTCCCGACGATTGACCTTAAGCTGTCATCTCCTCTTCCTCCTTACACAACCTTTTTCTTTTATCAGCCTTGACCCCAACCCCAACTCTTCGTTTCCCACTTGAGGTCCCGCCTGGCGCGCGATGTTACTCACGTCTCCATTTTCTTTGTCACGTGTAAGGATTCCGAGTACTACTTCACCACTGCCTTCTGTTCACTCCTACTTTGTAAATGTGAGATTATGCAACTGTGATCCGGAATCCTCAGTACAACTTCCAGATAAACCGGCTCATCTAGACTAGCTGAGAATTATCATCAACTCTGACATAGTAAATGTGGCTCGTACTCCGGTTAATAGGCATGGCTAATACATTGTCCTAACCATCTCAATCGATGTAACTTTACAACCTCGTCGATTGATTTCCCGTTGTCACCTAGCACTCACTCGACCGATGCCTAACCTCAATATTGCTCACCCTATTATACCACTTCACACGCGAGATAGAACACAGGTACCTATGATCAAAGATAGCCAGTCAGCCTTTTCATGTCTTCCAGTTTCGTTTGTCAGTTCTCACAGCGATAAAAGTGGACGGAGCGGACTGCTGGCTAGGTATTATGTGAACACAGTATCTTTGTCAGTCGTTACAGCAATCTTGAAGAAACTGATGTACTTTCTGAGATACTTCAGTCAGAGACGTCGGTACGCTAGTGTCCAATCAAAAATTTGCTTGTTTTTTTTTAAGTATAGTACCCCTCCCTTCTAGCCATCGCTGAGGAATATACTGAGATGGTTATGATTAACAGAAATCCTGTTGAGAAGCAATGTTATGTACATCATGAATTATACTCAATTTTAATTCTTTTCGACTTTTCTTTCCCCTTCTTCTGTTTTCTAGATCGCTGTAAATGAAATTAAAGGTAACCAGTTAGGTGGCGGTAATAAGTCAGAACAACCAGCTGTTGAAGTTCCTGTACGTGTTGAACAGTCGTCAACAACAACAACAACGCCAGCGACAAAGACAGCAACCACTCAGCCTGTCAATGAAAAATCAACTAGACGAAAAGCTCGACCCCCTGTTGCTGGCAGTGGTAGTAATCGTACAAAATCATCGAATAAATTACTAGAAAAAGCAAAGAAAAAACCTGGACGACCTAAAAAAATAACGAACAATAATAACAAAAATAATAAGAATAAAACTGCTGCATCAATATCTAAGAAATCCAAACGAAAACTTGCCTCACCTTCTTCATTATCCTCCTCATATGGTGGTGGTGATGATGATGAAATGAAAACACAGAATTCTGATGAAGATGATAATGATTTAACCGACTCCATTGATCCTTCTGTAGACGAACAAGAAGAACAAGAAAATCAACCTGAATGGAAACCGTCTACAACTTCTACTGGTGCTATGGCGATGATCACTAAAGAAGAAGATGAAGAAAGACCCTCACCTTCTAAACTGCCTTTAGTGCATAGTCGTCCACCTCGTAAAAGTGCACTGAATCATGAATTTATTAAAATATCAAAGCATAAAACTACAAGTCCAGCGCTGAAACTTATTCAATCTGAATTGGTTAAAAGTCCAATTAAAAATTTCAATACACCAGCGATGACGACACCTACACCAACTACTAAAACCGCAACATCAACAACAACAACAACACCGCCAGCATCTAAAAAATCTTTAACTATGAAATTATCACTTAAAGGTCGAGTATCCACTTCTTCTTCTGCTTCTAATTCTACAAGTGCTTGTTCTACACCAAGTACATCACCTGGACTAGGTGATTATGAAGATAATTATCGAATAAAATCTAAAATGAAAAATCAAAAGTTAACGGTAAGTAATTACTACTACTACTAATAATAATAATAATTTTAATTAATTCTTCCTTTCCGTCCCCAGTGGAACATACGACATGTTCAAGCTAGTGGCTTGAAGTTTTTGTAGCAGTGGTGGGTATTTTTACAGGATGTGGTTGCTAGCCTCATGCTCAGCCTTTCCTCTTTACCAGCATTATTTCTGGTTTAGCGAGGTAAAGGAGTGCGTTGGCGGGTTGGGATCGAACCACGGACTATGTTCATAGTTGGTGAGCGTCCTAACCGCTGTGCCACCGACGCATATTACTAATACTACTATAACAATAATCGCACTTTTCAGGAGTTAATTTTTGTAGCGATTTGTTTGGTTTTCTAAATTATGATCATGGATTGATATCTGTCTGTCTGTCTGTTTTCGACATAGAACTTTGCACAAATATGCGCCAGTTCAAGTTGCCACACTCCCTGTAGCACACAAAGCAACAGAAGAAAGTACAAGAAAAGCATAATAGAAACAGTGAGCAGAGGTGTGAGACAAAGGAGTAGTAATAACGAAGAACAAAACAGTCCCATTGGAGATCATAAGCCACAAGGAGTGGATGCATCTGCGCTAGCCACTGAGAACGATGAGTTTGAGCCATGTCACCAATTGTTTCCAACCATAGATTTTTACCGTCCCGAGGACCCCAACCAGCCAAGAAGGATACACCTTCCTACATGGCTATAAACTAACTGTTGTGTATTTCATTGACTGGTGAAGCCAAGTTTTTGTTTGACCGCCGCTAGCTTTTTTCCAGCCTGACCCTATATCCGCTAACATTGCCCATTGTCAAGGAAGGCGATGACTAGGCGGACATACGTAACACATGTCCTAACCATCTCAGTCTTTGTAGCTTTACGACTTCGTCGATTGATTTCCCCTGTTTACCTAGAACTCGACGCCTAACCTCAATGTTGCTCACCTTATTATGCCACTTTACACGGGAAATAGAGCGCAGGCACCTATGATCAAAGACAGCTAGTCAGCCTTTTCATGTCTTCCACTCTCAGTGGCCAGGCCTCACAGCTGGCCATAAAGGAGGACGGAGCGGACTGATGAGCAGTACGCCCGCTATATCAGTTAGAGAATTATTGAAAACCACCATGGAGTACTGTAGAATTGTTTCGGTTTAGTCTGGAACTCTGCTTCCCTACAGTATGCAACCATTACCCCTAGTGGATTCAGATTTCTGTCAATTTGAGATTTTTTAGCGTGGCCTCGGTAATTATTTGTTTGCAAACCCTGTCTTGGTACACCACACTGGTCACAACTTCTCACTAGAACCTTCAGACATGCACCAGAATCATTTTAATGGTTTGAATTGATGACTTCGATCCTCAATGGGATCTGAAGAGTCCTCAGGCAGAGATCCAGTACTCCGTGGGATTTCATGCTTCTCTAAGTGAAATCAATCTGTCAACGAGCATGGTTTCGTAATCTAAAAGTTTTGCGTTTAATCTCTGTTGCATAGAACTGAAGAGTTCTGAACTAGGGCCATGAAGTGTGTCTTTTTCGTGTGCTCCTTGATATTAGTTTCGTGACAGAACGAAATGAAATTTTTAATAAGTAAGGTGAAAGAGTCAGTGGTTATCAAGGTAGTAATAAATTAGTCGATCGTCTTGCTTCACGTTTTACTCCCCGGATGGTCACAGCTTCAGCCATTCGAAGTATTAATGAACACAAAATGTGTACATCTTTTGGGCCGGATCTACAAGTCAAATAAGAATCTATTCCATAACTGATTGTGATCTTATCAGCTGTAGAAAATGCTTCAAGTCTCCGCCTGTCCTTTCATTCCCTTCATAGGTGAGTGAATGTAAGATCCGATTCATTGATGTAATTAGATATTTGAAGCAATGTGAAACAGTGTAAATCTTATGTTACTGGATTGGATAAAAAGTTAGGTAGCCCAAGGGGTTTAAGCATTCCATCGCACAATTTTATCGATTTTAAATATTAGAGAGAAAAAGGGGTTATTGGTTTCCAGACTGTAGATGTTACGAATTTCCTAAGATAATTTGTCCATCGAGTCAGATTGAATCATTATAAATTATTATTTAAAATAATCCCAGCGTTGATTTGATCGGTGGATGGTGACTAGCAGTGGAATCTTATTTGTGACTCCAGTTGGATGTACCTGCATTCCTTAGTGAATGATGATGTTCCCACTGACTTTTAATTTCACGCCCAGACATCATCGAAGCATATCTGCACAAGAAGCCGACATGTCATCCTGAGACTGAGTACTTCGGTACAATCAATTCACGGGAAAATCTAAAATTGAATATAAATAATCCCAGCGTGTTTAAGGAAAAGCCAAAACAAGATCTGTTTTCTGAACGTTTCACTGTATAAGCTAGAGCTTCTTCAACAGATTTATTCGGATTTTTTTTTAATCATCAAAAATTTTTTACATGAATTGAAGTCAGTTTATTTGAAGGTCGTTTGTGCATGGACGTTTATATCAATAGAAATATGTAAGCGGTCATCGATCATATATTTGTCATGACTAATGTCAAATTGTAATTGTGTATATTTGTGTGTATGAGTGTGTTATCTGTCATATGGGAAAGAAGTGCAGTGACATGTGATAAACATGGTACTATATGAATTGAATTTTTGATTTTCCCGTCGATTGATTGGACCGAAGTGCTCGGTCTCAGGTTGACATGTCGGCTTCTTGTGCAGATGCTTCGACGATGTCTGGGCATTTGATTAGTATACAATTGGTGGATGGTGGCTAGCAGTGGAATCCAGGATGCGCATTTCGTCCTGTTTTTGGGACTCCTGGCCGGAGTGGTCTAGTGGATAACGCTTTGGCGTTTGAAACTATGGGTACTGGGTTCGAGCCTCGGTGGGAACGTCATCCCTCACTGAGAAATGCAGGTGCGTCCAGCTGACGAGTCCCAAATAGGACGAAATGTGCGTTATCCTGGATCCCACTGCTAGCCACCATCCACCAATTGTATGGTACTATGTTTTAAAAGGTCATGGAGGCTCATAGAGGCTTTTGTTGTTTTTTCATCTGTCTCGCTTCATTAGAGTTTGCCAATATAGGTGATATATCCATCCCTTCTCTCCTGCATTTACTGCATTCGATGTGGTTAAAATGTGCAAGGCTTCAGAAGTCAGTGTTTATGCGAATGAAAGCCTGTTTCCAGAATTTTGCCATTGTCAAAATCAATCTTATGTCCGTTATCTATAGCATGCCTTGTTATAGCTGATCTTTTCTCTAGAACTTTTAATTCTACTTCATTTCTGGGCGGGGATGTTTCGTGCACACTCTATGTTCATTCATTCTGACCTTCAATTGTCTATTTCTCTCTCCCCTCTTTATAGCAAACTTGACATTCTGAACACTATCCTACTGACATAGTTGTTTTGTGTCATTTTGGGAACCATATTTTTGAAATTCACCAAAGCTTTCCCTAGAGAATTAGACGACTGGAAATATACCTTTAATATCATATGAAGCAAGTAGTCTTTGAAGTTGTTCAGCTGTGTCGCCTTTCGATATGGGGAATGGCTATCGTCGATCGATAGCCAAGATTTTTCAATTTCTCCCTGTAATTCCCTTCTGCTCCTTTTTATTGATAGTATTATCTAGTAGCTTTTCCGGATAACATTTTCCAATCATGTCTCGTTCTCCATGTCATCATCATTATCTGTTATAATGTTTCTAACTCTGTTACAACGAGATTTAAAGCTACTGAAACTTTCGTTCCTATTGGATGATTTGATTGGGAATTCAAATACATGTTGGAGTGTGTGTCAGCTTTCTGTATAGTGTAAACTTTAGTTTCTCGTCAGTTTGTCTTTTTTTACTAGACACTCCAGGAAGTTTAGAGTTCCTTCATCCGATTCTACTTCATTAGGAACCTCTTTATATATATATAATTTGAGATTAAGTTAATCTGTGTTTGATATGTATCCACATGATGTGTGTTTTGTTTTTGACAGTCTATTATATTTTGCTATGTGTATATGGATCGATATTTCATTATAACTGACAATATGCTTTTGTCTGTCCACTAACTAAATAAACATGTATGGCCTTGTTGTCACATGACACTAAAACCAATCATGTTAAGACTGGCTATTTATTGGTTCATGTGCATTAGTCATTTTCATATATACCTTTGTACTGTATTCTGGTCCACACACATTTCGTACATCTAAGTACCCTTTCACTTACACTCTTGTGTGACATTTATTTTCCTTGTCTGGAAAATACAAGTATCATCGTAAACCTGGTGGTCTTCTGATTTCCCTCTTTCCGCGTCAGGACTATTCACTACTCGACGAGTACATAACATAATTGGCGACGGGGAAAACTACTATTAACCACTCAGCAGCAGTACATAACATAATTGTGTCAAAAACAAAACTCACATCATGTGGATACATATCAGTGTTAGAAAGTCTACTTTTATTGGTACAAATGTCTATGCACAAGTGACCTTCAAATAAACTGACTCCAATTTATGGTAAATTTTTTGACTATATATTTTGGTGGTTATGAAAATCCCAGTGAATTCAGCTGAAGAAGCTGTGGTATACACGGCGAAAAGTTCAGAAAACAGATCTTGTTTTGGCTTTTTCTTAAACATGCTGGGATTATTTTTACCAGTTGATCGCGGATTGATAATCAGTTAGAGAACCATTGAAATTCAGCTACAGGGAGTACTGGGCATCTTTTGCGTTCTAGCTTTGGACTCATTAGCAGTAGATACACACCGCCAAGATTCGAACCCAGGACATCCCGGTTACAAAGCAAGCGATCTCGTATACCATTCAGCCACTGGGACCTGACTCCTCAATGGTCAGTCCATGAATTCTAACTGATACGACGCTGGGATTATTTTAAATAATTTATAGAGAGAGAGAGTTTGTGTGTTACATAATCACGTCTTACGGCGGTCTATCGTTATTTTTTCCTTAAATTTTAGATTAAAATTAAAAAGGAGTCATCTACTCCCACAAAAGTGAAAAAGTCGAAGCATACCAAATCCATTTCAGATGCTATTGATAATAACAATAATAATGGCAGCACAACTGTGAAATCTCCACGTCCATCTTCGATAGGCAGTGGTGGGGGCGGTGGCTCCAGTCGAGGACGTGGCGGTGGTCGTGGAGGACGTGGTGGTGGAGCTTCTACTACTGCTACCACTGGTGGTAGTAGTCGTAAAGGACGACCTAAAATATCAGCTAAATTAGAACAAGAGGATAAACAACATCAGGGACATGATGAACAGCGGCAACCTCAGCAAGAACAAAAGTCTGAACCAGTTGTTAGCTTTCCTCCTCAAAGTAAATCTGAATCGCCTGTTAATACTACTCCAACGACTACAACTACTAATACTACTGGCCTATACTGCCTATGTAAAACTCCTTATGATCAATCAAGGTAAGAAAAGAATGTATATCATCAAATAACGAGTAAATTGTCATAATTTTAATTATTATTATTTTATTTGTGGATGGTGACTAGCAGTGGAATCCAGTTCAGGATAACGCACATTTCGTCCTACTTGGGACTCCTCCTCCACAGCTGGATGTACCTGCATTTCCCAGTGAGTGATGACTGTGTTCACACCGAGGCTCGAACCCAGTGCCTTAGTGTTTCAAATGCCAAAGCGTTACCCACAAGACCACTTAGGCCATGAGAACCACCTCTTGTGGGTAACGCTTTGGCATTTGAAACACTAAGGCACTGGGTTCGAGCCTCGGTGTGAACACAGTCATCACTCACTGGGAAATGCAGGTACATCCAGCTGTGGAGGAGGAGTCCCAAGTAGGACGAAATGTGCGTTATCCTGAACTGGATTCCACTGCTAGTCACCATCCACAAATTAAATTCTAATTATAAAATGCCCAAACATCGTCAAAGCATATTACACAAGAAGCCAACAGACATGTCAACCTGACACCGAGCACTTCAGTCCAATCAATTGATGGGAAATTCTCAAGTTCGATTATATTATTATTATTATCATTTTTATTATTATTATATAGATTTATATGTTGAAATAATAGAGATTAAGAACTCGTGTGGATGATTGTAGTAATCATTATAATAAAGGTTTGTGTATTTCCCAATGAATGAATGGAAAACAAAACGATATTGTAGTTGCGTTTACTGACGTTTCGCTATTTAATGCTACTGCTAACAGCTTTATCAAAGTAGTATTATTAAACCGGAATTTACAAAATCTCAGCATATATATAACAAAGAGTTAAGGATTGAAAACATTTATTTCCCGATACGAATTTAAAACAAGCAATAAAGGTTAATAAAGCAGGATTTAATGTTCAATCCTCGACACTTCAAACTGCATATATCAATTTGAGTGTGTTTGTGGCAGCAAATACATAGGTCGTACGGAAAGGCGATTGTCTACTCGCATGATGGAGCATTTGCCAAAATGGTTGAAAACAGCTGAGTTCAAGGTGCCAAAATCCTCAATAACAAAACATCTTGTAGATTACGGACATGATATCGACGCAGTCAAGTCATTTACCATTGTCAGCAAACAAAGAAACAAGAAGATGCTTGCAATTGCAGAGGCTTGTGCAATTCGAATTTATAAACCAGCTCTCTGTATACAAAAGGAGATGGTCGTGACTCTTAATCTACCATGGTAATACGTTTTATTCTCTACTTGTTATTATTCTACCTCTTCTTCTTCTTACTATTATTGTTATTATTATTACCATTATTATTATTATTATTCTTGATTCATCTGAAACTATGCTTTATCAGTAAGATTATCTTAACTCACTTCAACACTATTAAAACTCTTTTCAACGAATTTATTATCAAGCTGTACAATCGTATATATATGGTTTTATAAAGTAATTATATCCGGTGAGGGAATTAGGTCAAAGGTGTAAATACATGAAATACTAATAGTATGAAATAAATTTAAAATATTTGTGATTAGGTTCATAGTTTAAGTCAAGTGGAACAATAATTAATGTCATATATAAGATAATACATCAGGTGTATAGATTTTGGGGAGAGGCATATAATTGTAAGATTAATAGACGAATGTAAAATGTTACGTAACATGGTGTGAAATTTGATAACATAGAATTTAATATTGTAAAAATAAAGATAAAAAGTATACACATGAATAATTTTTGGTTTAAAATGTCAAGTAGATCAAGTGGAAAAGATTCAGAATGAGAGTCGTAATAATAATAATAATGATAATAATAATAATGATAATAATAATAATCGAAGTAATAAGGGAAAAGTACATAGAATAATAAAATAAATAAATGTCTATCCCTCTACGGCCAAGGCAGCAGTAGGGATTGTACATACTTCTTTTGTACACAAAGGTCTGGCTTAAAGTCATGAATTGCCAAGGCCTCAGCTGTCTTTAGAAGTCTGTAACGAAGAAAACGCGGGAAGTTGGCATGAATTCTATATAAGACCTTGAAATCATGGTCAGGGTTGACCGCGTGACAGGAGTCGATGAGGTGTTCTAAGATAGAGCTTCGCACACATTTCCTTTTCCCTTGTAAAACCTGTCACGCGGTCAACCCTGACCATGATTTCAAGGTCTTATATAGAATTCATGCCAACTTCCCGCGTTTTCTTCGTTACAGACTTCTAAAGACAGCTGAGGCCTTGGCAATTCATGACTTTAAGCCAGACCTTTGTGTACAAAAGAAGTATGTACAATCCCTACTGCTGCCTTGGCCGTAGAGGGATAGACATTTATTTATTTTATTATTCTATGTACTTTTCCCTTATTACTTCGATTATTATTATTATTATTATTACGACTCTCATTCTGAATCTTTTCCACTTGATCTACTTGACATTTTAAACCAAAAATTATTCATGTGTATACTTTTTATCTTTATTTTTACAATATTAAATTCTATGTTATCAAATTTCACACCATGTTACGTAACATTTTACATTCGTCTATTAATCTTACAATTATATGCCTCTCCCCAAAATCTATACACCTGATGTATTATCTTATATATGACATTAATTATTGTTCCACTTGACTTAAACTATGAACCTAATCACAAATATTTTAAATTTATTTCATACTATTAGTATTTCATGTATTTACACCTTTGACCTAATTCCCTCACCGGATATAATTACTTTATAAAACCATATATATACGATTGTACAGCTTGATAATAAATTCGTTGAAAAGAGTCTCTTCGCTGAAAATTGTGTTCTTAATGCTACAATGGGAATTATTAAACTATTAAAACTGTTATTATAACTATTACTATTGATATTAGTCTGTTTGCAATTCTCCTTATATTCCCTAGTGACTAATTGTTTATCTAAGTGATGCAATTGAAGCGTAATGCCATTTATCTTAATTTTGATCTCTCATACTCTCTCTCCCCTTATCTATTTGAACATGACCTGGAAAATATTCGCACCTGTCTCTCTGCATGATTAATTCAATGTAGTTTGTTTACTTATCAGTCTTATATCTCCCAATGTAATTTCAAAAGTATATATATTCGTGTATGTAGAGTATTCAACTTATCAGTCTTATATCTCCCAATGTAATTTCAAAAGTATATATATCCGTGTATGTAGAGTATTCAGCTGACGAGTTCTACCGAAATTTGATGAATTCATTAAATCCTGCTTTATTAACCTTTATTGCTTGTTTTAAAGAGTTAAGGGGTGAGAAAATAGACCACTTAGGTCAAGTTAAAAGGAGGACATATTGAAAGTCAAAATAACAATGAAGATCAATCACTAAACCAAATAACAAAGGTAATAGTACATCTGCCCTGGCTGGTGTCAAAATTAAAGTTTACTAACTTGATCATCGATCGTCTGTCTAGGGTCATTTTTCATTGTCAAGTTGATCAATTGGTAAAGATAACAGAACAAAACCATGTGTAGATTGTTGGATTTGATCAGTGTGTAAAATTATGAAAGTAGTGTGTGTTTCCATAGTGAACTTGCTTATCACATTCGTGTTGATTTGGTCACTTCATGGGGGAGAGGGAAGGAAGATGTCGTAACCACATCAGATTCTGTTTTAGTCCATCATTCAAATTCAGAAAATTTGGATTCCATTTGATGATATGAAGTGCTCCTGATGATATTAGCCCGTTCTTTGTGATTTCTGAAATGCTTTTTCTGGATGATGATTTCAGTATTGTCAAAATCAATTTTGTGACCTGATTCTATGGCTGATGATTTTTCAAGTTTTTCTAGTTCAACCGGATTTCTCGATGGTCGAACAGACACTCACTCTACGATGTTCATTTCTTCTGATTTTGATTTCTCTCTGGCAATGTTTGTCCGATGTATATCGCATCACATTCCAAGCAAGCATTTTATTTTATAGACACAATTAGATGGAGAATCTTTAATGATTTGGCCTCTTATATGGATGGACAAGGTTGCCTTTCACCGTGTGTTTGGTGTTTTGAAGAAAACTCTAATGTCGAGCTGATTGAGTACTATTCTGATATTGTCTGACGTCTCTGCTCTATGATGGAGAATGACGACTGTTGAGGTCCATGTTTTCGGAATGCGTTTTCGACCGTACTTCTTAATTGTCTGTGTTGATTTTGTTGATGATTTTGATTTAGTTGTGTTCTCTGTCAGAGCTGGTTGTGTACTGCTCAGCAGTTCGCTCCGTCCTTCTCTATGGCTCTGAAACATGGTCAATACGAGTTGAAGACATGAAAAGGTTGACTGTTGTTTTTGATCATAGATGTCTGCGATCTCTTTCTCACGTTAGGTGGTATAATAAGGTGTAAGTAATGTTGACGTTAGGCGTAGAATGTTGGGCAAAGATGAGAAATCAATCGACGAGGCTATAAAGTTACATAGATTGAGACGGGCTAGGTCACGTGCTGCGCATGCCTAACCAACGCCGACGGGCATTACTAGCTGCTGATATAGGTGCAGGTTGGAAAAGAGCCAGTGGTGGCCAAACAAAAACATGGCAACAATCCATGGAATCCTCGAGAGTTAAACTGAGTCAGGTAGGAAGATGCAGACTTCCAGGTTGGGGCCCTCGGGACTCTAAGAATCAGTGGCACTGGAGACAATAGGTGACATGGCTCAAAATCGTTGTCAATGGCCAGCGCAGATGTATTCAGTCTCTGTAATCTTTCATATTCCTTTCTACCATTACCCATTCTGTTTCACTCTTATACTTGTCAGACTCTATTGATTCTCTTCACTCATCTTTTTGTCTACCTCTGTGTGCTATTTGGAACGTGGCAACTCGAACTGTTGAACTTGAAGTCGGAACGCTTCACTTGTTATATGGCTTATTCGTCATTAAATTGAATATTCCCATAATTTATTCACAACAACAAAATAATTGGAATAAACAATTGTGGTTTCAATAAATCCGTCTTCTTCAGGCTCTCCAATTAATTATAAATCCGTCAATTTAATTTAAGCATACAATAGCCAGCCAGTAAAGGCAAATTATAATCATTTCAGAAAGTGTATTGTGGAACAAGTGTAAGCAAGATAGGGTGGGTGGAACAATAGTCAGTTAGTTTTTTAATATGCATGGTCAATGAGAGCATGGTCTGGTATTAGTTGTAACCGCCTCAGCTACTGATAGAAGACGTAGTCGAGCTCCTCTAGATAGATTACTAGGAACGCGGCAAATAAATGAGAACGCCTGGTCAAGTTTTATCGGGTGTCCAGTATCTACCAAGTGGGCTAAGACTGCACTATTTACGCATTTGGTTACTCCTTTCCTCAACCACGCAGGTACATGGTTAAAGCCCCCCTCCATGCGTGCACGTGAATATTTACCTGTGTGATTGAGTAAAGGAGCAGCTAAATGTGTAAATAGTGCAGTCTTATCCCACTTGGTAGATACTAGACACCCGATAAAACTTGACCAAGCGTTCTCAATTATTTACCGCCTTCCTAGTAATTTATCTAGAGGAGCTCGACTACGTCTTCTATCAGTAGCTGAAGTGGTTGCAATCACAATACCAGAAGACCATCTCTCTTTGCATACAGAAGAAGTATGTTCAACCTCTATGTTTACCTTGGCCTACAATAAAGCCAACAAATCCTCCATAAACATTAACACCATAAATTCCTTTGACAACTTTCTTTTCTTCTTCTATTCCTCTGTTTCATTGACAAACGTTCATTTCTTGCCTTTTACGACTTCATGACCTTTCTTATGATTTCTGTTACCTTAGGTTTAAGTAGGGTTTTTCGCACTTGTTATCGTATTTATAAAATCCATGGATACTGGGTTCGTGCCTCACTGGGTTAATACAAGTACATCGAACCAGTTGATGAATCCCAAATAGTACGAAATGTGTGTTCTCCTGAATTTCACTGTTACTCACCATCTACCAAATTTATTGTTTATTTTTTGTGTTATTATATTTAATCAATGACTGTAGACTGTTGGTGACATGGTTGGAAATCGTAGTCAATAGATGCAGATGGGTTGGTTATCTCTGTTTTGAACTTCTAGATCTATCAGATCCTCATAATTCTTTATTAAATTCTTTGTTCCTCCGATATATTTCCTTTTTTATGCAAAGTTCTACGTTGGAAACTCAGTCAGTTAGTCAACGAGTCTACGATTGTTCCATCGCCTTTTTAACGCTTCCCTTTTTACTCAGTAAATCTTGTGGTGGGATCGTCTTGTGACTTTATTAATTCACCCTAGGTGATGACTAAGTGTCAAGCCTCTCTCTCTCTCTCTCAACGATCGATGTGGTGTTGTTGTCTGTTGGCATATGTGAACAGTCTGTCCCGCGGGTAACTGATGATAATGGAAGTAAATCGTTCCTGACTCGAACCCTTGAAGTCTTAGTTTGCCGTCTTTTATAAATTCTGCTAAAACATAGGGCTTATTTAATTGAATTCTATTAGATTTTCCCGTCGATGGATTGCACCGAAGTACTCGGTCTCAAGTTGACATGTCTGTCAGCTTCTTGTGCAGATGCTTCGATGATGTCTGGGTATATCTGGGTAATCATCAGAAGTCAATTAGTGAATGGTGACTATCTGTAGAATCCAGGATGCGTATTTTGAGCCTCGGTGTGGGAACACAGTCATTACTCACTGGGGAATGCAGGTACATCCAGATGACTACCAATCCCAAATAGGACGAAATGCTCATTATCTCCTGGATTCCACCAATGGTAGTCACCCTTCCCCCCGCCATCCACCAGTTAACTTCTAAAGACATAGTGCTTAGTTTAAACTTTATTTTATTCATTGTGGACTTCCTTATCCTTATAATTTTCTTTTCTGTTTTTGTAGGGAGTATATTGGATGTGATCTATGCCGTGATTGGTTTCATTTTGAATGTGTCGGCTTGGATCCAAAAGATGCGCATAAGCTGGGTGATTCATGGCATTGTCCTGATTGTAAACAAGCAGAGTTGAAGGCGAATGAAATGTTGTACTGCGTTTGTCGGACGTCGTATCAACCGACAAGGTAGACTGACTTCTTTTTGTTCTGTTGCATAGTTGTGTGTGCGTGTATATATATATATATATATATATATATATATATAGTTATTCTATTTTATTTAAACGCAAATAAAACGTGGTACATTATGGCATCAAGAAAGATGCGCTACACAATGATAACAAAACGTCATAGATATAGGTAGAAAACGGATAAAGAACTTCATCTGGAAGGAAAACAGTCATACTTAACAAGTTCAAACAGTATTCGTTAACTATCATCAGGAAGGGAAGAAAGAAGGAAATTAAAACACGTTCGCCATTGATTATGATTCTTGGCCATATCCGATAACGTTTCGAGCTATCCCTCCGACCCTAACCAGGGAGTCGTGACGCACCAATCGATTCTAATTTAGCACAGACATCCTTCATCCCACGAAGCCACGCTACGTCATGTACTGACCACTCCTCCGCCTTTTCCATCCCGTCCCAGGGCTGGCTAGCGAATAGAGACGTGTACGGAAGCCTCTGGGATGACATTCGCAGCACATGTCCAAGCCACAGGGACCGGTGTTTCCAGATGACGACACTCAATGAATGGTGATCTCCACTGTGTTCAAACACACGCCGCTGAACCTCAGAATTACTCATGCATTGATGCCATCGAACGCTAGCAATCCTGCGGAGACAGCGATGATCGAACACGCAGAGTCGCCAAACATCCTCAGCTCGGAGAGGCCAGATTTCACAGGCGTAGAGCAGGGCAGCCCGCACCGAAGCATTGTATACCTGACCTTTGACAGCCAGGCTAAAGTCGCGACGGCGCTATAGGTGGCTCAAGTTGATGTTTGCCACCCTAACCTTCATTATACGGTTGGAAATCTCATCCGTCACCCCTCTGCCAGTACCCACACAACTACCCAAATACGCGAACTTATCAACAACTTTAAGGGGTTCACCCGCAAGAGTGAGTGCAGGTACAGGCTCCTGCCAGTCTTGTAACAATACTTTGCACGTAGACGGTTCAAAGCACATACCATGCTTACAGACACTGATCGCCAACTGATTAAGTGCGATTTGGGCAGCCTGCATGCTATCGCACAGTAAGACGATATCGTCTGCATACTCGACGTCGAAAAGTCTATCTTCAGGTAGCAGACGCAAACACACACACACATCTTACTTAAATTTCATGACCTAGTTTGAGAACCATGTACGCCACTGTATTAACGGCAGAACACAAGAGCAATAAATTCGGCTTGGTGGCGTTCTCCCGCTAAGAGTCACACACTTAATCGTGTGTGTGTGTGTGTGTGCGTGTGCGTGCGTAACTTCTAATGACACTACAATCAGCCAAGTGAAATTAAGTCGATCGATGTTTGTGAATATTCGTCATCTGCCTGACTGATCTTTTCCTAGGGTACTTTTAAACATAAAGAGAATTAGTTTTCCGTGATCGGAGAGCCCATGGGACAGTTTCTTCAGGTCTGTTTAAGGTTGTTTCTTTAGTAAGATCTTACTGCCTGCTACGGACTACCTCAAAGTTAGGATGTACAATTTTCGGAGTTGACCTTTTCTAATGTCCCTCCTCCAAGTCTCCAGGATGGAGACAAATGGCATAGCTGGCATGCTAGTCATCTGTGTTCCCCATCGACCCTAAGTGTAAGCATCTTACACTATGACGGTTACTGCTTTTATTCTAGTCGTTGTCGCTCCGTCCTCCTTTATGGCGGAGAGTGAGACTTGGCTATTGAGACTGGAAGACATGAAAAGGCTATCTGGCTGTCTTTGATCATAGGGGCCTGCATTCTATCTCCCTTGCGAAGTGAGCAATATGGAAATTAGGCGTCGAGTGCTAGGTAAGGAGGGGAAATCAATCGATGAGGCCGTGAAGTTACATCGATTGAGTTGGTTAGGACGTGTGTTACGTATACCTAGTCATCGCCCTCCTCAACGGACAATGTTAGCTGACATAGGGTCACGCTGGAAAAGAGCTAGTCAGTGGTGGTCAAGCCAAAACATGGCTTCATTAGTCAATCAAATCCATAATAATTAGTTTAAACCACGTAGATAGGTGTAGACGTTTGTCTGGTTGAGGTCCTCGAGACAGTAAACACCAATGAGGGCTGGAGACTATTGGTGATATTGGCTCAAAGTCATCGTTCTCAGTAGCTGGCTGGTGCACATGCATCCACTCCTTGTGACTTATAATTTCTAAAGAAACTATATTTATTTTTCGTTATTACTATTCTTTTTGTCTCATATCTCTGTTTACTGTCTCTATTTTTCATCCTATATTACTTCCTTCTCTTGCTTTGTGTGGTACATGGAGTGTGGTGACTTGAACTGCTGCAAAGATCTACGTTTAAACTAGTCAGTTAGTTAGTCAGTTTTAACAAACTTGCTGGCCTAGTAGGACCTCTGCAGGAACATGAATTCCATCCAAAGATATTAGCTTGTTAGGTGTGATTCCAATATGCAAACTCGATCACTCGTCGTCACTAACCACGTGGAGATAACAACATTTATCTATCGGATCGTGATTACCTATCAGTTGAAAACTGAGTCAATGAATCACATCTCCATTGAGGGTGAGGTAGGTGGGGTTGTGAAGTGCGTTTACCTAAACCTTCAACGGATTATCGATTCCTTTTGAATGATTCATGGTCATGTATGACTCCGAAGGTGGTGACACATAAAATTCTACTTTTTTATGCTGTAATTACTGTTTATCTGTTTTTTCCCTTCATTTTTTTAAAATATAGAGTGTATATTGCCTGTGACGGATGCGATGAATGGTATCATCCTGAATGTGTTGGTTTAACACCTGAAGAAGCTGTTAATCATGAAGATACTTATCTTTGTCCAACATGTCGTGAATCAACTGCCGCTGCTGGTGGTACAACAACAACTACTACTAAATCCTCCAATAGTAGTAGAGGTAGAACCAGCAAATCGAAAGCAGCATCCAATCACTATGATGATAATAGTAATAATAATGGCAATACTCTTGAAGATACAAGTGCTATTCACCCGGTGACTGGAGCCAAAACTATTTATGCTACTCATCTTAATACAGATAGTATACAAAGATTAATTCATTTAGTGGATGAAATTAAGGTGAGTGGGCGGGTGGCATCTCATTGTCTGTTTGTTCGCTTTTCATTTATGTTTCTGATTTGTATTTGAACAAAGCAAGAACAACAGTTTTTGGCAGAATAAATTGGTTATTGTTCCCTTGGGTTCCTAGTGGAACATATGCCTTCAACTGCACGTCTCCATTTGCCACCTCTGTCTTGCTTCTGCTGTACTTTTCACCTGCATCCATGTTAGTTAGTCCATACTGTTTCAACTCCTCTTCACACGATCTCCTCCATGTCACCCTTGCACTGACGTCCCACTCGCCGCGTGCTTTCCTTTCGGCCTGGTTCCACTCGAGCAATGGCCTGAAGCGAGCGCGATATCACCAAGCGGCCCGGCATCCTCAGCCGCGAGTGTCCAATCCATCTCCACTTTCTCATGCGATTGGTTCTTGTTTTTTTGTTCCCATAGTTTCCAATAGTTGGTGATTCTTTCCGGCCCGGCCATCTGATATTCAGTATAGAGCCAGCGAAGACAGTTGTTGGTTGATAAAGGTCTGCAACAGGTTGCTGGAAATATTCTATGTGACTCACCAAGTTTCTGATCCGTATAGAAGAAGTGACTTGACGTTTATAATGAAGATCTGAATTTTGTTGTTGATGTTGGCTGAGTGACGAAGATTTCCAGATTGGTTTCAGGTTGATGAATGCGTTTCTCGCTCGATTTAATATCCTCGTCCGTTCCTCAAGTAATTGAGACAATGCTCCCTAGGTAAATTGATACCATCATTGCTTATTTCGTTGTCTTCTCGTCAGGTGCTTACAGGGCAAAGACATGATTAAATATATCTACAAAAGCAGTTTCAACATAATTGCACACAGAGTTCATTTTAAACAAAAAGCAATCGACCAATATTTGCATACAGTAATAATATATACATATATACATAAATATTAAACACTATTCCGAACAATAATAATCATACACAATAGAAACTTTTCAGCATTACGCATTCAAATGAAAGAGCGATGAAAAATATCCAGTTGCCAGACAGGGCAAAGAAAGATTGATAACCGTTTCTTTCTTGATGCATAAATCAGGTTTCAGGCGCTTGATGGAAATGGCTTCAGCGAACTTGAAGAGAATTGAGCTCTTTCGCCTATTGATAATTTTGAAACAACTTTTTGACGTCCACCTCATGACCAACCCGTGTCAAGGTGATGCCTGGCGATGGATGGCACTGTTTAAAGCGTGTTTCCCCTTTAGACATAAGCTTTTTGGTACATGTTCAGAAAATCGTAGATATGCCCTTCCTCTTTCTGTCCTTCCAATGTAACTGCTCCCGCAGATACATTTAAATTTGTATGGCTAGTGATGTACTCAGCCTCGCGTTGATCATCGCTGAAATGTTTTTACCTTGCTTTTTATCCACTGTGATTTGTTTTACATTTGTAACTTCAGGTCTTCCATACTTGTTGATGAACCTTTGAGGGTACCCATTGCTATTTGTTAATTGATTGTTCAATGGGGGGACTTTGGTCAGGAGATGATATTTGTTGAGACTGAACAGCTGTTACATCCTAGTTTGGTTGGGACTTACGCATACACATCAATGATCTCCGCTATTCACTGACTTCACGTGGCGGATAGAGTGGGATGCGGGTGTTCCCCACAAAGGCGAAGTGAAGTGACTACGATCGGACTAGTGGACATTCAGGGTCTACCTAGGGGGAGTTGAAAACTCCTAATTCTTAACCGATGATGTGTTGTACCCCATGGCTCCAGAATCCAAACGGATATAAATATGTATTTGTGTGGTCACCGCCAATTATAGAGACGAAGCTCCCTGTCTTTTTGTGAGGATCAGATTTTATGCAGAAAGACTCTTGGATGGGGACAGAGTGTCCCGCCGAGACAACTACTTGCTTCGGTCTTTGTGGCGGGGAAGTATCCTAACCTTTGCATAAACTATGAGATTTTGTGCGGCCACATCTCTTGGTATCCACAATGCACAGTCTATATTTTAATTACATAAACAACTGGAGATTGGGTTCAGAGGCTTCAGGTTAAGAAATGAATCTGTTAAATGGTCCATGATTTCATTTAATGTGTATTTATTCGAGATGTGAAAAAACCATCAAGTGATATCACTGGACAAGCCATTGCTCGAATGGAATCTGACAGAAAGGGAAGCGGTGAGTTGATCGACCAAGAGTGACTTGGAGGAGGTCATGTGAAGAGGAGATTAAAGCATGTGGGCAGACTTTGAGCCAGGTGAAGACTTTAGCAGAGAACCGAAGGCAATGGAGACTTGGGCAGCTGAAGCCCTCTCATCCTCTAGGAATTAAAGGAAATAATAATAATAATAATAATTCCAGATCTGATTTAATAGGTATCTACTGCATTATAATGAATATTTAAAGCCGAAAATTTTATAAAGACCTTCGACAGCTCAGTGTTGACCGCAAAGAAATTTGGAAACTACTTCAACACTATGGCGTACAGTATACACCAAGTCTTTATCAACCTTGTTCAACAGCTGACTGGCTATATGACAATGCCACATGTGTCAGGTGATCCACAACGGGAAACTCAGCTAGGCGGCATTCTGTTGAAGTGAATACAGGAGTGTAAGACAAGGCTGGTTGGCTGGCTGGCTGGCTATCTATTATCACCGATGATATTCGTAATTGTGGGGGGGACTTGATTATGCGTCAGACTGTGCATGGGGGGGGAGTGAGGAGTCAGGAATAGTCTGGACCACCGATAAAAGAGACTCTAGAAGATCTGGATTTCGCACGTGGATGATTTTTGTTGAGTGTCACATTAACTCGACGCCTTCCAGGCAGACAGACAAAAGTCATCAAACTAGCTGAAGAAGCTGACAGCGTAAACAGGACTGCAGAGGTGAATACAGGGAAGATGGAGGTGATGAAGATAACCAACCAATCACCATCAACGGGAAAGGTTTAACAGAGGTTGCTGCCTTCACTTATCTTGGTAGCCAGCCGGCATCGTTTCAACTACAGGCAGACAGACAGTCGGAACGGATGAAGATGTCAAAGTCGTCAGTCAGCTAGCCGGAATGAGAAAAGTAAGACCACCACCAACACTTTCATCAACCTGAAATCGGTTTAGAAATCCATACTGCACTCAGTCAGTAGAAGACGATCACGACGAGTGAGTCATCCGAAGGTTATATGGAGGAAATCGTGTGTGGAAGAGATAAGAGAATATGGGCAAACGTGTAGGGCGGCCAGCTTTGAGGACTGCAGAAAATAGGACAAAGTGCAGATGCGTTTTTGAAGCCTTGAGAACCCAAGAGAATAATAATAATAAAGACCCTCTTACCATCAGCCCCAACGGGCTGATCTCTGACGAAATCTCAGCACGGATACAGGGGGCTCGTTCCGCATTTGCCAGTTTACGAGATGTTCGACTATCGACCGAAGGGCGGGTGTACTGCTCATCAGTCCTCTCCGTCCTCCTTTATGGTTGTGAGACCTGGCCACTGAGAGTGGAAGACATGAAAAGACTAGCTGTCTTTGATCATAGGTGCCTGCGTTCTACTTCCCGTGTAAAGTGGTATAATAAGGTGAGCAACATGGAGGTTAGGCGTCGAGTTCTAGGTAAACAGGGGAAATCAATCGACGAAGTCGTGAAGTTACAAAGACTGAGATGGTTAGGATATGTGTTACGTATGCCAAGCCATCGCCTCCCTCGACGAGCAATGTTAGCGGATATTGGGTCAGGCTGGAAAAAAGCTAGCGGCGGTCAAACAAAAACTTGGCTTCACCAGTCAATGAAATCCACAACAGTTGGTCTAAGCCACGTAGAAAGGTGTGGACTTCCAGGCTGGGGTCCTCGGGACGGTAAAAATCTATGGTTGGAAACAATTGGTGACATCGCTCAAAACCGTTCTCAGTGGCGCAGATGCATCCACTCCCTGTGACTTATGATCTTCAATGAAACTGTTTTGTATTTCTTTATTACTCCTTTGTCTCACACCTCTGCTCACTGTTTCTATTATGCTTTTCTTTTAGTTTCTTCTCTTGCTTCGCGTGGTACACGGAGTGTTTTGACTTGAACTGCTGCACATTTGTGCAAAGTTCTATGTCGAAAACAGACAGACAGAATTCATGAGCCACTGAATCGGATCCCAGTGGCTGAATAGTATACGAGCTTGCCTTGTGACCGGAAGGCCCTGGTAGTGGGTGCGTACTGATGATGATTCCCAAATTAGGACGGGGGAAAAAACTGTCCAGTACTCCGTGGTTTTCAATGGTTCTCTAACTGATATCAATCCGTAGTCAAACTCGTAAAGAGAGTATATAAGTCAGACAACATTTACTCATCGAGGAAGGCGGCCCCCTAGCTATCTCAATCGATGATGAGTGTGTGTGTGTTGGGAGGTACGGGGGTTACATTACACATTGCTGCAAAATAAATAAAATTAAATAGAAATTATTTCAATATTCTATGCATTTTATTTTTCAAAACTTTTTTTATTTTTGACTTACTTTCTTTCTTTGCCTTCCCTTTACATAAAATTTCTAGAAACATAAAATGTCATGGCCTTTTGTAACTACTCCAGATCCGATAAAGTTCCCTATCGTCAATACTTTAAATTCTGCATTTAGTAAGTTTCTTTTTGTATTGAGAATGACTGTTATTGTTATTGTTGTTGTTGTTGGTTTTTACCTCAGAATAAAACGTAGTTTTTTATTAAGATATGCGTTATGAATGGATCACAGTGCTCTAATGTCCAACCCATTCATTATTCAGGTTCTCATGAAGGGTCTGGTATATGTTTCCACTTGATTGAATGTCTCTTGAGTGTGTTTATCCAGTCCACTTTTATTTTCTTTTGCTTATTATCGAGTATCGGTTTTGTGGGGGGGATTTCATTTGATTGATTGGTTGAGCTGATATCAGTTAGAGAACCATTGAAAAACCAGTTAGGGAGTGCTGGAATAACTGTTTCGTCAGCTTACTTTGTAACTCCGCTTTATCAGTACGCACGCACACCACGGGGTTCGAACTCAGGATCTTCTGGTAACAAGACTAGCGGGCTCGTAGACCATTGAGCTACTGAGACCCGATCTAAGGGCCGGTCCCATGAATTCTCACTTCTGCCAATTCACGACATAGCGCGAACCCCAGTGGGTGCGCGCTGCTGAAGAGTCATGAACTAGGACAAAACATCTGGTTGTCCAGTACTCCCAGCTGGTTTTCCAATGGTCCTCTAACTGATGTCAGCTCATGATGAAATCCTCCAACCAATCAATCAAACAAAGTCCCCTACAAAACTAATAGTTGAAAATTAATCTGATGCTCACTAGCTAGCGACTGGCCCTATTCAGGCAGTGACTTGGAGTTCTCGTGGGTAGCCGTGACCAGTAGGTTGCAGCAGGTTGAAGGTGAGGCAGTCGATCACAGCGAAGTTAACGTGTATTTAAATACGATTCACAGATATATATGGCTTGGTTTTCTGAGAAATGGCCACAAAGATATGATAGAATTACCTTCAGCAAGAAAATAAGCAATCAGAAGAGGTTGCTTCTCTGCTTACAATAACGTTAATAATAATGCATATAAAAATCTCTTCGACTCAGAAGTATGTCTAAAAATGATGATGGCTCAATAAGACGGTCTATCTACAGAAAGCCCACTTGGACAGGGCAATACCTTAATTTTCGCATATAAAAATCTATAAATACCTCTTGATTTTCTCAATAAACAATCTGTTGTCTGACCCTCGTCTTCTTTCGTTACAGTAGGACTGACTGACTGACTTGACATTAGTGCTGGGAATCTGGATCTTAGTGTTCTATAGACCGAATGCGGTAGATACTTCCACATTGATTCTGTCCGTCTATCTTGCTTTACTAATTAATCCTGGTTGCTTTGGGCCATCCTCTGATCTTTGCAGTTAGCCTGTAGTTGAGACGTGATACTGCTCCCTAGATAAATAAAACTGATGATGACTTGATGATATTAGATGGTGGTTGGAGGCAATCGGCCACAGGAAGCCTTGACTAGACCTAGGTTTCGTGCTAATTGGCACTCACCCACCAGCCAGTCAGCAAGGCGTATCTGCAACCACCTTGAAGGAATTCATGTCCCTCCCCTTCTGAGATTTGAACCCGCGCCGTCACCCAGTGAAGGCTGCAGTCAGAGACGTTACCACTGAGCCAGCTATTCGGGCTGACGATTGACCTCACTGCTGTAGGACTGTAGTGGATACTTTGACTGAACACTAGTGTGATGTGTGTTGAGTCCTCCACTTGGTGCAGACTGAATTCTATCGGTCAGAGCTAGTAACTATTATGATTACTTTATTCCTTGAAGTTACCGTCGGAACATGGGATTTCAGACTGGAGTTCTTGAAGTTTCAGTGGCCTTGGTGTGTTTCTTTTTCTCGAGGAGGGAGCTCCTAGCCTTCTCTATTTACTACATAACTTACTACGGCCAAGTGGGGCAGGTTTAGGTATGAGTTGACTGGGAATCGAGCCATAGGCCCTGTGAAGAGAGGGTTTGGCGAGTATCGCACCATCATTCCACCACCGAAAAACTAACCAGCTGCCTGATAAAACTTGATAAATGACATATTCTCCAGAACCTTGTGATTATTAATGTTTTATGAGTAATGTGCACAGTGGTTCATTATATCTTGAGCAAAAATGACTGGATTAATTCGACTGGTGTATTTGTAAGACACTCTCTATTATGCATCATTTTTCTTTGTGTTTTCATGTGTGTGTGTATGTCTCCCTCCTGCTTATCCACAGATTGCTTGTTGACCATCTATTCATCAGTATGATATACTTCTTCTATACTCTTACCGGAATAAGTCAGCCTCTTGGAATTGTTCAACGACAATAGGCACCTCTTCGGGATTCAAATCCGGAACCTTCTGGTTACAAGATGAGCTTATAGACTATTCAATCATTGAATTCGTCAACGACTTTGCTTCGATTGACCCCTCCGATAGAGCTGACTGTATTGGATATTTTTGATTGCACACTAGTCAGTAACTAGTGTGAGGTGTCTAGTCCTCTCTTTTTCTTGGTGCAGACTGAATTCTATCAGTTAGCCAGGTTTGCAATGTGGCCACCATGCCACTAGGTAGCTCACCATCACAATGCACGTTGATTTTATGATATATATTAGATGGTTGGATGCAATCGGCCACAGGAAGCCTTAACTAGACCTAGGTTTCGGGCTAGTTGGCACTCACCAGTCAGCAAGGCATATCTGCAACCTTGACTGATGACTGATAGAATTCAGTCTGCACCAGTCAGAGGACTAGTGTCAAATCAAAAAACTGATGACTGCCGCCTCCTTCGAATTTCTCTCCCCTCATCAATCCGCATTGACAGTCACTGATCCTTATTGTTGTTGCTGTTGTTCATCGTCGTTGTCGTCGAGTATCTTCATCATCCCCTGTCTTCACTCTTCTCTTTTTACCCATTTCAGATCTCCCCAATGTTATTATCAATTTAAAGACAGGTGTATATAAAACGCTTGGTGATTTCTCCTTCGATATGAATCGTCTTTTTACTAATTCACGTTTAATCTATCCAAAAGATACATCAGAATTTAATTGCACAGAGATTATTGAAGCATTATTTGTTCAAAAAATGAGACAGTTTAAAGAAACTTTATAATCTTTTTGTATATATGAAATAAAATCAATTTCCTACAGAAGAATTCATGATGATGACTACAGATTATTACATATATATATATATATATATATATATATATATATTCACAATCTCAGAGGATTCAACTCACTCAACAGTTTTCATCCTACTGCCAATAACTGTATTTATAGATATATCATCAATGTATATTTTTATCTATTCCACAGTGTTATTTATTTATTGGTTTACCTAAGAAAAATATGATCATTATTTTGATTGACTACTTAATTGATTTTCAGTAGTTTAAACAGAAAAATGAAAGTTTTATGTACATTTTTTAAAATTTCTTACGATTTTTTTGAAATTATTCTTTTATGAGGAGGAGAGCCTTTACCTTATTTTCCATGATGTCTAATATATGTTATTTCTTTTTTCATATTTTTCATGTTTATATGTTTTTTTTCGTTTGTTTGATGGGATGTCCAGCGAAAGGAAGTGTACTAACACGCGTGAAATAAACTTTGTCTTTTCTTATGTATAAAGAGAGAAGAGAGTGTGTGGTGTTATTGTATTATGCTGTGAAGAATAACTGCTGATTAGTTATTTTCACCGCTCCATTTGTTTATTTGTTTCCTTGCTGTTGTTGTTGTTACTCCTTGTTTTTTTTCCTCTCTGGTTCCCCCGTCGAAAAGATTTCTATTTCCCCATACTTATAATATCTCTTTGTTTTCTCTATGTATGTGTATGTATGGTGGTTATAATTTTTTTTAATGGCACGTTCATTGTCAACGTGGTATGTGTATACATAATATATTTATATATATATGAAATTAATATTACTGTAATTTGTCTTCTTTCCTTTTCATATATATCCCGTATCTGTAACTGAGGTAGGTAGGTAGGTAGGAAGGTTACGAAGACTCCGTGGCCCGATGGAATGATTGATTCCTGAAGAGGTGTTTAAGAACTGAGAAGAGAGACAAGTCTTCATGTGATAATCTCAGGGGGGGGAGGGGAAGGATAAACTTGACTGATACAGTGCCTAAAGTTCCGGGTTCAATAATTATTTGTAGATTAAGTGGTACTCAGGGGATATAGACGTCAGAAAACCAGGTAGAGGGTGTACTAATCATATTGTCACCTTTCGTCAGATTCTTGAACGTTAGTATGCTTACAGGTGGCCAACAATTGGTACATTTCATGACCTGAAGGTAGCATTCTACTCCGTCGAGCGAGAGAGGTAGCTACGGTAATGTTTGACCGTGAAGAGAGTACCAGGAAACTACATTGCATTGATCAAGGCACTCCCTTTGAAAATCACTAAGTCAGGGATTGATATGCTACCACCAGAGAATAGTGGTCTCGTTGACTTAGAATAGGCGGATGATAAAGTTCTGCCTCTTCCTAGGTGAAGTTACTGACAAGATAGAGTAGAGTCTTCTGAACGCTTTTAGTAGCAAGCAATCTTCGAATGTGCGTCGGTGGTATAGCGGTTAGGACGCTCGCCGACCATGTATATGGTCCGGGGTTCGATCCCCGGCCGGCGCACTCCTTTACCTCACTGAGCCAGAAATAATGATGGTAAAGAGGAAAGGTTGGGCATGAGGCTAGCAACCCCATCCTGTAAAAATTAAACACTGATACAGAAACTTCAAGCCACTAGCTTGGAGCCCTATGTTCCACTGGGAACGTGAAGGAAAAATCATCATCAATCTTCGAATGTTTGGTATGACATTCGTTCCTGCTGTCAAATGTAAGGTGATGCTACACGAGTGCAGTGGACTTCACCGATTCACTCCCACCTTAAAGACATAGAGGAGTGAATTGGTGGTAGAACGTGTTGATCACTTCACTTATTTGTAAAGTTACATCAGCCAGTCCCAACGGCTTGATTGCTGACGAAATTTCAACACAGATACACAAGGCTCGTCTTGCAAATCCCCACCAACTTTCGCTATCTCTGTCTTCGTAAACGTGATATCAGGCTGACTATCGACCAAACGGCATGTGTACTGCTCAGCAATTCGCTCCGTGTGTGAAACAGGTCCATTGAAAGTTGGAAACACGAAACGCCTAGTCCGCAATCTTCGATAATAGCTGCCTGCGTTTTATCTCCCGTGTTAGGTGGTATATTAAGGTGAGGCTTAGAGTGTTAGATAAGGAGGAGAAATCCATCGATGAGGTAGTGAATTTACACCGATTAAGACGGTTAGGACATGTGTTACGCATGAATCCCTAGCCATCGCTTTCCTCGACTGGCGGGCAATGTTAGCTGACATAGGGTTAGGTTGGAAAATAGCCAGAGGTGGTCAAACTGAAACATTACTTCATCAGTCAATGAAAGCCACAACAGTTAGTTTAAGCCGGCTAGCCACGTAGGAAGGTGTAGACTTCCTGGCTGGTATGTTAAGAACCAATGAAGGCTGGAGACAATTAGTGAGTGATTTGGCTCAAAATCGTCGTTGACAATGGGTGGCGCAGATGTATCTACTCTTGGTGATTTATCATATACGCATTACTATTCTTATTGCCTTACGCTTCAGTTTATTTTCTCTGTTTTGAATTTATCTCTACTCTCTTCTCTTGGTTGCCGAGCTACATGGAGTGTGTTAACTCGAACTACCGCACATCTATGCAACGTTCTACGTTGAAATCAGTCAGTCAATTACATATCTTGGAAGTTGTATCAACCCTAGTGGACTGATTGCCGACGATATCTCCACATGGATATAAAATGCCTATATGGCATTTTAAAATTTACATCATCTATGGCGTAGACATGATATATCCTGTTATCCATCGAACGATGTGAGTACTGCGCACCATTTCACTCTGTCTTCCTTTATAGCTGCGAGACATGGACTCCATTGAAACTGGTAGATATGTAAAAGGGTGGTGGTTAGCTAGCTGTGTTTTTGATCACAGATTTTTGATTCCTATCTTCCGTAATTGGTTTGGTTTTATATGTCAAAAGTAACATTTGGATTAGATGTAGTGTTGTAACGACAGAATAATACAAGGCCCAAGCAATAGATCGTTTATTGAGAAAATCAACAGATATTTATAGAATTTTTAGGTACATTATTATGGCTGTTATTGTTAGCAGAGAAACAGCGTGTTCTGATTGGTTGTTTTATCGCTGAAAGTTATTCTATCATCAGTTTGTGGCTGTTTCTTTGAAGATCAGACCAAATATCTGCTAATCGTACGTATCCTCCGACGCAAAGGCTACCCTTATTGGTTGTTGAGTTAGTCTTTGTTCTTGTTCTAATCTTATGACCAAGATTTGGGACGTAAACATTGACGTAAATTGGTGTCTATCAATTTTGGCTAGCAGACAGCTCTTACCACAGCGTTAAGTAAGGACGGGGTAAGTCAATCGATGAGGTAATGAAGCTACATCGATTGAGATAATTAAGTAGGTCACGCATACCGAGACACTGTTTTCGTCGATAAACATTGTTAGCTGCTTACATAGAATTGCGTTGGGAAAGAATTCAAGGTGGTCAAATCAATCCATTAACTTGTCGACAAGAACTATACACTACTAACTGAGTGGCATCACTTTTTGGATGTCTGTTTTCAACATAAAACTTTGCACCGATGTGCAGCACTTCAAGTCACCACACTCCCTCAATGTACCACACAAAGTAAGTAAAAAGAAATACAAAATAGAGTGAGTGAACAGAGATACGAGGTGAAAAGAATAGTAATATCGAAGAACAATATAGTTTTACTGGATATTATAAGTCACAAGGAAGGAGTGGATGCATCTGCACCAGCCATTGATAACGATCACTTTGAGCCAGCCATATCACTAATTGTCTACAGCCTTCATTGGTTCTTACCATCCCGAGTACCCCAACCAGGAAGTCTACACCTTCCTACGTGGTCGGCTTAAACTAACTGTTGTGGATTTGACTAACTGATGAAACTATGTTCTGGTTCGACCACCACTGACTCTTTTTTTCAACCTCATCCATCCTATGCCACTCAGCTGACAATTGCCCGCCAGTCCAGGAAGGCGATCAATGGCTAGGGATACATACGTAACACATGTCCTGACCATGTTAATCGTTGTAACTCCACAACCTCTTCGATTGATTTCTCTTCATAACCAAGCACTCTACGCTTCACCTCAATATTACTCACGTTACCATACCACTTCACACGGGAGATAGAAAGCAGGTACATATAACCAAGGACACCTATTCTTCTTGATGGTTTATATTTTTTCCATGACAATGTTCCATAGCCGTAAACGAGGACAGAGTGAAATGCTGAGCAGTACACACATTCTTTGTTCGATAGCCAGCCGGATATCACGCCTGTTAAGCCAGAGATGGAGTAAGTTGGTGAGCATATACCAGACGAGCCTTGTGCATACGTGCTGAGATTTCGTCAGTGATCTACCAGTTAGGACTGTCCGATACAACTTCACAAACAAGTGAAGTAGTCAACACGCTCCACTGTCTTTCTTTAAACTAGGAGTCGATGTAGTCCAATCCTGTAGCATCATCTCAGTGAGAGCTAATACTTTTCTTTTCAAATAGCAAGGCGTCATTCATAAGAAACCTCCGCTTAAAGAACCTACCTATACATGCGATGATGCAACTAATCAATTCAGTTCAGAAACATCAACGGAAACCCTTTTCACACGGTGGATATTGAATTCTTTACAAAAATGAATGCAAATATATGGCGCTTACAACCGAAATAGTGTTTATGCAGGTATACCTCGAGGAATTGGAAAACTCTGATTCTAAACCTGTGAAGTATAATCCGAAAGGACTAAATAGCGTGTATAAATCCAGTTTGGTCACCGGAAACCACGGAAACGTAACTTCTGACGCTTCTTCACTGCTCGTTAGAGATTCAGACATCAAGTCGAAGGATAGAGGCAGAGTAGTCCTTTAAGACCACGACTACCTGCTTCGGTTTGGACGTCCAGGCAGTATCCTAGCCTTCATACAAACTATTAGATATTGTGTGATGCATTTCATTGGTACTCATAATGTACCAAATTTTTGTGTTTTATTAATGATAATACTAAAAAGGGGTTGAGGGTTAATGAATATTACCTGACTACGTAAACAGGGGTAGGTGGGACAGGTTTTGAACCGTTGACCCACTGGTTACAATGTCGAGCACTAAGACCAATAGTTCACAGAACTACACTGAACACTACTTAGGAAGTCAACAAACATTTTATATATATGTTTACTCAAACCTCTACCTCATCTTCGAAAAGGCCTTCAACAGCGTCTATCGAGATTATTATTATTGTATTATTGTTCCCTTGGGTTCCTAGTGGAACATAGGGCTTCAACTTCACGCCTCCACTTCCTTCTGCTGTACTTTTCACCTGCATCCATGTTAGTCCATACTGTTCCAACTCCTCTTCACACGATCTAGATACTAGATAGTGGTCTGAACCTACATCTGCTCCGCTCCTCAATCTTGTGTCCAGTAGGCTCCGTCTCCACTTTCTTGAAATTGAGATGAAGTCTATTTGGTTCTTGGTGTTTCCATCTGGTGAAATCCATGTCGTCTTGTGTATATCCTTGTGTTTGAGCACACTACCACCAATCACCAAATCATTGAAGGCGCAGAAGTCTGAGAAGAGTTCACCATTGCCGTTCATTTCGCCGAGGGCCTCTCGACCCGTGGTGAGTTCTCTTCCTGTGCTGTCTCCTCCCAGCTTCGCATTCATGTCGCTCATCAGGATTTTGATATCGCCATTTGGGACGTTGTCTATTATTGCTTGTAGTTGTCTGTAGAACGCCTCCTTCTTCTCTTGTTCTGAGACGTTTGTAGGCGCATAAGCATTGAATGACTGTAACTTTCCTTCCTTTTGAGTTGAACTCGGCTGTCATCATCCTGGGGAGATTGGTCCCCACTGCATGAGAGCTTTGGCTGCTGTTGGTGACATCATGATGGCCACTCCCTCGGTGTGCTCGTGGTTGTCCTCTGGGTGGCCGGAAAAGATTACTGTCTCTCCAGTAAGTAGCTGGCACCTTCCAGTTCCGTTCCATCTGCTTACGCAGATTCCCAACACTTCTATTCTGTACCTTCTCATTTCTGCGGTTATCCGGGCAGCCTTTCCAGTTTCGTACATTGTACGAACATTCCAGGTACCCATCCTTACTTTTGCTTTCATCGAAAGAAGGCAGGCACATCAGCTGACTGGCTTCCCGAAGGCTTTCACCAGCCTGCGTCATTTCACTTCCCCGATTCCAGCGAAAAATAAGGCTATGGCTTATGTTTTTAGAATTTTTAATATGTTTATTCGTTGAAGTTTCAGTAGCGATTTGGTTGTTTCACGGGGGTGGAGTTGCTAGCACCACGCCCCAACCCTCCCTCTTTACCCGGGCTTGGGACCGGCGAGAAAACTAGTAAGCTAGTAGCCTAGCAAGCTAGTATCTGGCGAGGTTTCAGATACTATATTAGTCAAGCTAATCTCTCTGTGATTATCACCGGAAGACTTGTCTCCCTTCTTGTATATGGGGATAATCAGTGACTTACACCAACCCGATGGGACTTCTTCTGATTCCCAGACGCTGCTTAGAGCCTCAGTTAATGCAGACAGTAAACTGTCTCCAGCGTACTTAAATACCTCTGGAGTCATTCCATCAGGTCCCGCTGCTTTGCCTTGTTTCAGATTGGTGGCAGCTTTAGTAACCTCAGTTAGGGATGGAGGACCTGTGTCTATATCCAATTCAGGGAAATGTTGGATGTTCGGCAGGTTGACAGCGTGGCTGTGGGTCAATTAAACTGCTCCTCATAGTGCTCTTTCCAGCGTTCAAGTCGTCTATCCTGGGAGCTAATTATAGTGCCACTTTTCTCCGAGATTGTTTCACTAATGATTTGCCTTCTCCCACCAGTTTGCCTGATGAGTCTAAAGAGTTGTCTAGTGTACATCATCTATGGTGAAAGCGAATAGAAATGCAGAAATGAATGAAGACTAATATACTCTATACAAACAACTTCATTTATCATCATTTCAAGAAATAATTTTTTTAAATTGAAACTACAAGTTACAACAGGGATTTGGAAAAAGGCAACTATATCTATATATATATGCACACCAACATCCAACTGTCAAATGTGTGAGGTGGAGGAAAAACGTGTTTTTTGTTGTTGTTGTCTAAATTGGTTGTTGTATAATATCACGAAGCATACGAACTTTTCGTGCAATAGATAAATCGATAAGACGATCACCGAACGCGACCACCATACCACCAATTAGGGATGGATCATGCTAAACAGGAAATAAAATACAAAACAAAAAAACATAGTTTGAAAAAGAAAAACAAAGAAAACATGTACAAACTTCTTTTTTTCAAAAATCAGGGATACACCGGAACAAGGATAGACAGACATTTCAAAACCAGAGAAGTATTTATTATTCAAAAATCGATGTAAAACTTTCTCCTACACGGATTTTGTTCGGCACAAATGCCAAATCATCAGTTAGTGCTTCTGAACGGTTCCCCGGCCGATAACTGCTACCTTGTTGTGGTTATCGGGGCTTCAATACCGCAATGACCCAACAAGCTAAACTGACTGGGACTCATGCCCCTGCAGGGTCCTACCATGTCAGGAAGGTTGTTTGGATAGCGGTTAAACTAAAAGCAGTTACCATGGGAGGGAAGGTACGTTCATGAGCTCCAGTATCCAATCGGATCAAATGGCGTATGAACCCATATGGGTCACCGGCTGCAACCTTGGTAATGCAGCTCCTGACGCTGCTCCGCTGCCTTGCGGATTAGACTCCAAGTCAAAGGCTCGGGAGGAGGTCCCTTGATAGAAACCAACTGTTTCGGTCTGGGCGCCCGGGCAGTATCTCAGCCCTCATACAATAAATCAAATGAAGCAACAGCTCAAATCGATGGCTCGAAACGTTATCGGATATGGCAAAGAATTGTAATCATCAATGGCGAACGTGTTGCAATTTCCTTCTTTCTTTCCTCCCGATGATAGTTAACGAATACTGTTTGAACTTGTTAAGCATGACTGTTTTCCTTCCAGATGAAGTTTTTTATCCGTTCTCTACTTATATAAATATATATATATTCTTTCTTTCTTTTTTCTTTTGATCTATATTGTTTTATTATTATTGTGTGGCGCATCCTTCTTGGCGCCATATTGTATCAAGTTTTTATGCGTTTAAATAAAATAAATAAATAAATCTGAACAGTTCACAGACTTCACGCACATGTCACCGAAGACATATTTCCAAAAGCTTGCAAAAATAGTTCATCAATAGCTGTCTTTTTAAAAAAGTATATTTATGCATTGAAGTTTCTGTAGCAACTTGGTTAAGTTTGGGGGGGGAGTGGCGTTGCTAGCACCACGCCCCAACCCTCCCTCTTTATTCGGCCTTGGGACCGGCTAGAGAAAACTAGCCAGCTAGTAATCTAGGCGAACTGCCAAGTTTCTGATCCGTATAGAAGAATATACAAACGTCAAGTTAGTCAGTTCTTCTATACGGAACGGTTCAGAAACTTGGCGGGCGGGTCACAAAGAATATTTCCAACAGCCTGTTGCAGACCTTTATTAACCAACAACTGTCTTCGCTGGATCTATGCTGAAGATCAATCAGATGGCCGGGCCACAAAGAATCACCAACTATTGGAAACTATTGGAACAAACAAAACAAGAACCAATCGCCGCCCAACAAATATACAGCAGGAGAAAGTGGAGATGGACTGGACACTCACTGAGGAGGCCGCTGGGTGACATCACAACGTCAGGCCATTGCCCGAGTGGAACCAGGCCGAAAGGGAAGCGACGAGTGGGACGTCAGTGCAAGGGTGACATGGAGGAGATCGTGTGAAGAGGAGTTGAAACAGTATGGACTAACATGGATGCAGGTGAAAAGTACAGCAGAAGACAGAAGTGGCAAGTGGAGACGTGCAGTTGAAGCCCTATGTTCTACTAAGAACCCAAGGGAACAATAATAATAATAGCTGTCTTTGCTCTATACTGAAGATCATATGCCCGGTTGAAAAAGATAAGAAACAAGAAATTCTGGTCAAGAATCAAATAAGAACCTATTAGTCCGACAAATATGCTGAGGAAAATAGAGATGGTTCGGGGACACACACACATTTGAAGAAACTGTCGAGTGACATCACGCGCGTCAGGTTGGTTTTTCGAGTGGAACCCGAAAGGGAAACGATGATGTAGAGGTGGAATTCAAGGGTGACATGGAGGAGATTGCATGATGAGGAAATGAAAGCTGATGAGCAATCGTAAAGTCAGCTGTGCCAAAGAACTGTAAAGAAGAAAGTGGAATGGAGATGCACTGGGTGAGGGCCGTGTGTTTCACTCGGAACCCAAGGGAATTATAATATTCAAGTGATGGTCTGTGGGGATTTGCTATTATTGATTGCAGGATTTCATCATGAACTGACCTCGGTTAGAGAACCATTGGAAAACCAGTCAGGGAGTACTGAAGAGCCATTTCGTCCTAGTTTGGGACTCTTCAGTGGTACGCAACTAAGGCGGTTCGGACCTAGGACCTTCTGGTTACAAGGCGAGCTCCCAAACCATTCAGCCACTGGGACCCGATCCAATGGCCAAGTCCATGGATTCCAACTTCTGACAATTCACGACATGGCGCCACCAGTAGGCAATATCATCGGCGAGTGTTTGTTCTCACACCCGACCTGATGTACACTACCGGTCACGACTTCCTACTAAATCGAGGTAACTAAATACCTGAATAGTAGTTTGAAAAACAAAATCACTACCAATACATATCTGTTCAGCACTTTTTTTAATTTCCTTCACGTTCCCAGTGGAACATAGGGCTTCAAGCCTCCAGCTTGAAGTTTCTGTACTAGTGTTTATTTTTACAGGATAGGGTTGCAAGCCTCATGTCCAACCTTCCCTCTTTACCAATCTTATTACTGCATAAGTGAGGTAAAGGAGTGCGTCGGCGGCAGGGGATCGAACCCCGGACCATGTGCATGGTCGGCGAGCGTCCTAACCGCTGTGCCACCCACACTGTTCAGCAATATACACAGTTTAAAATGATACAATACGCACAGGTAGGGCTAAGTGAATGACAATAGCTTAAAAGTCCTCAAGTGAGTGGGTAATTGTGTTGACACTGAGCCTCGAACCCGAAACCTATTGTTTAAAAGCCTAGTGGATAAACACCTGGAATTTGAAAGGATAAGGTGCTGGGCTAGAGTCTCAGCCCATCACTCCAGTACTGCGGATCGTAATACACCCTGTTGAAGAGTCCCGAATAGGACGAAATGTACATCCTGGATTCCCCTGCTACTCACCAACTACCAAATGGAGAAGAGAAACATTTCATGATGAATTCCAGTTGATAAAAGAATCTTCGATAAACAACTTCTCCAGGTTTTATAACAAGCTGATATCAGTCGGAGAACCACTGGAAACGAGCAGGGAGTACTGATAAACTCTTCCATCCTAACTTGGGACTCATCATCAGCACACACCCACCAGAGTCTGAATCTATGGCCTCCCGTTTACACAATGAGCTTGTAGATCACCTAGCCATTGGGACCCACAGTCCGACGGCCTAGAAGGTCCTGAGGTTTGAACTCCCGTGGGTGAGTATTGCTGACGAGTCTCATACCATCACTCCCTGGCTTTTCAATGATTCTCCTCCAACTAATGCCAGGCCAACATCAAACCTGTAGACAATCGAATCCCTGCAAAAACCAAAACTTCAAAACAACATAAAACTTACCTCTAATGTGAGTTGTAACTTTTCACCAGGTTTTAAAAATCCACTTAAAGCATTACGTAATTCACTTTCAGATGTTTTATCTAATGGTTTAGCAGTACGTACTGTACAGCTAACTTCACCACGATGTGCTGTCATAATTTGATTGAACTTGTCGATAACAGAGTTGATTTTAGGCAAACGACCATTTTCAGCGAGAGTAACTGAAATAAAAAAAAACAGAAATGGAATATAGCTAAAAATATTCATTCAGACATCTATAAAACACAAAATAAATGTGAGTGAAGAATATCCTTTTCGATGATGACCTCTTTTGGCTCTACAATTATTATACATATGTGTTTATATAGATAGAATATTCTAGAATAGTAGTCAATAACAATATTAGTGCGCTTTTTAAATAACATCGATTTGTTAAGTAAGATCACAATGGAATTACCACAGTTCATTCAAGATGCTTAAATTATAATAATAATAAAGATATAGTGGCAAATACAATATCAAATAAAATTAAGGAAACTTCCACAGAAAACTGAGGATCATTCAAACCTAGATGGTCAAGGTAAAGACGAAGTCCGAACTAGCTTCTTTATGGACACATAAATTAGGCTTCTGAATGTGGATCCCAACAGGCAGTCTCAGCAATATTTAATAAACTAACTCTTAAGGAGAAATTGAGATTTGTTGGTACTTACTTTACTTTACTTCGGCTATCTCCTACGGGAGGATGAGCCGGCTTCATGAACCATGAAGTTTCATGGGAATTGGGTACGAGTGATGTCCCCAGCATCGCTCGGCCTTTTGTTTGAGTGCAGCTCTAGCCTTTACACAACCAAGTGTGTACAACAAGGCAGTAGGAGTGGAGTAGGGAGTCCACTATCCATTGGCAGCCGGTGACCGGAGTCCGGTTCATTCGCCTTTTTGAATGGGGCCAGTCATCCAGGGCATCCAATAAGCCCTTTGTCCATACGTCTGCCGGTGAGCTCCAGTGAGCTTCATACGCCAGTCGTTGGAGGTTTGGAATCAGGGTTTAGCCATCTCCCCTAGACTGTCATCCAATGGACAGTCAACCCGGTGAAGAGCGCCGGGCATCCGCTTTTGCCCTCTCACTTTGGTGAAAAACACCTCCGCCACGTGAAGGCAGTGAGTAGGACTTCCTCAGGAGAGGCTATGTAAGACGCCCGGTCATATGGGAGCATTTCAAGAGGTGTACGGAGGGGTGGCCAACCCGCAGCGCAAGACACCCACCCCCGACCATCCTGAGGCTTTGGAGGCTGGTGAGCCCGACGTGATTCGAACACGCAGCCTTCTGGTTTGTTGGTATGTGGTAAACGACTCTGAAAGCTGCCTCGTTGACATCAATCTTGTGTTCTGTCTTCACAAGATAAGATAGAATAGCGCTACGAATAGATTTTTTTTATTATTACCGCTTGATTCCACACTGTATTTTTGGTACAAGTATGGAATTTTCAGCATGGATATCGGTAGCCCAAATTTTGCAGGCCGACCATAGATGTCAGGTGTGCGTAAGCAGGGGATTGAACCTCGGACCATGTGCATGGTCGGCGAGAGTCCTGACCACTGTGCCACCGACGCATCCTCTTTTTAACCACTATGCAGGGTGATGTTCGGCAGTCCGACGACAGACACGCCTAATTGGCAGATACACATGGAAAAGGCGAAATTACGAAGTCTATTTTTTTACTCCAGAACGCAAAAGATTCAGTCTAGAACGACGTTTGTCACACAAATACGACTATTCATTTTGACACCCCATAACTGCTAACCTGTTATTCTACGTTAAAAAATGTATCCACCGCATAAATGGCTATCATTATTGTAACGACAACAAATATTATATTTTATAATTGTAAGTACATGAAGAGGAGAAATTATTGAAAAAAGAATATTCGTCGTTCAGATTGACTTTTAATTCATGGGATATGGGAATATTTCCCACAAACTGGAAGATATGCAAGTGATGAAAAGCAACAAGTTGTGGCAGAAGAAGCATCCAGAGAAGACAGGAATTCAGGTGAGCATAGAGAAAACAGAGGTGATGAAGATTCCTGGCCAACAGCAACAGCTACAACAACAGACAACAATCAGCATATATGGGAGGAACCTAAAAGAAACAAACTCCTTTACCTAATTCACCTGGGAAGCATCATTTCAACTACTGGCGAACGGAACTGATGAGAATATCAAAGCAGCGAGGATCGGAAAAGCAAGACAAGCCTTCTCATTACTCTCAAGTCTGTGTGGAGGTCAACAGCACTCAACACTCAGTATGAAAAATAAGATCTGGATTTTCAACTCCAATGTGAAGTCAGTCAGTGCTACCTACACTATACGCATCAGAGACTTGGCGCCACGTCATGAAGAGCACCCCAAATAAACTACGGACCTGCATCAACAACTGTCTCCACTCAATACTCAAGATCAAATGGCCTGGAAAGGTCAGCAACAGAGGTCTCTGGGAGCGAACCAACCAACCAGCAGGGACCGATTGTACAACAAAAAAGCAAGAAGAAATGGAGGTGGATTGGCCATAGTCTGAGAAAAGAAACCATCAAATGTGTGACATCACACGCCAGGCCATCGCTCGAGTGGAACTTGAATGGGAAACAGCGAGAGTTGGTCATCAGTGCGACGGTGGGGTGATATGGAGGAGGTCATCTGAGGAAAAGACGGGCAGACGTAGAGCCAGGTGAGAAAACGTTGGCAGAGAACAAAACGCAATAGAGACGTGTGGTTGAAGAAGCCCTATATTCCTCTAGGAAATAAAGGAAGCAATAATAATAATAATTTAAAAAAAGAAGTTACACTTACCAAATAAATTTTTAGTTGTATCATTCACTTTTAACACGCTTAAAATTCGACCGATCTCAGTGACTTTAAGCGATCGTTGCAGGCTCGGATCAACACAGAATTCACGTAGCTTAACATCTTTGCTTAGAGTATCTTTAATTAGCTGTAGGTCTTTTTCAGTCTTGTCCAGAGATTTTTGTTTTGTAGCCGCTGAATACAAAGCAGTAGCATAACGACCTTCTACACCGAATACTTGAATTTGAGGCTGTGTAGATAGATAGATAGATAGATAAAAAAAAGAGCGAAAAAATATAAACACCGCAAAGTGTGAAAGGTATTATAGGCATCCTCCTATTAAGCGAGGAAAAACATTGCAATGGTCGAGGCGCTCTACTCGAACTCATGCAGTCAGCCAGGTGAGGGCTTACGGCGAATTGTCACCTGAAGTGGTGACGACTAGTGGTGACAGTCAGCGAGGAATGCCCATTATCCCCATTTCTATTCAATTTCATCATAGATGTGATGATATACTTAACCCCAACTCATTTCAGAGACACAGGGATTAACTTGCTGCTAGGGAATAATAGTCTCGTTGACTTAGAATATGCAGATGATATAATCCTGCCTTCTAGATGAGGACGCTGACAAAATACAAGCGGAGTCTTCTGAACACCTTGAGCTGCAATCTACGAATGTTTGGCAGGCGATTCGCTCCTGCCAAACGCAAGATGATGTTACAGAACTGGACTACACCGACTCGTAGTTTAGAAATAGAGGGTGAAGTGGTAGACCACGTTGACCGTTTCACTTATTTGGGAAGTACCATCAGCCAACGCCAACAGGTTGATCTTTGACGAAATCTCATCACGGATACACAGGGCTAGTTTCGCATAGGCCAGTTTACGCCGTCTCTGGCGAAAACGTGATATCCGGCTGTCTGCCTCTGTCTGTCTGGATTCAACATAGAACTTGGCACCGAAATGCAGCAGTTCGAGTTACCACATTTCAAATGGCACACACAAAGGTAGACAAGAAGACGAGTGAAGAGAACCAATAGAGTTTGACAAGTATAAGAGTGAAACAGAGTGGGTAATGTAGTAAAAAGGAATATGAAAGATTACAGAGACTGGATACATCTGCGCCATTGACAACGATTTTGAGCTATGTCACCTATTGTCTCCAGCCATTGATTCCTAGAGTCCCGAGGGCCCCAACCCGGGAGTCTGAATCTCCCCACCTACCTGACTCAGTTTAACTGTCAAGGATTTCATGGATTGATGAGGCCATGTTTCTGTTTGGCCACCACTTACTCTTTTCCAACCTCCACCTATATCAGCTAGCAATGCCCATCGGCGGGGGGAGGCGGTGGTTAGGCATGCGCAGCACGTGACCTAGCCATCTTAGTCTATGTAACTTTATAGCCTCGTCGATTGATTTTCCCTCTTTGCCCAACACTCTACGCCTAACGTCAACATTACTTACACCTTATTATACCACCTAACGTGAGAAAGAGATCGTAGACATCTATGATCAAAAACAGTCAACCTTTTCATGTCTTCAACGCGTATTGGCCATGTTTTAGAGCCACAGAGAAGGACGGAGCGAACTGGTGAGCAGTACATACGTCCGTTGGTTGATAGCCGGATGTCACGCCTACGCCGAAGATGGTGTAAGTTAGCGAAAGACAGTGTGATAACAGGTAGGCTGTTGTATGCTTTCAAATAACTTAAGGCGTTATTGTTATTGCACTTTCAAGTTATTGGTAAGCTTATTCAGAAACTCTGCTTTCTTATAGACAGATAGTTTTAAAGAATAGTTCTGTTGAACGAAATGAATACAATAGGGATGACTGATTGACTGGTTTTAACATAGAACTTTGCTGCATTGATGTACAGCAGTTCAAGTTGCCACACTCCCTCCATGTAGTGCACAAAGCAAGAGAAGAAAGCAGAAGAAATGTAAAACAGAGATAGTAGACAGGGATATGAGACAAAGGAATAGTAATATCGAAGAACAATATAGTTTTATTAGATATTATAAGTCACAAGGAATGGGTCCACGTGCATCAGCCATATCACCGATTGTCTCCAGCCTTCATTGGTTTCTATCGTCTCCAGGATCCCAACCAGCCAGTCAGGAAGCCTACAACTCCCCCCTACATAACTGACTTAAACTAATTGTTGTGGACTTGATTGATTGATGAAGCCATGTTTTCGCTTGACCATCACCACCACTGGTTAGCTCTTTTCCAACCTGACCCCTCCTATGTCAGCTAACATTGCCCGTCACTTAACACATGTCCTAACCATTTCAGTCGGTGTAACTTCACAGCCTCGTGTGTATTGATTCCCCCACCCCTCAAATCTCAGTTCTTTTCCTTATGCTGAGTACACTAGATTTCCAAAATGATTTCAGACTAATGAAGGTTTGTCATGATTATTTTTTTTTCAATCCTGTCCGCTTTTGGCATCTTCATTTATGCCAGTGACTGCAGTTGAAATAATAAACCTGCTTAGATAAGTGAAAGAGACAACTTCGTTTATATTTCTCCCAGGAATGGTGAGTGATACTTGTTCTTGTGGTGGTGGTGGTGTGGCTTATTAGATATCTATCTGAGTTATTCGAAATACCCAGTGAAACTTTGAAATTATACAGGATTTCATCATGAGCTGACATTGGTTAGAGAAGCATTAGAAAACCTGGGAGTACTGACAGCTGTTTCGTCAGCCTAGTTTGGGACTCTTCATCAGTATGCACCCATCACCAAGGTTCGAACCCAGGACCTTCAGATTAGAAGGCTATCGTGCTCCTGGACCATTCACACCAGCCACTGGGAACCGATCCAATGGCTAACGAGTCCATGAATTCTAACTTCTGCCAATTCACGACATAACGCCAGCACTAGCCAATGTCTTCGCTGGTGAGTATTTGTCCTCATACCCGAGCTGCTACACCCTACCGGATGTTAGAATTCATGCACTGGCCATTGGATCGGGTCCCAGTGACTTAACGGTCTACGAGCTGGCTCGCCTTGTAACCAGAAGGTCCTGGTTTCGAATCCCGGTAGGTGTGTACTGATGAGGAGTCCCAAATTAGGCTGGGGAAACAGCTGTCCAGTACTCCAGTGCAGGTTTTCCGATGGTCCTCTAGCCAATGTCAGCTCATGATGAAATCCTGTAACCAATCAATCAAATCCCTACAAACCAACACTTGAATAAACAGTATTTATTATAGCTAAAATCATCACATACTGACACAATTCAATACAGTAAATACAAAAACAAAAAATTATTAACACTTTCATACTTACCTGTATCAGTTTCAGGTTTGAAGAGGAGGTACTCAAACGACGGACCTAAAATTTACACAGACACAGAGATTAATCCCTTGACATATATATATATATATGTTTTTGACATAGCAGAAAAAGAAGAGCCTATTTTGTCTGTCTGTTTTCAACATAGAACCGATGTGCGACAGTTCGAGTCTCCACACTACATGTTGCACACAAACCAAGACAAGAAAGTAGAAGAAATACATAGTAGAGGTAGCAAACAGAGGTGTGAGACAGAGGAATAGTAATAACGAAGAACAGTATAGTTTCATTGGAAATACTAAGTCACAAGGAATGGATGCATCTTCACCAGCCATTGAGAACGATCAGTTTGAGCCATATCACCAATTGTTTCCAACTTTTGGTTTTTACCGTCCCGAGGACCCCAACCAGCCAGTCAAGAAGTCTACACCTTCCTACGTGGCTTAGACTAACTGTTGACTGGTTCCATGTTTTGGTTCGACCCCCGCTAGGTCTTTTCCAGCCTGACCCTATGTCAGTGAGCTAACATTGCCCGTCACTCGAGGAAGGCGATGACTACGCAGGCATACGTAACACATGTCCTAACCATCTCAGTCGGTGTAGCTTCACAACCTCGTCGATTGATTTCCCCTCCTTACCTAGCACTCTATCGACGCCTAACCTCAATATTGCTCACCTTATTATGCCACTTCACTCGGGAGATAGAGCGCAGGCACGTATGATCAAAGACAGCTAGTCTTTTCATGTCTTCCATTCTCAATGACCAGGTCTCACAGCTAGTCATAAAAAGAGGACGGAGCGGACTGATGAGCAGTACATCCGCCCTTTGGTCGATAGCCAGCCGGATATCACGTCTATCAAGCCGGAGACGCCGTAAGCTGGCATATGCGAAACTAGCCCTCTGTATCCGTACTCAGTTGTGATTTCGTTAGAGATCAACCCGATGGCATTGGCTGATGGTACTTCCCAAATAAGTGAAGCGGTCAACGTGCTCTACCACTTCATTTCCTGTTTCTAATCCAGGAGTCGGTGTAGTACAGTTCTGTAACATTACTTCTAACGTTCAAAGCGAGGAGAAAAGTCAATATGACACAAGTGAAGGGAGAAAGCTAATATAAATACAATAATATGTTTGATTCAAAAAAGATGATAAATAAACACATTTGTACTACTGTAATCTCCCACAAAGTCGTAACCGACTTAAAACACTTATCCGTCACAAGACTATAATGTGAGCAGTCCCACAGCATACAATTTCAGAATAAACATAACAGGAAACTAGTGTACAACAAATACGTCATTCATCTCCTTAATTAGAACATCACTAACCCCAAACCAGACATAATGTGAATCAGAGGACAAGTACAGCAAGCCCAGCTCATCTAGCTTAATGAGTGCAGACCATTTTCTTAAAGCATAAATGCCAAAAAAACGAAAAAGAAGCTGGAAGAATCTACAAATCTTAATCTCTCACGAAATCTCAGCACGAATACAGGGGGCTCGTTTCGCATATACCTGCCAGTTTACGCCGACTCTGGCGTAGACGAGATGTTCGACTATCGACCAAAGGGCGGGTGTACTGCTCGTCAGTCCGCTCCGTCCTCCTTTATGGCTGTGAGACCTGGCCACTGAGAGTGGAAGACATGAAAAGACTGACTAGCTGTCTTTGATCATAGGTGCCTGCGCTCTATTTCCCGTGTAAAGTGGCATAATAAGGTGAGCAACATTGAGGTTAGGCGTCGAGTTCTAGGTAAACAGGGAAAATCAATCGACGAAATCGTGAAGCTACAAAGACTGAGATGGTTAGGACATGTGTTACGTATGCCAAGCCATCGCCTCCCTCGACGAGCTATGTTAGCGGATGTAGGGTCAGGCTGGAAAACAGCTAGCGGTGGTCAAACAAAAACTTGGCATCAGTCAATGAAATCCACAACAGTTGGTCTAAGCCACGTAGGAAGGTGTATCCTTCTTGGCTGGGGTCCTCGGGACGGTAAAAACAAGTGGTTGGAAACAATTGGTGACATGGCTCAAAATCGTTCTCAGTGGCGCAGATGCATCCACTCCTTGTGACTTATGATCTCCAATGAAACTGTTTTGTTTTTCTTTATTACTTCTTTGTTTCACGCCTCTGCTCACCGTTTCTATTATGCTTTTCTTGTACTTTCTTCTCTTGCTTCGCGTGCTACACGGAGTGTGGCGACTTGAACTGTCGCACATTTGTGCAAAGTTCTATGTCGAAAACAGACAGACAGACAAATCTTAACATATGTTTATTGCGGTATATACTTACACAGTGCTTTTTTTATTATTCCTTCACGTTCCTAGTGGAACACAGGGCATCTTCAAGTTAGAGGCTTGAAGTTTCTGTAGCAGTGGTGATTATTCCTACAGGATGGGCTTGAGATAGCCTTATGTCCAACCATTCCTCCTTACCAGCTTTATTTCTGGCTTAGCGAGCTAGGTAAAGGATTGCGTCGGTGGCCGGGGATCGAACCCCAGACCACGCGCATGGTCGGCGGGCGTCTTAACTGCTGTGCCACCGACGCACAGAATGCCTACACAAAAAGAATCCTTCAAACCAAGGTTTCAACTATGAGATACACCTCAACTATATGAATGCATCGTAGTAGTTAAACACCTGAATAATCAGGTGGCATCTTAAGTTTGAAATGCATATGAGTCTCTGGCTTACTGGGTGGAAAAGACACCCGATATCATGTGGTATATTTATTCAGTTGGAGTATGTTATTCATTTATCTAATGGGTGATGACAGGCTTTTCAATCAAGACGGCAATGTCTAAGCTGCATAGATGGAAATGGAAGTGGTATTACCGCCACCGCTGTCATAGTGTATATACAACAGGATGTTTGTTTGTTTTCGGCAACATGGCTTATATATACTTTTATTCTAATTGTTGCAAGACAGTATTCAACCACATAAAGAATTATAGAGTAAATAGTTATCTATAGTCGGTTTATAAGGGTTCGTTTTTTTGTTTACGAGTTGATCACGGATTGATATCAGTTAGAGAACCATTGGAAACCAGCCACAAGGAGTACTGGACAGCCAGCTGTTTCATCCTAGTTTCTGGGAATCATCGAAAGTACACACCCACCCCACATTGTAGGGTTCGAACCCAGGACTATCCGGTTAAAAGGCAAGCTAGCTGGCTTGTATGCCACCCAACCACTGGGACCCGAATTGGTAGAAGTTAGAATTCATGAGCTGGCCATTGAATCGAGTCCCAGTGAGTGGCTGAATGGCATACGAGCCAGCTAGCTGGCCTTATAACCGGATAGTCCTGGGTTCGAACCCTACAATGTGGGGTGGGTGCGTACTTTCGATGATTCCCAGGAACTAGGATGAAACAGCTGGCTGTCCAGTACTCCAGTGCTGGTTTTCAATGGTTCTTTAACTGATAGTGTCAGAAATAGAGTTAGTGTTGGTTAAGGAAGATAAATGTGTTTCAATAAGATTGCGAACCTTTCATCAACTAGATTGAATGAGAACCCCCCCCCCCTAGTAAATTTTCTAAATTCGGTCTAGATTCAAAATAGTCAGTGTAATGGTCATATGGAGAACACATTCATTACCTGTTGATTTGAACAGTGAATTGCTTCGTTGATGCTGTCGAAACGCTAAGAAGTACGGTTACAAAAATTCTCAATACTAGTGTATGATCAATCAATGACACCGACCGAAAGCTGCTACCTTGACGTGGTGGTCGGGCTTGAACACCGCAATGACCTAATCAAGCTATACTGGCTGAGACTTATGTCTCTTGAGGTTCTACCATGCCAGGCAGGTTGTTTGGATAGCGGTTAAACAAAAAGCAGCTACCCAATCCAATACCATGTCCAATACAAATTCACAAAATTTCATGCCGGATCGGCCGTGGCCCGGATTAACAACGACCGCGCTTCCTGCTGCCGTGTCACAGGGCAGGAGTGATAAGTATGCTACTGAGGCACACCAAACAAAAGAGAACAAACAAAAACAGGCCGCGTGTGACCGGCCTCAAGCAGTTGTCCCCTGGGCTCTGCGGTCACGCAACCAACTTCCACGGTGTGGGCAGCCGGGAAGTAACAATCGCCCTCACAATCCAAAATGCACACAAAACCTCTCTAATCCTCACTTATCTTTGTCTTCATCTTCATCTCTATTACCTTGCCTTCCTCCCACTGATGCAACTCCTCTACTTGATGGCTCCTCACTCCCTCTTCACTCTGTGTCCACTAAAAACGACGAAAGCCAAAAAACCACCCGGATAGTCTCCTAAAGCCACGCCACCAATTTCATATAGGAGCATTTAATGTTAGGACACTTTGCCAAATAGGACAACAAGCATCACTAGCTAAGACCCTGGCATCTCGAGCCATTGATGTATGTTGTGTTTCAGAAACACGCATACAAGACCCAAGTGTGGTTATTCACCTAACCCCACCTGGCCAACAGGATGAATCTTCAAAATTCACCTTGAGGGTGTCAGGAGATGCCACAGCTAGTTCACGAGGATTAGCTGGCGTAGGGATAGCTTTGAGTACTAGGGCAGAAAAGACATTGCTTGACTGGATCCCAGTAGATAGCCGAATGTGTGCTGTCCGTCTGAACGGATCAGTAAGAAGGAGAAAGGACTGCACTACTCGCCGATGCCTTTTCGTAATCTCCGCCTACGCCCCCACTGACTGCAGTTCGGATGAAACGAAGGATGAGTTCTACCAAAAGCTGTCTAGTTTGGTGAGAAAGGCTAAACGCTCAGATATAGTCGTTCTAGCTGGTGACTTTAACGCTCAAGTAGGGAAATTGTGTCAATCTGAGAAGGATGTCGGTGGCACCTATGGAGTTCCGTGCCAGCGAACCGACAACGGTGACCGTCTCCTACAGTTCTGTTCAGATAATCATTTGTTTCTTGTAAGCACTAACTTTAAACACAAGGAGAGACACTGTTTAACCTGGCGACCCCCATCATCAAACCAACGCTGGACACAAATAGACCACATAGCAATAAGCTATCGTTGGCGTGGGTCGGTAGGAGATTGTCGCTCCTTCTGGAACACGTGTGTAGATACCGATCACGCACTGGTCCGGGCTCGTGTGTGCTTACGACTGAACGGACGTAGGAAACAGCTGGCGGTAAAACCATCACGTCCCCAGCTCGATCAGGAAACTAAATCCCTATTTGAGGAAGAACTAGCTAAACGCATATCTGAATTCGACAGCTGTGCTCACCCTGGAGAAGCCTGGAAGAATATTCAGTCAGCTATAGATACAGCTGTAAAAGCTGTGAATAAGGCAAATCCAAAGGTGAGTAAAAACCACTGGATTTCGACTGCCTCATCCGAACTGATAGATGCTAGAAGACTTATTCCGGCGAGCTCCGAATTCAATGAGGAGCGAAAGCTGCACAAAAGGAAACTTACTAAAAGTCTCCGCAAGGACCGTGAACAGTGGTGGGTGACAAAGGCGAAAGAGATGGAAAAAGCATCGGCGATAGGCAACACTAGGCAACTCTTTAGACTCATCACAGAATCGGGTGGGAGAAGGCAATTCATAAGTGAGACTATTTCTGAGAAAAATGGCTCCTTAATTAGCTCTCAGGATAGACGCCTTGAACGCTGGAAAGAACACTTTGAGGAACAATTTAACTTGCCTACAGCCACACTGAACCTCCCCGCCATCCACCACACACCCGAATGGGATATAGACACTGGTCCGCCGTCTGTAGGTGAGGTTACAAAAGCTATCAGTAATTTGAAACGAGGCAAAGCGGCAGGACCCGACGGAATTATTCCGGAGGTGTTTAAATATGGGGGTGACATACTAGTTTGTAGATTAACTGAGGTACTAGGCAAAGTCTGGGAATCAGAGACAGTACCATCAGACTGGGGTAAGTCACTTATTATACCGATATTCAAGAAGGGAAACAAGTCCTCGTGTGATAATCATAGGGGGATCAGCCTAACGAACATAGTCTCTAAAATCCTAGGCTCAGTAATCATGCATAGACTAAGCAGAACTCGGGAGGAACAGACAAGGGAAAATCAAGCAGGCTTTAGACCAGGTAGAGGGTGCATAGATCATATCTTCACTCTTCGACAGATTCTAGAACATAGACACACTTTTCGGCGTCCAACAATTGTCATATTTCTTGACTTGAAGGCGGCCTTCGACTCCGTGGATCGAAAGGTACTATGGCAATGTCTGACTGTGAAGGGAGTGCCAAGAAAGTACATTGCACTAATCAAGGCACTCTATTCAAACTCACGTAGTCGTGTAAGGGCTTATGGGGAATTGTCATCTGAATTGGTAACAACCAGTGGTGTCCGACAGGGATGTCCACTTTCCCCATTTCTGTTTAACTTCATCATAGATATGCTAATGGAAGTATCCTTAACTGAACGTAGTGACTTAGGAATCGACTTGTTACCAGGGAATAATCTTATGGACTTAGAATATGCAGATGACATAGTCCTGTTAGGGGAGGATGCTGACAAAATGCAGAGTCTTCTGAACACCTTGAGCAGCAATCTTCGTATGTTTGGCATGCGATTCGCCCCTGCAAAATGTAAGATGCTGCTACAGGACTGGACCACGTCAACTCCTAACTTAGTGATAGGGAGTGAAGTGATAGAACATGTTGACCACTTCACCTATTTGGGAAGTTGTATTAGCACCAACGGACTGATTGGCGATGAAATCTCAGCACGGATCCGAAAAGCTCGAGCTGCTTTCGCTGACTTACACCATCTCTGGCGTAGGCGTGACATCCGGTTATCAACCAAGGGACGTGTGTACTGCTCATCAGTTCGCTCCGTCCTTCTCTATGGCTCTGAAACATGGCCAATACGCGTTGAAGACATGAAAAGGTTGACTGCTTTCGATCATAGATGTCTGCGATCTCTGTCTCACGTTAGGTGGTTTCACAAGGTAAGTAATGTTGACGTTAGGCGTAGAGTGTTGGGCAAAGAGGGAAAATCAATCGACGAGGCTATAAAGTTACATAGACTAAGATGGCTAGGTCACGTGCTGCGCATGCCTAACCACCGCCTCCCCCGACGGGCATTGCTAGCTGATATAGGTTCAGGTTGGAAAAGAGCCAGTGGTGGCCAAACAAAAACATGGCATCAATCCATGAAATCCTTGACAGTTAAACTGAGTCAGGTAGGGAGATGCAGACTCCCGGGTTGGGGCCCTCGGGACTCTAGGAATCAATGGCTGGAGACAATAGGTGACATGGCTCAAAATCGTTGTCAATGGCAGCGCAGATGTATTCAGTCTCTGTAATCTTTCATATTCCTTTCTACCATTACCCATTCTGTTTCACTCTTATACTTGTCAAACTCTATTGATTCTCTTCACTCATCTTCTTGTCTACCTCTGTGTGCTATTTGGAACGTGGCAACTCGAACTGCTGCACTTCGGTGCCAAGTTCTATGTTGAATCCAGACAGACAATGACACTGAGATGCACATATATATGTTATCATCGAAATCTTGATCAAGCGCACCAATTACTTGACTGCAAGTGTTTACCTAGGCTAGTTACAATCACTATATGAGCAGTGTAGGAGTTGAGTATAGATAGTATCATATGAGGTCTGTCTGTCTGGATTCAACATAGAACTTGGCACCGAAGTGCAGCACTTCGAGTTGCCACATTCCAAATAGCACAAAGGTAGACAAGAAGATGAGTGGAGTGAATTAATAGTTTCACAAGTATAAGAGTGAAACAGAATGGGTAATGGTAGAAAGGAATATGAAAGGTATATATGTGAGGTAGTTGAGGAAGCAATAGACCTCTAGAGTTAGAAAAGGCTGTCATGTCTACTCATCATCCACGTCAATGTGCTATTTGTGAAAACAGGATTAAGATGAAAAAAAAGTGGAAAGATGGGCACTAAACCATGAAGTTACTAACCGTTGATATGACCTCTTTAGATTACCTTGCAGTTGTCTACCACGAAGAACCTGTGATCACAGAATCTACGTGAAATGAATTAGAACCAGTCAAGTATGCAGATGGATGGAAAGGCTACATTTTTCTGCATTGTGACTCAACATATCGTTCGCTTTTCTTATCTCACGGTACTGTATGAAGAATGAGACAATACTTAACATCTATGTGCATGTTAGTGGACTTGGCTTCGGTTTGATAACAGCTACCCTAATCTTGTTAGGCGGACTGAAGTTTAAGCCCATGACCAGGTGAATGAAAGCCACAGGGTCCATTCTCATGAGTTTTTCTTATCATCACCTTTTAAATGATATTTAGATGAGGCCTAACAACTTAGACTAGTTATTAATCTGACTTCTACATTTAACTATTTCTGGCAGAAATGGCTTACCCTTCGGGAGACATTTTAAGCGACTCTATTGCAGTCAGAGATTTCTTGAGCTCTGTATGAATTGCATAGAATTAGTTAAGGTCAGCATTGACAGTCCTTTATAGAACTATTATACATTGTTTGCAACTAAACATATAGCTGAAATATGTGTATAATAACATGGATGGTGTGAACTGTCACCTCCCTACCCCACCTCCTTAACTTGCTTTAAAGGATTTTGTCAAAGCAGTTTAGATGGTCACCACAGTCCATTACTTAAGTAATAGACTGTTACTTATAAGTAACCAGTTCACAAACGGTGCAATCATCAACGACATCTACAACTCATTACACAAAGTTAAATGCAGTACTGGTTTCAATGCAGAAATTTCAGTATAAACCAACATGTAACTTAGGGTCAATTTAGCGTAAATAACTTCAAATACCTACAGTAGGGGATCACCTGCTCGATCGTCGTAATGTAGCATGTTATTGAAACTATGAGCGGAAATTTTCCACTGACTCAGAAGCCAGTACATGTACTGACACTATAATATTAGTGAGACAAATAAAAAATGTTGGATATCTCAACAAACTCAGCTTTATTGTAAACGTACAAAATTGTTCAGCATATTTGCAGATTCAAACACCCTCCACTAAAAGGCTTGCCACAACTTGTTCAATCCAATATCGTTTTTATGACTGGACTTCTATATCACGTCCTGTTGAAATTTCGCCTCGAAGTTTTTTTGTCAATAAGTTTTAATAAAGTTGTGTGGATTGATTGTAATTCCCATTTCCTGGCTAGTTATGTTGGAATCCGCGTCATTTGATCTGACTGCGACATACTGGTTGCAATGAGTAGTGTTTCAGGTGGACACTGTCAAAATATCAGTATAATGAGGAAGATGGGATGGTTGGAGGGTAAGGTCATCTACACGTAAACAATAATTATTTCTTTGTCCCCAATTCTTGGTTGCAAGTAAATGTTTCTAATCTTCAGTAAACTTCTGCACATTGTGTCTTACCTCTCAACTGATGCAGCTTTGGTTTACTCTGTAGCGGTCATTAGTTCCCCAAAATTATTGGCCACAGCATTCATCAATGAACACTGGATGCTGACTCTCACTGCTTAAGTCAAATTGCTTAGCTGAAGGCTTCCGGTCAGCCATCCACGCCGTTTGGTACTCCATTGTGTTACGTTCGTTCGTTCGTTCGTGTACGATTCCTAGCTAGTTAGGCAGTCATCTGGCACTCCGATGTGGTGCGAAATATATCCCGTAATTTGGACAATCTATTCTTGTGTTTTGTTTTGCCTTCGTTCTACGCGGAATGAATGCTATAGAAGTTGTGGGTACTGCATCTTGCGTTAGTATACTTCGTACTAACCGTTATCGTCAATACCATCAGCCTCTAAACTGGTGAACCCTACCGCGAACTTCATCTTTTGTAAATACACAGACTAATCCGGTGAGTTCGTTCCATTTTGCATTTGTTCCTGCACTGTTTTTAAACTATATATATTCCGTCATGAGTGATCATACTCCTAAGGTCATCCGTATTCGCCCAACTGCCGAAACTATTCAGCTTGTACCATTTTGGCTAGATAATGCTGAATCATAGTTTCAGATAGCTGAGTCTGATCTTAGCAAATATGGGTTAACTGATCAACGTTTACAACCCTACGCCCTACCGTGGGAATTCAGCAAGTGCCTAACTGTGCAGGTGTCGAGCGCAGAGGTGTGGAGTCCTCAAGAATAAACTTATCCAAATTTTACTACTATGTAAATAATGAACATATTGTACACTACTTTGTTTTAACCATAAACTCTGTACTTTGAACTTTACCTCGGGTTTTGAATAAATATATAGTTCTGCCTTCGACTCTCCGTCTTCTCCACCATCTCAACTGCCGTCGATCAATTTTAATCACCTGCTTTCTATCTCAAATTTTTGCAGGAGCACCGTAGTTCTTCCTACGTACTTTGGTCGACCTCCGGCAACGTCAACATTGGAGAACTAGTACTGGAGCAGTCTTCCCGCACCACCTGGAGTCTATAACGTTTATTGTGGACTTTGGATCTTTGTAAACCCAAGTAACCAAACTTTAATACATTCTTCCCGTAACTAAACTGATTTGGTACTTTATTTTCTATTTGAATTTGGGTAACTGAGCTAACCGAGTGAAAGGTCCACCACAGAGGTAAGTAACGCGTATGAGTTGCTAAAAGCAACCCTAACAAGGAGAAACGTTCTCACGGATCGACAACGTCTTGATGAACTATTTGGCGACGTGTAGCTAAGTGATCAGTCAACCGTGAGTATGCTAACAAGAATGGGCGAAGTTATGGCCAGCATCAGTTCGATGAAAGACTTTTCAGAGAACAGTTCTCATCCAAACTGCCACAGTCAGTACAGGCTGTGCTGGTGACACCTCAAGGTGTTATTTTAGACGACTTAGCTGTTTCTGTAGATATAATTCTACAAATAACAAAACTGCCAGCCACTAAAATATGCTCAGTTGCGATACAGACTGAGTAGGGACACTGCAGTGATAGAGTTATACAACTCCGTCCAGCTGCTACTCAGGTCAAATCTACGCCGTAATTCCTCCTGTAGTCGTCTTAATTCCCCTCAACGGTGAAACCCATATGGCCGGTCTACATCCAATCCACGTTCACTAAAAAACCTTGACTGGTGTTGTTATCACGATACTTAAGATCAGGGAGCGAAATGTTACCGAAAACCTTGTAATTTCGGCACTTTCTCAAAAACTGTAGGGAAACTATCCCGCCGGCACGCGTTAGTGGCAGCCGGCTCTGGTGACACTATTCGCCCACTTAATATTCATGGTGTGGTCAGCCAGACCCCATACATAGTCGAAACAGGAGCCGAGGTCAGCGTCCTTCCTGCTACAGCGGCAGATCGACAGAAGGAACCTACCTCCAACTTACAAGCTGCAAATTTCTGGGCCACACTATTGACTGCAAGGGCGTTCGCCCACTGGCTGGTAAAGTTGAGGTAACACTGAACTTTCCGGAGCCACGGCCAGTGAAATGTCTTCTCACACTCAACAGCTTGATAAGTTATTACTGACGGTTTATTCCCAACTGTGCTTCCCTGATTCAGCCACTAACAGACCTTCTTCGAGGGAATAACAAATCCATCGAACTCAACGCGTCTGCTCAAAATGTTTTCACTTAGGTTAAAAAAGCTATTGCGGATGCCACACTTCTTTCGTATCAAAATCCAACGGCACCTTTAAGTATCTCGGTTGATGCATCATGCACTGCAGTCGGCGCAGCTCTGCAACAACTAGTCAACAGAGAGTGGTAACCACCCGCTTCTTTCTCCAGCCACCTACAATCAGCAGAAAAGAAGTACGGCACATTCGGAACAGAACTTCTTGCTATGTACTGTGTTATAGGTAATTTCCGATATTCAGCGGAAGGGCGTGAATTCATAATTTTCACAGACCACAAACCTCTGACGTACCCTCTGAACTCAACTTCAGATAAGAATTCACCTGGAGAACCACGACAACTGGGCTACGTTTCACAGTTTATGCCGGATATTCGTCAAGCATCCAGAGTGAACAACACTGTGGAAGATGCCTTGTCCCTCATTTGTTCCCTCGCCCGAAAAGAAGACATGAACCTCGTGAAACTGGTTCGTCTCCAAAAAAAGATCCCGGGCTTCAACATGAGTTGTCAAACACAACTCCGCAATTAGCCGAGACACCCTTAGATATGGTAAGAGATACTATACCGTGACATTTTAACGAGTACTGCTTGCCCCATCGTGCCTTAAAGCTATCGCTGTAATGTCTTCAATATGTTGCACGGCTTAACCCACCAAGGTATTCAGACTACCGTCAAACAGATTGTTCCGACTGACTCTAATGTCAGAAAGAACAACCAAAATGTAAATTCACCAGACATCAAATTATGTGTAATTTATATAACAACTTATCCATCCCTGTACAGTTGGTATGTTTCTGCATAAACAGGAATCAATATATTATTATTAAGTCGGATTTGCTCGCCTGGTACTAATAAAGAGAAGTAATGTGGTGATTGGCTTTATGTGGTTTGTGGTATGCGTTGTGCTCGCTGTTGGTCCTCGGCAGACTTCTGAGTAGTTCGTCTACCATTCGACTGTCAAAGCTTTGGTTGACCCCAAAAGCAGTGGTGCTGGGATTAATTATATGTTCTTTGCGGTATGCAGTGCGTTAAGACTTTGTTGCTACTGTGAATGCAGTTGATCCTTTCACCAGTTAGTCCTCCGGTATTGTCGTCAAAAGAAAGGAGATAATAATAACAGATATAGTTAATGTCGGTTATTCAGACCAAAAGACAGAAAAAAATAAAGACCACAAAAAAACAGGCAGCTAATTAAATTTGAAGTTGACATATATACATATATATACGCACACCTGATATCTATGGTCGGCCTGCGAAATTTGGGCTACCGATATCCACGCTGAAAATTCCATACTTGTACCAAAAATACAGTGTGGAATCAAGCTGTAATAAAAAAAAACAAAAAAAATAAAAAAATATACAAATATATATGTATGTAAAACCAATAACAATAACAATATTTATAATGAGTGTAAGTATAGTAGTTGGAGTAGTCAGGAGAGTAAAACGGGAATGAATGTGGAGTGAAACTACGGTTCTGGATGCCTGCTCATTAATGTGCGTCGGTGGCGCAGCGGCTGGGACGCTCGCCGACCATGCACATGGTAAGGGTTCAATCCCCGGCCGACGCACACATGATATCAATGGTCGGCCTGCAAAATGTGGGCTACCAATATCACATGCTGAAAATTTCATACTTGTACCAAAAATACTGTGTGGAGTCAAGCTATAATAAAATTTTAAAATTAATTGTGTATGAAATTTTAGGAGGATAGGCCATTTGGGTGCGGTCCTTGTGCAGCTGCGTGATTATCCAGCAGTCTCTTAAAGCTGCCTCCAGATGGTGCCGTAGCTACATCTGCCGGTAGGAAGTTCCAGGGACGGCAGACCCGCAGTGAAAAGAAGCGAGAATGCACCCGGGTCCTTGCCCTTTGGTGAGCTATCCTTCTGGGATTTCCACGAGGAAGCCCCTGACTACTCAATGGCAGAACACTTGTTTGAGTGATTCTGGTCATTTATCTTGTAGTCAGTAATGGAATCCCCCTAAGTCGACGACAGCTAAGTTGGAATAGGCCTAATTTCTTTGCTCTTTCATCATACAGTTTATTTCGGAGACCCACCATTCCTTTTGTCTTTCGTCTTTGGACAATTTCCAAGAGGGTGGAGTCTCTTCTAGGCAGTGAGGGTGTAACGACATTATGCTCTTCAGAGGGTCGTCTGACGTTTGGTTTATAAACCTTAGAAACACCTCAGGAGTGACTGTACCTAAATGTTCATGAGTTAAGTGTATCACCGCATATGCCCTCGCTACACCCTCCGTGTAATTTACGCTTGTGTCCATTTTTCCTTTACAACTAGACCTACATCACTCTCTGACGTCATGCAGGACAAGCTTTCGTTTCACAGGGTGCAACTTGCATTCCTCAACCTGCATGTGCGTAATTTCACTACTTTGCACATTTTCAAGTTGAAAGTCATACCACTAGTCA